TGAGCCACCATACCCAGCCTGAAAAGAACTTTTAAGAGGTTTTCAAGGTTCTTAAGCTGGGCGGTAGAAAGAGAGGGGCCAACTTAGACGTCTTCTAGAAAATTCTAGAAATGTCACCTGTGACTAAATATCTTGGACTGACTGGAGTCTAGCCCCAGTTGCTCACGGCCAAACAGACTGACACTTACATGTCTGCATCCTCATCCCTTCGGTTGGTTTCTGCGGAAAACGACGTCCCCAGGTGCAGGTCCTCCTCTTCACTGATCCTGAAGGGAGAGAACAATGAGGCAGAGCTTTCAAGTCACAAGTCAGTGAGGCTGAGTCTTGCGTTCTATGAAAACAAAGACACAACAGGAATTTATATCATATTTATGGTTGGCAAAAGAAAACTTGCTATAGTATAACATGTAAATAAAAGAAACTCTAGAAATATATGCAAACAAATGGTTGGCTGCTATTGATACCTCCAAAGATTGAGTGGATAGTCATACTTACGTACCCATGGGGGATTGGTTCTAGCACCCCTCAAGGATACCAAAATCTGCGGCTAGTGAAGATCCTCATATAAAATAGTGTAACCTCTGCATCTAACCTATGCACATTCTCCCATCTACTTTAAATCATCTATAGATTATTTATAATACCTAATAAATTGTAAATGCTATATAGCTGTCACAAAATAAAAAAACACAGTGTACTTTTATTTTTTAAACTTTTGAATTATTTGAATGTATTATTTTTTGAGATGGCATTTTGCTCTTGTTGCCCAGGCTGTCGTGCAATAGCGTGACCTTGGCTCACTGCAACCTCTGGCTCCTGGATTCGAGTGATTCTCTTCCCTCAGCCTCCTGAGTAGCTGAAACTACAGGTGCATGCCACCTTGCCCAGCTAATTATTATTTTTTTAATAATTTTTTTTTTAAGATGGGGTTTTACCATATTGGTCAGGCTGGTCTTGAACTCCTGACCTCAGCTGATCTGCCCACCTCAGCCTCCCAAAGTGCTGGGATTACAGGTGTGAGCCACCGCGCCCATTTTTTTTTTTTTTTTTTTTAAAGATGGGGTTTCACCATGATGGCCAGGCTGTTCTTGAACTACTGACCTCAGGTGATCCACCCACCTCGGCATCCCAAAGTGCTAGGATTACAGGTGTGAGCCACCACACCTGGCCAATTTTTTATTTTTATTTTTTAAAGACGGGGTTTCACCATGTTGGTGAGGCTGGTCTTGAACTCCTGACCTCAGGTGATCCGCCCGCCTTGGCTTCCAAAGTGCTTGGATCACAGGCATGAGCCATTACACCTGGCCTCGCCCAGCTAATTTTTTGTATTTTTAGTAGAGACAAGGTTTCACCGTGTTGGCCAGGATAGTCTCAATCTCCTGACCTCATGATCCACCTGCCTCAGCCTCCCAAAGTGCTGGGATTACAGGCGTGAGCCACGGCGCTCGGCTGAATGTTTTGTTTGTTTGTTTGTTTGTTTGTTTGTTTATTTATTTATTTATTTATTTATTTATTTATTTTTGAGACGGAGTCTTGCTCTGTCACCCAGGCTGGAGTACAGTGGCGTGATCTGGGCTCACTGCAACCTCCGCCTCCTGAGTTCAAGCAATTCTACTGCCTCAGCCTCTCGAATAGGTGGGATTACAGGCGCCTGCCACCCCACTAACATATATATATTTATTTATGTATAAGTGTATATATATTTATAAGTATATATTAATATATAGGATATATATATAATATATATATATATTTTTTTTTTGGGGGGGACAAAGTCTTGCTCTGTTGCCCAGGCTGGAGTGCAGTGGCGCCATCTCAGCTCACAACCTCCATCTCCCGGGTTCAAGCTATTCTCCTGCCTCAGCCTCCCGAGTAGCTGGGACTACAGGTGCGCACCACCATACCCGGCTAATTTAGATACAGGGTTTCACCATATTGGCCAGGCTGGTCTTGAACACCTGACCTCATGATCCACCTACCTCAGCCTCCCAAAGAGCTGAGATTACAGGCATGAGCCACCATGCCTGGCTAATTTTTATATTTTTAATAGAGACAGGGTTTCACCATTTTGGCCAGACTGGTCTCAAACTCCCAACCTCAGGTAATCAGCCCACTTCAGTTCCCCAAAGTGCTGGCATTATAGGCTTGAGCCACTGCAGCTGGTCTGTATGTATTATTTTTGTAATTGTGTTTTTATATGAAACTCCCCCATGGGTTCACTTATTTTACTTTTTTGAGACAGGGTCTTTCTCTGGAGTGCAGTGGTGTGATCACAGTTCACTCAACCTCCCTGGCCCAAGCGACTCTCCCACTTTAGCTTCCTGAGTAGCTGGGACTACAGGTGAATGCCACCACACCCAGATTTTTTTTTTTTTTGTAGAGACAGGGGTCTCATTATGTTGCCCAGGCTGGTCTTGAACTCCGGGTCTCAAGCTATCATCCTGCCTCAGCCTCCCGAAGTGTTGGGATTACAGGCATGAGTCATCATGTCTACAATACACTTTTACAAAAGGAGTCTACCAACGGCTCTAGGTTAACTTTTAAAGAGTTTTTGCTTTCTTTTGTTTTGAAAGAACATACCCTTTGCAAAGCATAAAACCTGCTTCAAGATGTCCCACTAACACTGCTGCTACAGGCCCCAGCTCTCTGAGGGAACCCAGACCCAGGCAGCGGCTAAAGGTGAGTTTGTGTATCAGCCTGTCCTGCACTTACTTATCTTTGCCCCTTTCCTTCAGTTTCTTCATATCCACCATACCACCTGTCTTCATCTGAAAAGGATCATCCTGTGGAAAGCAAACACAGTGAAGAGGAAGCATCTAAATAAATGGTAGTGGAATATACTTTTTAAAAGCACAACCACTCACTGAGGAGCACTGCAGGGAGGGCGGCCATTAAACCCTGGGAAGACCCTGTAACTTACCACTAGAGTGGTCTCTTCCTGCACCTTCTCTCCCACCAGCAGGGCCACAGCACTGAGCAAAACCAAAAAAGGAGAGGGAGAGAGAGAAATGGCATCATTCAGAGATAAGCAAGAACCCTCTCAAGTTTGTGAATTGCAGCATTTGAGGGATTTGAGGGGTGGGCAGGCAAGCCAGCTGGAAGAGCCTATAAGCATAAAACAGGGCTCAACAATCACCACAGATGATGGAAGAAGGGTGGGCTGGTGGCAAAGCAGTGCACTTTCCCACAAGGCCATTTGGCATTATCTTGGCCCGGAAATCTCATGGAAAGTGCAGCTAAAGATATTAAAGAGAATATCCACTCCAGCCTTATTTGATAGTGAAAATTTACAAAATCACCTACCTGTCCCAAAATAGAGAATTTGTTAACAAATTATGATACACACGTCTGGTAGAATATTATGCAGCCATTAAAAAGGTTTTCTGAAAAATATTCCACAATATGGGTGAATGCCCACAATGTCATAATGAGTTGAAAAGAGCAGGGAATAAAAGTACTTAGAAAGTTGTTCACAATCTGAGAGAGTGAGAGAGAAAACAAATTGGAAAGAGTATTAAAATTAACACCAGTGCATTCTTGGGTGGTTTTGCAAGAAAAAAAATATGTTAACACTGGTTATTGGCCGGGCGCGGTGGCTCAAGCCTGTAATCCCAGCACTTTGGGAGGCCAAGGCGGGTGGATCACGAGGTCGAGAGATCGAGACCATCCTGGTCAACATGGTGAAACCCCGTCTCTACTAAAAATACAAAAAAATTAGCTGGGCATGGTGGCTCGTGCCTGTAATTCCAGCTACTCAGGAGGCTGAGGCAGGAGAATTGCCTGAACCCAGGAGGCGGAGGTTGCGGTGAGCCGAGATCGCGCCATTGCACTCCAGCCTGGGTAACAAGAGCGAAACTCCGTCTCAAAAAAAAAAAAAAAAAAAAAAAAAAAAAAAAAAAAACACTGGTTATTTCTGGATGGGAGAATTACAGGCGCTTTTTATTGTATTGACTATACTTTCCTAAATTATCCAAACTCTTAACGATCGATATGCATCTCACAATTAATTGGTTTTAATAAAAAATGCGAGTTAGTGACCTGTTTCTGTACCTCTGGAGCACACCCCAAGACTACACAGCTTAGGGCATATCCTGGTTAAACATTTGCAAAGAACGCTGTTCTCCTCTTTGGGCAGTGGAAGGTGTATACTGTGTCAAGAGAAAAACCTACGTCTCTGGAGATAGCTGTGACAGCGACCCCAGCGCGGGTGCGTCTGTCGTCCCCGCCTCCTCCTCCTCCTTCCCCTCCCCCCGTGGTACCCACCTCACCCCGTTGGGCCTCTTCCTCAAGTTCTGTACCTCTCTGGTCTCTTCCAGTTTTAATCTTAAAAAATAAAAAAAAGAATAAGAAGCAAAGCACAGGCTGAGTGACTCCCCGCGGAATCCAAAGCCAACAGAGCCAGCAAGGCACCTTCGAGGGCATCCCAGCCCGGCTGCTGAGCCACCACCACAGGGGTCCAGAGGACGACCTTGTGCCTAGACCCACCGGGAGTCAGAGCCACTGCGCATCCCAGAAGCATGTCGCCCAACTGTGCGGGCTTGGGGCGGCGGCCTCACTCCTTCAGCCTTAATTTCTGCGTCCGCAGAAGGAACAACAGCCCCGGCTCAGTTAACAATGTCAGCGAAGCGCCCGGCCGGTGGCGACTCCCCCAAGCAAGTCTATCTCCTCCAGGATCATAGGAGCCCCGCCCCAAACGCACCGAACCTCCTCTGAGTCCTGCTCATCTTCCTCTGACTCCGAGTCGCCCCGGCGGCGACGGAAAATCTTCCCGATGACCGGCATGTTGACAACGACCCAGCGGCCCAGCCGCCGCGCCGCCACACCGCGGCCCGGGCTGCTTCCGGCGCGCCGCAGCACTGTCAGAGCGCCAGCCCCCTGGCCCCGCCCCCAGCCGGGCGTTCCCCGCCCTCGGCACGTACCGCCGCGTGGCCACGCCCCCTCCCCCCTGGCGTCAGCCTCTTCCGATTGGACAGCAGAGGAAAGGAGGTGGGGCGTCGCCGGACGGCCCCACAACTCTGTGCGGCGCGGCGGAGGGGGCGCGCTTGACTGACAGGAGGCGGTGGCGCGGTTGCGAGCGCAGGTGAGTTCCGGGCCGCCACCGGCCGCTTCTGTGGGCCGGGCCTCTCCCAGTTTGGGCGACCCCAGCCCAGCCCCGGGCTGACAGGGCCTGGCCTCGCCAGGTGCGCCAGACGCCGCGGCCAGGTGAGCCCGGGAACCCCGGCCGCGGCCGCCCCTCTCCCCTCCTCGGGCCGGCGTCCAGGGGGTCCTCAGGGCCCCGGCACCCTACTCTGAGCCCCCTGGGGGCTCGTGCCTTGTCCAGAACCCTGGCCGCCCCCGCTCTCATTTCTGCCGGGGCTTCACCTAGCGTTGAAAGCATCCGCGTGGCGTCTCGCGGCTGGGGCGCTGACTTTTCTTTCCTCGGGCTCTGAGCCCTGACGTGCATTTTTTTCTTTAGGAACAAAAGATGACCACTTCCCTGCGGTGCTGAGTTAGAGTCCCAGCGCCGACAGCCCCGCAAATAATGGCCTCCAGCTTCTCCGCGAGGAGAGGCGCGTCTGGTGTTTTGAAGCCACGCAGGAGGGTTTGAGGCCGGGGAGGCTCCTCCTCAGTGCTTGCCGGCCACCCCTCTGCACCTTCGTGGGTCTCATTTTCCTCCTTTGGTCAGGAGGTCTGTCGCGCTACCCTCCGCCCCTTCCACCCCGAAGAGGCAGTGAGGATAAAGTTTATTTGAAAATGGGTATCAGCGGCCGGGCGCGGTGGCTCAGCCTGTAATCCCAGCACTTTGGGAGGCCGAGGCGGGTGGATCACGAGGTCGAGAGATCGAGACCATCCCGGTCAACATGGTGAAACCCCGTCTCTACTAAAAAAAATACAAAAAATTAGCTGGGCATGGTGGTGCGTGCCTGTAATCCCAGCTACTCCGGAGGCTGAGGCAGGAGAATTGCCTGAACCCAGGAGGCGGAGGTTGCGGTGAGCCGAGATCGCGCCATTGCACTCCAGCCTGGGGTAACAAGAGCGAAACTCCGTCTCAAAAAAAAAAAAAAAGAAAATGGGTATCAGCAAACGCTTAGGAAATACCAACATGCATAAATAATGGCTTCTAGGACTTTTAAGAACCTCTTAAGCAACAGTAGTTTTCCTTTTCTCGCTATCATCCCTTTGAGAACTACCTCTTATGAACCAGTTTCTATGTGGCAGGCCTTGGGCTAAGCATAATCTCATTGAATTCTCCCAGCAATCCTTTGAGGTAGATTGTTTTTCGTTCTACAAATGAGAATGCGGAGCCTCGGAGGGGCAGTGCGCGCCTCAAGTTACACAACTAGGAGGTGGATCAGGAATTGGTTGCAGGTCTGTGTCTGCCGCACGGTTTGCACAGGGCCTGGCACAGAAGGAGTGCTGCAGGTGTTTGCTGCTGCAGCTGCTGTTACATCTCATTGGCAGGGGGGAAGGGGCGATGGGGACTGTTTGGGGTTCCCTCCCCTGGAAGACCACTCTGAAGCAGGGCAGCATTTCTGGAATGCCTTGTGTTTTCTCTGGCACAGTCTCCGCTGAGATTGTTCTTCTCTTCTTTGGACTGGAAAAAATAGACTCACGACTTCCTGCAGCAGCCTTTTATCTTTAGTCAGAAGCCATATATTAAAGTCTCAAAGTCTTGCCCTCTGCAGACTGGTTCAGCCAAAGCCAGATGCACGTGCACTCACTGGACGTGGAGTCTCTGTCAGATGATAGAGACTCCTTGGGCATTGCTGCAGGAGCCCAGGGAGTCAGCGTCTGCAGCTCTCACGCTCTCTGAGGTGGCTCAGAATCTGCCCATCCAGCAGCCCATCCACCAGGGGTTACCGGACACCACTAAGGAAAGGGCAAGAAGGCCAGGGGCATTTCTGGGCCCTCCTCATCTGTAGTCCCAGGATACAGATGAGCTGCCCACACCCTTGCTCCATGAGGCCAGAGTACCCAGTGACACCCACCACCTGTGCTGTGGCAGATCTGATTGAGTGCTGTGTAGCAAAAGGAATGCTGAAAAAGTGGCAGCTATGAATCTGGCAGTAAGTGGCTTTGCGGAGAGACTGCAGCCCAAGTCTTGCTGGGTCCTTTTTTGTTTTGTTTTGTTTGAGATGTAGTCTTGCTCTGTTGCCAGGCTGGAATGCAGTGGCGCAATCTCTGCTCACTGCAACCTCCACCTCCTGGGTTCAAGCAATTCTTCTGCCTCAGCCTCCCGAGTAGTTGGGATTGCAGGTGCACATCACCACACCAGCCTTATTTTTGCATTTTTAGTAGAGACGGGGTTTCACCGTGTTGGCCAGGATGATCTTAATCTCCTGAGTTCGTGATCCACCTGCCTCAGCCTCCCAAAGTTCTGGTATTACAGGTGTGAGCCACCTCGCCTGGCCCTTGCTGGGCCCTTTTAAGGGTAGGGTGAGACTGCCTCTCAAAAAGACCCTCCCAGAAATACAGGTTCTATGCAGTTCCAAGACAAGTCCTAGATCTTAGTCTCGTTTGGGAGTTCAGTTGTTTGTACAGATGCAAGCTAGATTTGAGTTGGTTTCCTAGTTCCTTTCTGGAGCCAGATGAAATGTTCGCTCATTTCAGGGTTCAGGGAGCATTCATGTCTGGGTGGATTTGGGATCCAGCAGCGTGATACAGTTCACAGCCCAGCTACAGTCAGGATTCAATAAATGCATTTATTGGATCAATGTATTCAACAGATACTTAGCATTTACTATATGAAGCAGGTGCTGTTCTAGGTGCTTGAAATAAATCAGTGAGCAGAAGACACAAAAGATCCCTGATTTAGTTGAGTGTATGTTCTGGTAATAAAGTATGTAAAGTATGTTAGAAGATGATAAGTGCTATGGAAAAGTAAAAAATAGAGCAAGGCAAGGGAATTGCCTCCAGGAGGGAGGGAGAGTGGAGCTGCAAATTAAAACTAGCGCATTCTGGTTTGTGATTTGGCTGGGAAGTGACAGACACAGCAGTGGATGGACTGATAGTCCTTGGGTTCCAGTCGCTGCTGATTTTAAGGGTCTGTAAGCTTGAACTTTATTTTACATAAGCTTGAATGTTTTTTTCAAAAGCTTTTATTTAGAATGTACACCTTGAACTCAGGTCCTGATTATGGGGTATTTAACAGTGATGAAAGAGCCAGGCTTTTCTTAGCTTTTCACCTTAACAAGACAAACAAATATTCAGCTAGTTCTTACTAGCATGAAAGAAGGACACTTGGAGAAGCCATGCGAGTTGACAACAATTTTTCTTTTTCTTTTTTTTTTTTTTGAAACAGTGTCTCTCTCTGTCACCCAGGCTGGAGTGCAGTGGCTCAATCCTGGCTCACAGCAACCTCTGCCTCCTGGGTTCAAGTGATTCTTTTGTCTCAGCCTCCCAAGTAGCTAGGACTACAGGCGCCTGTCGCCGTACCTGATTAATTTTTGTATTTTAGTAGAGATGGGGTTTCACCCTGTTGGCCAGGTTGGTCTCGAACTCCTGGTCTCAGGTGATCTGCCAGCCTCAGCCTCTCAAAGTGCTGGGATTACAGGCATGAGCCACTGCTCCCGGCCTAGAAACGTTCCTGTTGATGGAATCATATATTTGTTTCCCAAACCTGCTGTAACAAAGTACCATAGACTAGATGGCTTAAACAACAGAGACTTATTTTCTCACAGTTCTGGAGGATGGAAGTCTCAGATCAAGGTAAAGACAGGTTTGGTTCTGCTGAAGGACCTTTCCTTGGCCTGCAGATGGCTGTCTTCTCGCTGTGTAGTGACTTGGTGTTTCTTCTCTGTGTATCCACGTTTCTCATCTCATAAAGATATCGGTAAGATTAGATTAAGGCCTGCCCTCAGATCTTATTTTAACTTAATTACCTGTTTTAAAGACATTATCTTCAAATCTGATTACATTCTGAGGTACTGGTGGTTAGAACTTTAGCATATGAATGGGGAGAAAGAATAATTCAGTCTATAACAAATACTGTTCTGTAATAGGTAGTCTGTACTCAGATGTGCTGGTTATCCCGGTGATGTTCTTTGTGGCATCCCCCAACTTGATCCATGATCCAGTTTTATCATGTCTCTTAGTGTCTTGCCTGGAACAGTCAAGCCTTGTCTCATTCTTGGTGGAGAAAGGGAATCTTCAAGTTGCAAGGAAGCAGAAGTGCTGAGCAGGAATGAGGGTTCAGGAGCACAGGCTGCCCCAGGACAGGAAAACTGTTGAAGGATTTGCTTTTGTCCATGAAGTTGCCTTTCCTGGCTTTTTCTTTGATGTCAAAAGCACCAGGAGGTGAGCTTGGATCTTAAGTGCACTAGGACTCCATGAATGAGTCACCTGCTGTGTGTCTGACTCCATCACCGTGGCACCTGTTTGTTGCTGGGCTGGTTGGCCTGCAGAGCCCTGAGTGGCCTTATGGAGGGCACCCTTCTGAGTGACTTTGCACATGGGACTTCCGTTCCTACCAATTTCAGTGCCCTAATGTATAAAACAGCCAGTGACACAAATTATAATAGTAAATATTTTTGAGCATTCTTGTCATGCAAATCAATAGAAAATCTGAGCTACCCAGAAAGTCATTAAACAGTGGTTACTGTGCATTGGGTCACTTCATCTTCTCAGGAACCCTCAATGCTGTCACTGTCCCCATTTTATGGATGTGGAGACTGGGTGATGTATTTATCTAAAGTCACAGACTTGCAAGGGGCAGAGTGAGGTGCTGAACCCAGGGCTACTTGTCTCTGTAATTTCCTTCCATAGTGACAGTCACCTCCTAAGATAATGTATGTACAGCAGCTGACCCTCAGTGAGTGTAGGAAAAGGTGGTGCTGGTGGTGATTATCACCTCCCTAGTGTCTGCTTGCAAGTACCCTGAGGTTGAAGTATGGGACTCTGTGCCCCACAGGAGCACGGCCTGTGCCTGGCTGTTTCCCAGGACCCCAGGTCACTATTCTTGAGGAGGTTACACGGTCAGTATTGGTTGGGTACCAAAAGAAAGCAAAATGATAACTTTCAAACAGCTGAGATGTGCACCTGCTTGTCGACCCACGTGCTTCAGATATTTTAGGTCCTGTGTGTGTGGGATTTTTTTTTTTTTTTTTTTTTTTTTTTGAGATGGGGTCTCTAGTGTCGACCATGCTGGAGTGCAGTAGCGTGATCTTGGCTCATTGTAACCTCTGCCTCCTGGGTTCAAGCTGTTCTCCTGCCTCAGCCTCCTGAGTAGCTGGAACGACTGGCATGCACCACCACACCTGGCTGATTTTTGTATTTTTAGTAGAGACAGGGTTTCACCATGTTGGTCAGCCTGGTCTTAAACTCCTGACCTCGTGATCCGCCTGCCTCGGTCTCCCCAAAGTACTGGGATTACATGCGTGAGTCCCTGTGCACAGCCCTGTGTGTGTAATGTTAAGTACCCAGTGTTTTCCATACTACTGCTCTTTCCCTTTGTATAAACGATTTTAACCATTAATTTTAAAAATGTTTCTATGTTGCATATACTCATATACTGCTGATAGGCAGATAAATTTATATAATCTAAAGGGAAGCTTGTCAGTATCTATGTGAAGCCTTCAAAGCACACATTTTGACCTAGTAATTCTTTTGGTCAAAGATGTAGGCTGGGCGTGGTGGCTTACACCTGTACTCCCAGCACTTAGGGAGGCCGAGGTAATCCGATCACTTGAGGTCAGGAGTTTGAGATTAGCCTGACCAATGCAGTGAAACCTTGTCTCTACTAAAAATACAAAAATTACCTGGGTGTAATGGTGGGTGCCTGTCATCCCAGCTACTCGAGAAGCTCAGGCAGGAGAAACGCTTGAACCCTGGAGGCAGAGGTTGCAGTGAGCTGAGATCATGCCACTGCACTCCAACCTAGGTGACAGACTAAGACTCTGTCTCAACAACAACAGCAACAACAAACAGGCTATGTGTGTGTGCAGCCAATCACACCTGTGATCCCAGGACTTGGGAAGCTAAGGCGAGCGGATCACTTGAGGTCAGGAGTTCAAGACCAGCCTGGGCAACGTGGTAAAACCTTATCTCTACCAAAAATACAAAAATTAGCCAGCCTCATAAACTGGTTTCTAAATAAATAAATAATAAATAGGTAAAAAACACAAAAATACAAAAAAACACGTTGTTGAGTGCACGTCTTGACCTGAGTGAGTCACGTGGAGAGGTGTGTTTGGGAGCCATCCAGGTAGCAGCTGTGGGGACTTCTGGGACCACTCAGATGCTGCTGCCCCTTCTCTGAAAACAACCCTGTGTAGGCTCAGGGCCATGCCTGGCACAGGGGCCTGGAGAACTACAGGGGACAGAGGGTCTGTCACCTATGGTGCCCTCGGGAATTGGGAAAAGCACCATACCTAGGAAGCCGATATGCACTCTTCCTATTTCTTATTTTGGAAACTTTAAAAACCATTAAAAGTAACCAATCTTGGTGTTCTTTTTTTTTTTTTTTTTTTTTTTTTTTTTGTTTATAGGAGCAGAGATTTTATATGCGAAATAAAGAAAGGAAAACAGCTCTGTCTCTAGTGAGAGTGAGGGGACTGCAGAGAGGAACAGCATTTGTTGTTTTGGATGTTGGTTTTTTAGAGATGGGGCCTTGCTCTGTTGCCCAGGCTGTAGTGCAGTGCCACTGTCCTAGCTCACTGCAGCTCTGAGCTTAAGGGATCCCCCCTCCTCAGCTTCCCAGAAGCACTAGGATTACAGATGTGAGCCACTGTGACTGGCGTTATTAGATTATTAGATTAGAATGATGACAGCACAGTCATTCGGGAAGCAAGTATAGGAAGAAAAAAGGCAACACTAGTTCATTGTAGAAAATGTAGACAAGCAAGCCAGGCGCGGTGGCTCACGCCTGTAATCCCAGCACTTTGGGAGGCCGAGGGGAGTGGATCACGAGGTCAAGAGATCGAGACCATCCTGGTCAACATAGTGAAACCCCGTCTCTACTAAAAATACAAAAAATTAGCTGGGCATGGTGGCACATGCCTGTAATCCCAGCTACTTAGGAGGCTGAGGCAGGAGAATTGCCTGAACCCAAGAGGCAGAGGTTGCGGTGAGCCGAGATCGCGCCATTGCACTCTAGCCTGGGTAACAAGAGCGAAACTCCGTCTCAAAAAAAAAAAAAAAAAAGAAAAAGAAAATGTAGACAAGCAAAAGGAAATAAAAATCACTTGGCTCTATCCTCCAGAAGTGATAATAGCATCCTTTCCTTAGGCCCAAAACACAACGTTATTTCACCAAAATAAGAGTTTATTATAATAAGAGTTCTTTCCCCCTCCCCTTGACAGGGCTTTGCTGTATTACCGAGGCTGGAATGTGGTGGCGCCATCATAGCTCACTGCAGCCTTGTACTGACTATAATAAGAGTCCACCCCCAACCCCGGCCCACCCCAACATGGCCTTGCTATGCTGCCCAGGCTGGAATGCGGTGGCGCCACCATAGCTCACTGCAGCCTCGTACTGCTGGGTGCAAGCTACCTCTCGTCTCGGCTTCCCCAGTAGCTGGGACTACAGGTACGTGCCACCATGCCCACCTAAGTTTTAATTTTTTTCTGGAGATGGGGTTTCACTGTGTTGCCCAGGCTGATCTCAAACTCCTGGGCTCAAGCAATCCTCCTGCCTTGACCTCCAGAAGTTCTGGAATTACAGGCATGAGCCATGCAACAGGGCCTAATAGTGTTTTGTAACTGTATTTTTGAACCATTCAGCAAATACTTTCTGAGAAGTTACTGTCTTCTTTTTTTTTTTTTGAGATGGAATTTTGCTCTTGTCACCCTAGTACCTGGGATTACAAGCACCCGCCACCGCACCCAGCTAAGTTTTGTGTTTTTAGCAGAGATGAGATTTCACCATGTTGGTCAGGCTGATCTTGAACTCCTGACTTCAAGTGACCACCCACTTTGGCCTCCCAAAGTGTTGGGATTTCAGGCGTGAGCCACCGCACCCAGCCTGACTTGTTTTACTGAGCAGATGTCTTTAAGGGTCATCTGTGTTGTAGCATGTGTCAGAATTTCCTTTTGTGGGCGGAATCATATTTCATTGTAGGGATATATCATATTTTGTCTGTTCATTTATCGATGGGCACTTAGTTTGCATTGTCTTTTGGCTGCTGCAGTAATGCAGCTGTGAACATGGGTGCACAGATATTTCTTTGAGTTGCTGCTTTTAGTGCTTTTGGGTGTATACCCAGATGTGGATTGCTCAATAGTGTGGTACTATTTTACAGTTCTTGGGGGACTCCCATACTGCATTCTGCAGCAACTGTACCATTTTACATTCCCACCAACAGTGCACAGGGCTCCAATTTATCCACATCTTCGCCAACACTTGTTTTTAGAGTCTCGATCTGTTGCCTAGACTGAAGTGCAGTGGGTGATCTCAACTCACTGCAAAACCCGCACCCTGCAGCTCACAGTGTAGGACTAGTGCCAGCTCAGGGAACATGGCCTCAGCAGAAACAGTGAAAAAAACCGAAACACCTGGCTTCAAGTGAGGAGGTCTGGAATTTGGAATCTTGAACCTGTCATTGTCATGTGACTGTTTTAAATGGTAGCTTCTAACTGCCTCTGCCTCTTTGAGAGTCCACATCTGGGAGATGGTGGCCTGCCAGTGAAGTGTGGGTAGTGGCAATGTGTGGATGAACCCATTTGTGCCTATGGCCTGGGTTTGCTGAACACTTGAGGGTTGGGGGTTCTCAGGGAATCCCTGAGAGATCAAAGGATGATCTGAGGGTCCTGGTGGCATGCGTGGAAGGGGCTGGGCTTCCCTGTGCAGAAGGTTGATAGGTTGTGGCGGCCTGAGTAGACAATAGAGAGGCCCCGCCGTCCCCTCCAGCAGACCTGTGAAGGTTTCCTCCTAGGGATCACCAAGGTAATGCCCCAGCAGTGACTGGTGGAGGCCAGCACTCCCTAGGAGGGGCTGCCTTGTTGTCAGCTCCTCCCGGGCCTTGGTCAGCTATTCCAGGAGTGATGTGGATTCACAGGGAGGAGTTCTAGCCTGTGGACATCCTGAATATCCCAAAATCCACTTGTTCCTCCCAGGAGGAATGCTGGGCCCTTTGTAGCTTCTAGTTGGTGGTAAGAGTGATTTTAAAATAACGGAACTGGCTGGGCACAGTGACTCACACCTGTTATCCCAGCACTTTGGGAGGCCCAAGGTGGGAGAATTACTTGAGCCTAGGAGCTGAAGGCCAGCCGGACAACAAAGCAAGACCCTGTCTCTACAAAAAATTTTAAAGAAATTAGCTGGGTGTGGTAGTGCACACCTATAGTCCCAGCTACTTAGGAAGTTGTGGTGGGAGGATCACTTGGGCCTGGAAGGCCAAGGTTGCAGTGAGCTGTGATCACACTACTGCACTCCAGCCTGGGCAACAGAATAAGACCCTGACTCAAAAATAGTAGTAACAGAGCCGTGTGAAACGCCCTGGTTCATCCCCCAGGCTCTTTGCCAGAGGCCTCTGCTCACTCCAGACAGCTGACGCCCATCAAGGATGCGCATGCCGGCCGCTTCCTGCAGGCTTTGCTTCACCCGGAGGTAAGCCCATGGCCTCCTCTCAGGTGTGTCCCTTCAGCATGGACTCAGGAGGACACATGGCTTTTTCTCTTTAGGTGAAATCATGGAATTGTGATTATGGGTTTGTTTTTTTTTTAAGTTCTTATCTCTTAGAAAAATACACAGATGAAATGTGATGGCCTGTGTATCTGGGATTTGCTGCAAAAGCAAGAGGAAGCAGGAGGTTGAGATGAAGCAAGACTGGCCATGAGTTGTTAATTGATGAGTCTAGGTACATGGACACATGGAAGTGTGTTAAACAGTTCCGTCGACTTTTTGTCTTTACCCTTGTCTTCAATGTGCCAGTAAGTTCTGCCTGCTTTTGCACATTTACACTTTTTTTTTTTTTTTGCCCCCTCATGTCGGTGACGAGCATATTTACACTTTCTGTAAGTTAGAAAGCAACTGAGCAGGCCCTTAGGGTCTGAGCAACTTGAGTTTCAGCTTTAGTGTCAACAGTCCTGTGAGTCCTTGGACAAGAAGGAGCCTCTGTTTCTTAGACTGTGATATGGGGCTAATCACAGCTGCCTCAGCCATCGCTGGGCTGGGAGAGTTTTTCATACATGAATGCACGAAAAGCACTTAGCTTAGTATCTGATACCCAATCAGTGCTAGTAACTCATGCACTGGCTGAGAATCTGGCCAGTTGACCCCAGCTGACCATTTGGAACAGGGAAGGGCATGTAAGGAGGAATCTGGGGTCCGCCTCTGAGATCAGGTGGGCACACATGTGGCTTCTGCCTTCGTTTTTGTTCTGTTTTTAAAACCCATGCAGTCCCAATGGGTTCTGCCTTTGGGTAAAACAGTCTTGGCTCCAGTTACAGCTTGGGTTGGTTTGGACCTTATTTGGCAACAGTTTGGAGCTATAATCAGCAGTCAGATTCCTGGATGTGATTCTGCTAAAATACTGTAGGTGAAGGATTTATTTAGTTACTCATTTTTAAATGCTTTCTTTTGAAATAATTATAGATTCACAGACACTTGCAAAAAGTGTACCCTAAGGTCCTTTGTACTTTCACCCAGTTTCCGCTAATGGTAAAAGAAACACATACTTTTTTTTTTCTTGCTCTCCCCCCCACGCACCTTTTTTTTTTTTTTTTTTTTTTTTGAGACAGAGTTTCGCTCTTGTTACCCAGGCTGGAGTGCAATGGCGCGATCTCTACTCACCACAACCTCTGCCTCCCGGGTTCAGGCAATTCTCCTGCCTCAGCCTCCTCAGTAGCTCAGATTACAGGCATGTGCCACCATGCCCAGCTAATTTTTTGTATCTTTAATAGAGACGGGGTTTCACCATGTTGACCAGGAGGGTCTCGATGTGTTGACCTCGTGATCCACCCGCCTCGGCCTCCCAAAGTGCTGGGATTACAGGCTTGAGCCACCGCGCCCAGCCCTTCTTTTTTTTTTTTTTTTTTAAGATAAGGTCTTGCTCTGTAACTCAGGCAGGAGTGCAGTGGCATGGTCATGGCTCACTGCAGCCTTGAACTCCTGGGCTCAAGCAGTCTCCTACCTGAGCCTCTCAAGTAGCTGGGACTATAGGCATGCACCACCATCCCAGCTAGTAATACATCTTAGTATGTCTGTAGAACAATCAGTAAAGTGACATTGGCTTAATCCATGGAGCTTTTCCAGTTTCACTAGTTCTGCAGGCACTGGTATATGTTCAGTTCTTCGAACTTCTAGCACACGTGTAGATCCATGTGACCACCCCGCAATCAAGATACAGAGCTGCTCAGCACCGCCACAGCACTCCCTTGAGTGAAGCATTTATTTTCTAAGACTGAAATCTCCCCGCTGCCCACCCCCAATGCTGGGAAAGATGTTTGCTACATGTCAGCAGTGATTTATGTTACTTTGTGCTTTCTTGTTTGAGTTTTGTTTCTATGATGAAAATGTATCAGTTAAACAAAAGCAACAGAGCTTTTTTTTCATCTTGAAACCCATCACCCAGATGCACCACTGTTGAGTTTTGGCAAACAGGATTTATTTATTTACTCATTCATAAATGCTTCCAGACTGCTTTTTTTTTTTTTTTTTTTTTTTGAGACGGAGTTTTGCTCTTGTTACCCAGGCTGGAGTACAATGGCGCGATCTCGGCTCACCGCAACCTCCGCCTCCTGGGTTCAGGCAATTCTCCTGCCTCAGCCTCCTGAGTAGCTGGGATTACAGGCACGAGCCATCATGCCCAGCTAATTTTTTGTATTTTTAGTAGAGACGGGGTTTCACCATGTTGACCAGGATGGTCTCAATCTCTTGACCTCGTGATCCACCTGCCTCAGCTTCCCAAAGTGCTGGGATTACAGGCTTGAGCCACCGTGCCTGGCCAGAGCTTTATTTTCATCTTGAAACCCATTACCCAGCTGCACCACTGTTGAGTTTTGGCAAACAGGATTTATTTGTTTCCTCATTTGTAAATGCTTCCAGACTGCTTTCTAGGTTGTTCTCCGGCCTTTCTCTCCGACTTCCTCCATGCTCTCAGAAGACATTCTCTGGAGGCAGTGCTGCATGGCCTGTCTCCATGGTGGTCTGGTGTTCAAGCCCCACTCCCTGTGGGGCTCCCACAAGAAGTGGGATAAGTGGCCTGCCAGCACTTGGGCTCCCAGAAACTCTTGAGAAGACCAGAGTCAACATCTGCTGCTTGCCGTTTTGAAACCCAGCCTTTCTACACTGCCCCTCCTCTGCCTGCATCCTTGGATGGACACGGATTTGGCCTCCTTCTAACAAAATATCCATGGTTTTAGATTGTCTGGTGTGCAGCTCCCTGCATGCAGGCAGGACTCCCATGTCTTTCCTGCCAATAATTCTGATCATGATACCTGCCACGTGCCCTGGGCTTTTCCTGTATCAGGTACTATGCCAGGCATTTGACAGACATTGTCTCCATGAATCCTAGGAGCAGCCCATTGGGAAAAGTGTTACCTTCTTAGATAAGGGAAGTGATGCTCAGAGGGGTTAAGCAACTTCCCCAGGTTACCAGCTGGTTTGTGGCAGACCAGGACTTAAGGGCACAGTCATGTACTTAACCACTCACCTCCCCACCTCCTGTCAGCACTGGCTGCCATTAACCCAGGATTGCTTGTGTCTTCTCATAGGTGAGCCCAGGCCAGGATGGGGGACTCCAGGGACCTTTGCCCTCACCTTGACTCCATAGGGGAGGTGACCAAAGAGGACTTGCTGCTCAAATCTAAGGTAAAGGGTCAGACCTTAGGGGCCAGGGCCCACACCCAGGGCCACCTCTTTCCTGGGGTGTGGACATTTCTGAAGGAGTGGAAAAACTGGCTCCCTGACAGTCTGCGCTCAGCCTTCTGTGTAAATGGAAATGCTGGCATCTGCTTGGGAGGCCACCTTCTGGGGCTCTGTCCTAATAGCCATTAATTACAGTTTATACCAGGCCATTTGGGAACCACTAATGCTCTCTGTCCATTAGTAGTTGGGGCAGGTGCACACAGTCTCTCCAAAGCAGGGAGTGAAAGCTGCTTTCAGAATCCAGGAGTGTTTTTGCAAATGTAGCCTGAGGAGAGCTTGGGGAGGCCTGGGCAGGAAGCTGGGCCTCCTCTGGGGGTGGGAGGATGCATTACCATCCTTTTCATGTAGTTAAAGTTCTTGAAAAGGTAATACTTGAACGTGGTTAAAATGAAACAGTATAAAAAGATAAATGTCAAGAAGTCCTTCTTTCACCCCTGTGCCCACCCTCCCCAGCCCATCCTCAGGTAACCACTTATTCTCTTCTGTATCTTTTCAGAGTTTCTTTATGTGAATATAAGCAGATAAACTCATTTTAAGTTTTGCCCTTTCTTAAAGATGGCATACCATCCTCTCTGTCTTGAAACTTGCTTTGTTTACATGACAGTGTATCCTGGAGCTCTTTGGACATCAGTGCATAGAGACAGCTTTCTCATTTGTTACCTTGAAGCTGCATTATATTTTATCATGTGGCCACAGTGACTGATGCACTGTGGATAGACACCTGGACCTTTTGCAACCTCTTGCCAGTAAAAAGATGCTGTGATGAATGGCCTTGTAGAAAAGTCAGTGCAAGGCCAGGCGTAGTGGCTAACACTTGTAATCCTAGCACTTTGGAGGCCAAGGTGGGCAGATCACTCTGAGGTCGGGAGTTCAAGACCAGCCTGACCAACATGGTGAAACCCCGTCTTTAAAAGAAAAAAGAAAAAAAAGAAAAGTCAGTGCATCCATGGGCAGAACTGCAGGCAGGCATGTTCCCAGGAGTGGAATTCCTGGGCATGTTGGCACCTAATGCTGCTCCTGTGGCCTCACTGTACCAGCAGGTCCTTGGTGGCCTTTGGCCTTAGCTGGTTTCATCATGGGGCCTGACATGGGAGCAGTTCTTCATAGTGTCTATAGCTGCTTTTGAAGTGACATTGCCTCTTGCAGCGTGAAGTGGGGCAGAGTGAGGCCCGGGTGTATTTGCACTCTCTGATGCTGGGTTTCTCTCCGCTTCTTAGGGAATCTGAGAGCAGGGACAGGATGAAGCAGGTGGGAGAAGGGAGGTGTAGAGCACAGGAAGGTTTGCATTGGGACTGGCAGCCGTTCAGAAACCTGTTAGTGCCTCTACGGCAGAGACTGGGCATGTTTGGGGTGCTCTGGGCCTGTGTGTCAGAGAGCACAACTTCAGTTTCTCTCTGGGTATCCAGAAAGTTACAAAAGAAAACCAGCATTGTTCTAAAATACTCATAAAGGGCAAAGATATAAGCAGGTATTTCCCAGTGAAGGAGATGGAAATGACAAACTTTTGAAAAAAGATGGCTGACCTCACTCTCGTTCTTATGGACATTACTAATGAAACGGGATGATAACCATTTTACAGATGGACGGTAGAAGACTGATCCCACTCATAACTGACAGTTAGGGAGAATATGAGCCACTCACATTGTGGTAGGGCTGGGAGTTACTGTAACTTTTAGGGAAGCAATTCTGCTTCTGGGAATTTATCCCTTAGAATGTAGTCACAGTTATAAAGATATGATACAGCAGTAATTTACTGAGCATTATTTGTAAAAGGGAAAAACTGATGCCACCTGAATATTGCTCAAGAAGGGAACTGATTGCATGGCTGTGTCCAGAGTGTGCCATTATCACAGAGGAGATGCAGTCTTTATGTATAAGCTTGGGTGATGCTAAAAGGAGATACAGGTACATTACAGAGAAATATGTATTAGGTGATCTTATTTTTACTAAAAGTCAACCCTTCAAGATCTAGGAATCCATATTTTGTATAAGATCAATGTACAGAGGGAAATATTTCATATCATATACGGCAAGTAGATGTCACCTGAATTGTTATAGTAAGCGTTCGATACTTTTATAAATTAAATAACTGAAATGGAAAGAAAAACCTGAGAAGAGAGGGTGAATTGTGAAATCAAAAAGTCACAAGAGAGATGACAAATTCAGGAAGGTCCAGGGTGGCAGCTTTGATTTTTGCTAAGCAGGCTGATCTCCTGGCACCCCCAGCATCCTCCATGAGAGACCCTATACCATGGAGTGCAGATCTTAGCTTCGTCTATGGGATGAGCTGCTTCACTTTAATCCCTTGTTCAGGCTTTCAAACCCTGCTGGAATCTGGGTGTAGTGAGCCAACATGGCCACCGTGGGGAAAGCCAGGCTTTCTTGATGGGAGATTTGTTGACCTCACTGCACTGGGGTCCAGGCTTCTTGGCTTCACCTGCTGATCTTGCTCTGTGACAAGGGTGTAACCTCTCTTGAGTCCCCATTTCTCATCAGTGAAAGGGGGATGTTGATGGGCCCTACAACAGAGACTGGAGGGGATTATGTGATGTTTGTGTAAAGAACTCAGCTGGAGGCCAGGTGTGGTGGCTCACACCTATAATCCCAGCACTTTGAGAGGCCTAGGTGGGTGGATGATCTGAGGTCAGTAGTGTGAGACCAGCCTGGCCAATATGGTGAAATCCTGTTTGTACTGAAAAATACAAAATTAGCTGAGTGTGGTGGTGCACACCTGTAGTCTCAGCTAATCAGGAGGCTGAGGCAGGACAATTGCTTGAACCCAGGAGGTGGAGGTTGCAATTAGCCAAGATCTCACCACTGCCTTTCAGCCTGGGTGACAGATTAAGACTCTGTCTCAAAAAAGAATTCAGCTGGAGGCCTGGCTTGTTGTAATCCCTCTTCAAGGGTCCACTCCCACCATGGTGGAGCCTGATACTGTAGCTGCTATTGACCAGCACCCGTAGTTCCTCTCACAGCTGATGGAAGCACAATAGATGCTGTAGGGCCTCAGCTGGGAGCTGCTGTTACAGAAATGCAGGTACAGTTATTTGGGGCACAACTTAAGTTGCTGTAATAAAGAGTCCCTGAAATAGAGTGGCTTAAATGAGATAGAAGTTTCTGTTTCTCTCACAGAACAGACCAGAGGTAGGTAGGACTGGTAGGGTGCCTCTGCCATTCTCAACATGGGGCTTTTATCTCCGAGAACAAGGTGGTTGCTTCAGCTTTTGCCATCACAGCTGCATTCCAGCCAATTGTAAGAGGAGAAGGAGCAAGGGTAGCACAGAGCTCAGAAGAGGCACACATCATTTTTGCTGTCATCTCATTGACTAGAACTGAGCCATGTGATCATGGAAGCTGGAAAACATCATCTGCAGCAGGCAAGCTGTGTGCTCAGCTCAAATCCATGCATCCGCTTATTAAAGCAAGGAGGAGAAAGGATACAAATAGACACAGAGCAGGCTCTGTCGCCCAGACCCCCAGAAACTGGGTGTTTCCTTTGCTTTGCCAGGTCCTTGAACTCTTCATTTATACCAGGCCCTTTGGACTCACAGGGGTTGGTAAAACAGGCCATCCCTCTTTCACAGAGCCCTGGTCTAATGGGCAGAAAGGCTGAAATAATTCAGTGCAAGGAAGGAAGAGTGGAAGGAATAGTAAAAGAGCATGTTAACAAATTTCTTACATGATTTTATTTTCCAAGATTAGGTTATAGACAGTAAAATAAAATGTTGATTATGTTTTTACAGGCCCATGATAGAATTCAAACAGTAACGTGTAAAGGGCTCCCCTGGGAGCCTAATTTGGACAGGTAGTCTGGGTAAGGCCTTCCAGGGCCAGGGCTCGACACTGAGATCTTTTCAGTGAGTGTCAGCCAGGTGGGGCCTCCAGGCAGGAGCAGCCCCAGAGCTCAGCCCCTCATGGGCTCCTTATACCTGCTCTTTCTCTCTCCTCTCAACTCACACAGGGAACCTGTCAGTCGTGTGGGGTCACCGGACCAAACCTGTGGGCCTGTCTCCAGGTAAGAGATCCTTGTGGGTATTGGAGGTATGGAGCTGCTTCTAGACTCTGGGCTGGGAACTTCCATCCCTGGTGGGCACTGCCAGGAACCTTGGGCAGGGGCACAGGGCCCCAGAGTCAGCAAATCCTAGGCCGGCCATTCTGCCAGCCATTAAAAATGACAGGAGAACAAAACAGGTTGGAGAAGGCTCTGGACCGAAGGCTCTCGTCTTCAAAGGACACATAATTCTAGCTTGGCATGTATATGTGAGAGTCGACGTGGGCGTCTTGGTGTTGAGGCCTGGCACTGCTGCTTAGTAGCATCTCTCCCTGGGCCAGTCTCATTTTTTCCCTGAACCTTCATTTCCCATCAATAAGAACAGGGATGCAACACTGACAGCAGACAGCTGTCCCCGCCTCATGGGGTTAGGGTGGAACTGGACAAGACAGGTGCCTGTGGCCGACCTGGAGACGGCACCCAGGAGAAGCTGGAAGGGTTTGGATGATTACTGGTTGCTAAAAGGAGTAAAAGTAGGTGTATGAAAACATGACAGTTTCCCTTGAGTGGTAGAATTACGGGTAATTTTCATTTTTTTTCTCTGTAGTATTTAAAAAATGTTTGCAAGTATATATTTTTACGGTCATACTAAAAATGACTGTTACTTAAAATTTCTTAAAAAAAGCAAAAAAAAAAAAACAACCCAGGAGTAGAAACAACAAAGACAGCCTCAGCAGGTGAAGACATCTAGTCAGTCTTTGCAGAAGCACAGGGGCCCCGGTGGGACTCTGGCCTTTTCTGCTCTGGCCTGTCACTCAGCACAAAGTAGATGGCAAGACACTGGGTATCCAGGGGGCAGCAAGGAGTGCCAGATGTTATCTCCTGGGCTGTTAAAAGTGCAGGACGTGGTCCTCCCTCATAGGAGCCACAGTCCCCTCAGACAGATGTGGGATCCTGTTGCAGAACATGGTATGTGCTTTCTGAGTCAACCACATGGTAAAGATCCAGTTGATTCCACCGTCTTCCCAAAAGGTCCTCACCAGCCTGTGCAGTGCTGATTCTGTAGAGAAGCCTTGGCCATTGGCTACTGGCTGGCATGGAGGCCCACAGTGGAGGCACTGAGTGGGCCTTGGAGGATTGGTAGACCTGGGATAGGAGAGTACGAGGGCAAAGGTAGCGTCTTCAGGGACATGTAGGCCCTGCTGTGGGGCCCTGGGTCGGTACTGGGCTCACACTACCTGTGCACCTTGCTTCAAACACCTGGTACCCATTCAGCACCCCCCACTAGAAAATGGCTGTGAGGCCTAGCATCCCCACCAAAAACGTAGGTCCCAATAACTGCCCCCCTTCCACATAGGGTTTTCCTGGAGGGAAAGGATCTGGGTTCCGAGCAGCCAGTCCTCATCTGGACCCCACCTGGGCTTCTTGCTGGAGACCTGCAGCCCAGGACATACTGCTCATTTCATGCAGGACAGTAACAGTGTTTGTGAATTTTTATAGAAAAGACTTCAGAAACATGCAATATCTTGTTTTTGTTTACCACCCATCACTACTCAACAGAACTTCAGGTGAACAAACCCACAGGCCTATGTTGCTTTGAGATGGCAGAGCCTCAATCCCTTGTGGGCCCTGTTCAGGAGAGGTCGGGGCACTGGCTTTGGGCTGGAACCAGAGACACTATGTTGACACCATCCTTTCGGCAAGCTCCAGTCCACTCTCCTCCCCTCTGTCTACAGGTTGCCTGCCCCTATGTTGGCTGTGGAGAATCCTCTGCTGACCACAGCACAATTCACGCACAGGTGAGTGTGGTGGCTGAGAGCGTGGGCCCTACAGATGGCCTGGGGTTCAAACTCCAACTCCACCTTCCTGCTCTGGGCCTAAATGGCTGGGGCGATAAATGATGTCATACTAGCATGGCTTCTGCAAAGAAGCAAGTGATGATGCAGGTAAAAACATTTTGCACCTGCACCACTTGATAAACAGCAGCCCTCAGGGTCCTGACCCAGGGGTAAGCGAAATTCAAGCATCCAGCCTCTGTCCTGACAGGGCCACTTACTGAGAGGCTGGGGAGTGGAGCAGCCATCACAGGTTGGGGCACCTGTCAGGCCAGAGTACTCTGGACCTTGTTTTGGATATTACCCTCTAGACAAAAAAGCACAACTTGACCGTGAACCTGACCACGTTCCGGCTATGGTGTTATGCCTGTGAGAAGGAGGTATTCCTGGAGCAGCAGCTGGTGGCCCCTCCTCCGGGCTCCTTCTCCAAGTTCTCTGAACAGGTAACCTGTGTGGTGGGCTCTGTTTGGTTGTTGGCAACACTGTGTTGAGGATGGGGCGGTGTGACCTGAGCATCCGTGGAGCATGGGTCAGTAGGTCTCAGAGGTGTCTGTTCCTGGGTCAGTATGTTTTCAGGTGACTTTGAGGAGCTCACATCCACACATGTTCACTGAGCCCACTCTTTGCCAAGGCGTGAGTGAGGCCCTGACGGTGCAGAGGTGACTGAGAGTAGGGCCTCCCTTGGGAGCTCAGGGGCCATGGGGTGGCCCTACAGAGTACAGAGGTTGGGTGGGCCCAGGGCCGTGGGGTGAGTGTAGACCCTTCCATGCCTTATGGAGAGGGTTGATGAGGTCACAGATGGCCTGTGGCCATCCCAGATGTGAAACCATTCCTAAGGGAATTCCAGGTAGTTGCTACAGCACACTTTTCTATGGGAAATGCCCAGAAACCACCTTGGTAACATCAACCAGAGAATGGGCCTTTCATCAGCAGTGCTGTGCAACCTTAGAGGTGGCGGGTCACCAGGCCCACACCCTGGAGGTCCCAGCCCCAAGCCTGTCCTCAGGGAATGGTCAGTCACCCTGGATGGCAGAGCTACCAGCTAGAGGAGAAGACAGGACGTGTGTGTGCAGCATCTGCATGGCTGTCTCCTCCATATTTTTAAATTTTAGTTTAGTTTAGTTTAGTTTTAGTTTTTGAGATCAAGTCTTGCTCTGTCGCCCAGGCTGGAGTGCAGTGGTGCAATCTCAGCTCACTGCAACCTCTCTGCCTCCTGAATTCAAGTGATTCTCCTGCTTCAGCTTCCTGAGTAGCTGAGTTTAAAGGTGCCTGCCACCATGCCTGGCTAATTTTTATTTTTAGTAGAGTCGGGGTTTCACCATGTTGTCCAGGCTGCTCTTGAACTCCTGACCTTAAGTGATCTGCCTGCTTTGGCCTCCCAAAGTGCTGGGATTACAAGCGTGAGCCACTGCACCCAGCCTGTTCTGTTTAGACAGTCACATGATAGGGCTCAATAAGTGCTTATTGAATGCATCTGTGAACTTGGTAGATGTTTATGAATTTTTGTAGAAGAGGCTTTAAAACAGTATATGCAATATCTTGTTTTTGTTGTGCATATGTATTAACAGTTAAATATCTGTATAATACAGGCCGGGTGCGGTGGCTCACACCTGTAATACCAGCCTTTTGGAAGGCTGAGCAGGAGGATCACTTGAGCCCAGAAGTTTGAGACCAGCCTGGGCAGCATAGTGAGACCCTGTCTCTACAGAAAATCAAATGAGCCAGGCGTGGTGGCATGTGCTTGTCCCAGCGACTTGGGAGGCTGAGGTGGGAGGATCACTGGAGCCAAGGAGTTCAAGGTTGCAGTGAGCTGTAGTCGTGCTACTGCACTCCAGCCTGGGTGACAGAACAAGACTCCATCTCTTAAAAAAAGTCTACATAGGCTGGGCGCAGTGGCTCACACATGTAATCCTAGCACTTTGGGGGGATCACTGGAGCCCAGGAGTTTGAGACCAGCCTGGGCAAGATGGTGAGATGCCATCGCTACAAAATATAAAAATGTTAGCTGGGTGCTGTGGCATGCACCTGTAGTCTCAACTACTGAGCAGGATGAGGTGGGAGGATCCCTTGAGCCCAGAAGTTGGGAGTCAGCAGTGAGCTCTGATTGTGCCACTGCATTCCAGCCTGGATGACAAAGCAAGACTCTGTCTAAAAAAACACACGCACACACAAACCAAGGAGTTCCCAGGGAAAGGCCACCAGTCCTCTCTTTTCACAGTGCCTTCTGTGCAGATAGACTGACTCAGCCCAGTGGAGGCTTCGGGGCAGTGGGGCTGTATTTCCAGCCCTTGGGAGACACCTGGGCCTCTGACCCCAGCTCCTCTGTTCCCCAGTTTCCTCATTTTGGGTCTTTAACACAGGACTCCCCACCACCCTCCCACCCTCTGAAAGCTGTTCCTATTGCGGTGGCCGACGAAGGAGAGTCCGAGTCAGAGGATGATGACCTGAAACCGCGAGGTAATGGCCCCCCCACAGCAGGGGAAGCGGATGGGCCAGCTGGGGGCCTCACCGGGAGGCTGGAAAGTACCACAGTCTTGTCTCTATTTGCACCTGCTATCTGGGCAAGGAAGGGTGGGGTGATGGATGAGCCACGTAGCATGGTGGCTTCCCCCAGCCAGTGTTCTGGAGAGCCAGCCATTTTGTTCCCTCCCCAAGTTGTGTGACCCTGGGCAGGCAGGCCCCTCTGCTATATGGCCTGGACAGAGGGCCTGGCTGGGCAGAGGAGCAGAGCAGCTCATCTGTTTAAAATGCTCAGGTCATTGCCACAGTTGTGAGCAGGAAGCATGTTAATTTACTGGGAAGATTCCTGGGGTGGAGCACTTCCACCATGTCCTCTTCCTGGGTCCTGGGCAGTTGAGAGCCACAGCTTTGTGCCAGTGTGAATTGCAAGGTGTCGTTGGCAGGGCGGGGTGCTCACCTGCTCCTCCCCATCGTGTTTGTTTGCCAGGCCTCACGGGCATGAAGAACGTCGGGAACTCCTGCTACATGAACGCAGCCCTGCAGGCCCTGTCCAATTGGTAGGCCGACGCTTTGTCAGAGAGCCGAGAGCTGTCCTTGGCAAAGCCCTGGAAACAGTATCAGTAGCACCCCCAGGCAGTTGCCCACAAACACATGCTTAGGACGCACAGCCAAATCCCTAAAAACACCCAGGCCCTTTGACCCAGCAATCCCTGCAGTGGGCACGTATCCTGAGGAGATAACCAGAGATGCTGGGGAGGTTGGACATGCTAGGAGACTCTGCGCTCTGTTGTTAATTGGAAGCGATTTAAAGGCCCATCTGCAAGGGAATATAAATGCTCATAGCCCAGCCTTGCAGCAAGTGCAGGAAAAACGGCACAAGACAACGTGCATGGAAACAAGAAGGGGTTCAGAATCTGGTGAGTCGGGGGAGAAAAGGAGGTTATAAGGCATTGCATGGTACAATCCCATCTTAGGGGAAAAATGCAATTTCCCATTAAGGATAGGCTCTCAGCTCCATGAGGCCAGGGATGTCTCCTGTGCCGGCCATGCTTCTCCTACACAGTGGAGATTAGAGATGGCAGTATATGTATTCAGGAAGGAGAGAGGGAATGGGTACAGATGCACAGACAGGTCCGGAAGGCTACGTTCCAAAATGTTCCTAGTAACCTCAGGTGGCAGAATGAAGGTCAATTATTGTTAATAATTGACCACACCCAAACTGGGCACAGTGGCTCATGCCTGTAATCCAAACACTTTGGGAGACTGAGGAAGGAAGGAGATTGAGACCAGCCTGGCTAACAAGGTGAAACCCCATCTCTACTAAAATTACAAAAAATTAGCTGAGCGTGGTGGCACGTGCCTGTAGTCCCAGCTACTTGGAAGGCTGAGGCAGGATAGTCGCTTGAACCCAGGAAGTGGAGGTTGCAGTGAGCCAAGATCACGCCATAGCACTCCATCCTGGGCAAGAGAGTGAGACTCTGTCTCAAATAAAATAAAATAAAATGAAATAATTGACCACACCCGGGCTCACCTCTTTAAAAGCCCTGTTTTGGCTGGGTACAGTGGCTCATACCTGTAATCGCAGCACTTTGGGAGGCCACAGCAGGTGGATCGCCTGAGGTAGGAGTTCACCAGCCTGGCCAACATGGGGAAACCTCATCTCTACTGGAAATACAAAAATGTTAGCTTGGCGTGGTGGCATATGCCTTTAATCCCAGCTACTCTGTAGGCTTAGGCAGGAGAATCACTTGAACCCAGGAGGTGGAGGTTGCAATGAGCCAAGATTGTACTACTGAACTCCACTCTGAGCGACAGAGTGAGACTGTCTCAAAATAAAATAAGATAAAGTAAAAATGCCCTGTTTCTAGATACAGCCACACTCTCAGGTACTGGGGGTTAGGGCTTCACAGATTAATTCTGGAGAATACAATTTTGCCCATAACTGATAGGATCCTTCTAGTCATCTTCAGATGTTTCTGGGTCCAGGTCCACTGGGTTCTCTGTGCGAGCACTCACGGCTCCCCACTACACAGCCCTTTCTAAACCATGTCATGTCCCTCATTTGCTCTCCTGACCTGGTTCTCTCTCCCCTGCCCCCAGCCCTCCACTGACTCAGTTCTTCTTGGAGTGTGGAGGCCTGGTGCGCACTGACAAGAAGCCAGCCCTGTGCAAGAGCTACCAGAAGCTGGTCTCTGAAGTCTGGCACAAGAAACGGTGAGTCATTGCATCCCTAGCCTCGGGCGGTGTGTGGGGCAGGGGTTTCCTGTCAGTACCCAAGATTGAGCACTTCCTGTGGATTCAGCCCCCAGCGAGCACTTGCCTCACTTTGTCCCGGGTAATTCTTGCAGCAAGCCTGTGGGGTGGAAGTTGCATCCAATCCTGTTGTACAAATAGGGAAACTGAGGTGCGGAGAGCTTTAAGTGTCTTGCTCAAGGTCATAGCACCTGCGAAAGGTGAGCTAGAATTTGACCTGCTGTTGACCCTAGCCGGCAGCCACAGGTAGGCGTCTTTGCCAAAAGACATGGTGACCTGGCCTGAGCCACAACTGTGTGTGTGGGAGGAGGTGTGGGGCAGCGGGGCGCAGACTGGATGGAGCTTCTGGCACAGAATGAAATGAATTGAAAGACCAGAGCCTGGGATTTGACCTGTTTCTCCAGGAAAAGTCAAAGTTGGGAATAATTAAAAATGAGCACATAGAAATACATATTACATGTAGAAGCAGATTACAAACCAGCGTGGGACCGGGCATGGTGGCTCATGCCTGTAATTCCAGCACTTTGGGAGGCCAAGGCCAGCAGATCACAGGTCAGGAGTTCAAGACCAGCCTAACCAATATGGTGAAAAACGTGGTCTCTACAAAAAATACAAAAATCAGCCGAGCATGGTGGCGGGTGCCTGTAGTCCCAGCCACTCAGGAGGCTGAGGCAGGAGAATAGCTTGAACCCAGGAGGTGAAGGTTACAGTGAGCCTAGATTGTGCCACTGCACTCCAGCCTGGGCAACAGAGTGAGACTCTGTCTCAGAAAAACAAAAAAAAAAACAACCCAGCATGGTACAGTATAATTCTGCCTGTGTCAGAAGCCAACTATAAGTGTATATCTGTATGTAGTTTTATGTATGCATCTGTAGTTTCACAGAACAATCCGGAAATCTAATGATAAGTATCTGGTGCCATTAGTGGTGGTGCTTTTCTCCTGTACTTTTCTGAAATTTTAAATTTGTCAGTAATGAACACTGAAACGAGAAAACCACAGTGTTTTAGAACAAAAACAAATCATGTTCAGGCGAGTTTGTCGTGTGCCAGCAGGAAGTGGTGCCATCTTACTTGAGCTCTTTGCTTAATTGAGGCAGCTATGACTTGACATTTTCTTCTTGTCTGTAGAGATGTGTGATCCTCTTGGGGCTCCTGGCTGGGTAGGCGCCTCCCCAAATGTCAGGAAACGCCTCAGTCTGGTCCAGCCTGAACATAGAAATATGTTCAGGCCAGCTGCCTGCTTCTCTTGGGAATGAGCAGCTTAAGGCAGCCTCCCTGTACTAATGGGTTTGGCCTTCCTACAGGCCAAGCTACGTGGTCCCCACCAGTCTGTCTCATGGGATCAAGTTGGTCAACCCAATGTTCCGAGGCTATGCTCAGCAGGTAAGCCATCTGAGCTTCCCAGGGGACACCCAAGGCTGTGACCCACTAGGCCTGGCTTTGATGCCAAAACCAGAGTGGACAATTGCAATGGCAGCTGAGCACTGGTTGGTAGGTCTCATGGACCAGGCCGTCACTCCTAAGCCCTTCATATGTGTGGGGACAGTGGTGCCTCCCAGCAACCTGCTGATACTTAACCCCACTTCACAGATGGGCAGACTGAGGTTCACGGGGCCGAGTCATTTGCACAGGCCATACAGCTGGCAAATGGTGGAAGGGAATTCTTTTTTGGGGGGGCAGGGTACAGGGTCTCACTGTCATCCAGGCTGGAGTGCAGTGGTGCAGTCATGGCTTACTGCAGCCCTGACCTCCCGGGCTGAAGCAGCCCTTCCGCCTCAGGCTCCTAAAGTGCTACAATAATCGGCATGAGTCACTGCACGCAGCGGAGGGGAGATTTGAACCTGGGCAGCCTTGCTGCAGGGCCTGTGACCCTCTGCATTGCACCCGAAACGGCACGGGGTTTCACTTCCCCAAACCACAGGCGAAATTGCACTTTTATTGAAGCAAAAATTTTGATTAAGAATTTTTTTTTTTTTTGACCTAGAGAGCCCCTTTGAAACCAACTACGTTTTTCTATTGTATAAAATCGTTAGACCAAGACACAGAGTGCAGCCATGTGTACGCCTCAGCCCTGGGCTGATGGCTTCTGCCCTCTAGCCTCCTGCCCCAGATGGCCCATGGCAGAGCTGGACCTGGCTGGGTCCCCTCTTTTGCTGCCTGAATGCGGGCCATGGATGGAGTGGCAGTCATGTGGGGACACTTCCGCCCTCTCCTTTGCCCTCTGCCTGCGAGCTCAGCGCAGGGAGGGAAAAAGGCGGTACCACATTCAGCCCAGTGACCTTTCACCCTACAGAAGAGGCAGTGGAGGTGGGCAGGGAGCTGGCAGGACAAGGGAGTGTGATGCCAAAAAGGAGGGCTTACCTGAGTCCTGCCCCGAGCCATGCCACCCACAGGCCAGGCCGCCTGTGTGACTCACCCTTCCGCTGGCTCCCCCTGCTTGCTCCCTCCCTGTGCCGGCCCCCACATATTCTCACTCCCTGTCTCACCTTCCCACAGACCTGGGCATGACTCAGATTAAACTTCCCCTGCAGGCAGTCCCAGGGTGAGGGCTGTGGGGCCTTTGGCTACTGTTTGAGAGGCTCAGCACTGCCTGGACACTTCTCATTTTTGGGGAGTGATAGTCATCCACAATGACTAACATTCCTTGTGCACCATTTAAGTGGCCACAACTTAGTCCTCGCAGAACTCTCACCAAGTGGGCAGCGTTGTCACCCCCATGTTACAGGTAAAGAGCTGAGGCTGAGAGAGGTTACTCCCCTCACTCATGTCACATAGCACATCCTGGCAGAGATGGCATTCAGGCCTAGCTGAGCCCATCCCTCAGCACAGCGCTGCCCCAGGTCTGTGCAAGGTGTCCTGCCGGTTCTCAGCTCTGGGTCAGGATGCTGTTACAGAGGGCCATGCGCTGCTACAGGACTCCACCTGGACTCCAGCAGAAGCATCCCTTCCTCTGGTTCTACGACGTAATGCAGAGGACGTTTCTGAGGCTGAACTGTAGAGGCAGCTGTGGGACCCTCTAAAGGGCCAAAGGATGCTTTCATGCCTCCACATGGATTGAGATTTTGGCAAGGAACACAGTACTTTTGTTGAAAGGAAGAACCAGAGAGAGAAGTAGATGGTGTATTGAAAGCCTATTCTTGAAAGAGCCCTTGATCATGCCTGCCACAGGTCACGTGTCCCCTCCCTGATGCAACATAAGCTAATGGTTCATTCCTCTGATCTTGGAATCTGACACTGCCTTGGGGAGTCCCACTCAAACCCCCCTTCCCTGCACATGAGCGGAGAGAGCCGGGCTCCTCTCTCCAGATGTGTGACACAAGGCTGGCTCTGGCTGCTATGTGACCGCTGCCTCCTGGGGGTCAGGGCCTGGGCTGGGGGCTACTTATAACATCCAGGTCAGGGACTGCTGGGGCTGATTTGGGCCTGGAACCCAGGTCCTTCTCCATTGCCCAGCACCATTCGAGCACCCCTCAGCTGCTGGAGTCTGCTGCCGCCACCGCTTTCTGACCTCCCAGTGCACCTGGTGAGCACACAGCTCTCAGTGGGGCTCACTGGGCACCTCTGCCTGAGCCCCTGCTGCCTTGGCTTCCTGCTGTGCTGGTGACCCAGTCACAGAGTGGTCAGGACAAAATGGTCATTGCTGTGATTTGAGACCCAGGCAGCCTGCAGGGGCAGCTTAGTCTGAGTCATGCCCAGGTCTGTGGGAAGGTAAGACAGGGGTCGAGAATATGTGGGGGCTGGCACAGGGACTGAGGGAACGGGGAGCCAGAGGAAAGGTGGAGCACGCAGGCAGCCTGGCCTGTGGGTGGCATGGCTCGGGGCAGGACTCAGGTGAGCCCTCCTTTTTGGCATCACACTCCCTTGTCCTTCTGCCAGCTCCCTGCCCACCTCCACTACCTCTTCTGTAGGGTGAAATGTACCTGGCTGAATGTGGTACTGCCTTTCTCCTTCCCTGCACTGAGCTCTCAGCAGAGGCAGGCAATTCTGAGCATGAGCCGAGAGTTGCATGGACCTAGGTGCATACCTGGCTCTGCCACTTAATAGCTGTGTGTCCTAGTGGGAGTCCTTTAGCCTCTCTGAGCCTCAGCATCATCCACAGAATGGGATTAGGACAGACCACCCTGGGAGGCCACTGTGGGGGTAAGCAGCTCCTCTGCAGGGGGCACCCATGAGGCCCTTCTAGATGGAGGCTGGCGCACTCTCATCAGCTGCAGGGTGTTGCAGGCTGCTTCCTCCTGCCTCCAGGAGAGCCCTGTTGACACAACTCCGGGTTCTAGGACACCCAAGAGTTCCTTCGCTGCCTGATGGACCAGCTGCACGAGGAGCTCAAGGAGCCAGCAGTGGCCACGGTGGCACTGATGGAGGCACGGGACTCAGACTCAAGTGACACGGATGAGAAACGGGAGGGTGATCGGAGCCCGTCAGAAGACGAGTTCTTGTCCTGTGATTCAAGCAGCGACCGGGGTGAGGGTGACGGGCAGGGTCGTGGCGGGGGCGGCTCGCAGGCAGAGACAGAGCTGCTAATCCCAGAAGAGGCGGGCAGAGCCATCTCCGAGAAGGAACGGATGAAGGACCGCAAGTTCTCCTGGGGCCAGCAGCGCACAAACTCAGAGCAAGTGGATGAGGACGCCGATGTGGACACTGCCATGGCTGCCCTTGATGACCAGCCTGAGGAGGCCCAGCCCCCATCATCACGGTCCACCAGCCCCTGCCGGACGCCAGGTATCAGCTGGCCAGGGGCTTCGGGAGGAATGTCAGCCTGTGGCCCGATACCTACTGGGTGCTGAGTACTGACGTGCAGTAGCCCCTGGGGGATAGGTTCTTCAACTAGACTCAAATGACAGTTGGGAAGTCAGCTTCCAGGGGACTAAGTGATTCACCCAGGTTCCCCCAAGCTAATAAGGCTGGAACCCCATTCACAGCCCTCTCCTGGAGCCCCGTGCCTTCAGCGAGAAATGGAGTGGACAGCTCTGCTCTGGCCTGTGTGCTGGGGCCTGGAGTGGGCATGTGACACAGGAGACACATTGGGTTCAGGCCTTCGTCCCTTTAGGAGGGGCTGGCAGGCCCTCTTCCTGCCCACTTATGGAGCTGGTGTGGCTGTCTTGGCCCAGCAAGTTCCCCTCTCTGCCTCCAGAGCCGGACAATGATGCCCACCTGCGAAGCTCCTCTCGCCCCTGCAGCCCCATCCATCACCACGAGGGCCATGCCAAGCTGTCCAGCAGCCCTCCCCGTGCAAGCCCCGTGAGGATGGCACCGTCGTATGTGCTCAAGAAAGGTTCGGGGGGCAGAGGGGAGGGTCGGTCAGCTTAGGGCTGGGAGTTCAGACTGTGCCCGTGGCTGCCTTTCTCATGGCTCCCTTGTGACTGACGGCCAGGCTATGGGCTCCTCTCAGGCACAGCTCTGAGACACCAGTGTGGGGAGCCCCATTTTGCAGAGAATGACATGGAGACACGAGGAGGTGAATTGCTTACCAGTCACATGACTCACAGATGCCACTGCACATCCTGGCAAAGGAAGCCCCAGTGCCTGCACCTTGCCCCGGCCAGGCTGGTGGAGGCTGGGCTAGTCCTGCGTTGTGTCTCCAGCCCAGGTCTCGAGTGCCGGCAGCCGGAGGCGGAAGGAGCAGTGCTACCGCAGCGTCATCTCTGACATCTTCGACGGCTCCATCCTCAGCCTCGTGCAGTGTCTCACTTGTGACCGGGTGGGTGCCCCAGGGATGGGGGAGCTGGGCCTGGCTGCCAGCGGCCTTGGCAGCTCTTGCCCTGACTGAGTGCAGGGTGGGCTCTCCATGGGTGCTCCCTGCTTTTGTTGAGGCGAGGGCCCTTCCTGCGTGGATCCCATGTCTCTGGCCTGGGGAGCAGGCCCTCTGCCTCTCACCTGCGGGCTGGGGGTTGGGGTGCAGGTGCAGGTGCAGACGTTGCCAGAGGGCAGGCGCCAGACTGACCTTCAACCCCACAGGTGTCCACCACGGTGGAGACGTTCCAGGACCTATCACTGCCCATTCCTGGCAAGGAGGACCTGGCCAAACTCCACTCAGCCATCTACCAGAACGTGCCCGCCAAGCCGGGCGCCTGTGGAGACAGCTATGCCACCCAGGGCTGGCTGGCCTTCATTGTGGAGTACATCCGACGGTGCGCCCACCTTGCCACTAGTGGGTGACATGGGCCGGGCCTGGTCCTGGTTTTCCTGGGTGGGAGATACTACACAGCCAAGTCCATGCAGTTGAGGGACCAGGAAGGTCCTGGAAGGAACTGGAAGCCGAAGGCTGCAGAGGAGTTGGCTTAATAAGCAGGGGATTTCTTGGCTACTTTCAAGAGGCCAGGATTGGATGTTCCCTTGGAGCTGGAGGGCAATGACAGCAGGGAGGTGACCATGTGGCAGGTTGAAGGGAGGGCAGCAGCAGGACACAGGCCTGGTGGGCAGGAAGGGCAGCAGCTTTCCCCAGGCCTCCTCACTTGCCCAAGGCCATGGACCTATACCGCCCCAAGGAGGGGGCAGCATGATCATGGCCCCATCACAGATGAGGGCCACGCTTGGGAAGAGGTGATGTCACTTGGCCCAGGACATGGAGGGGTCTGGCTCCAGGCCTCTGCCCCGACCCACCGTGCCCGGCTGCCTCTCTGGGTCTCAGGTCTGACAACTCAGCCAGAGTCCCCTCAGTTCTTGTTTTCGCCCAGGCCCTGGCAGCAACTGCACTCTTTTCTTCTTCTCTGTAGGTTTGTGGTATCCTGTACCCCCAGCTGGTTTTGGGGGCCTGTCGTCACCCTGGAAGACTGCCTTGCTGCCTTCTTTGCCGCTGATGAGCTGAAGGGTGAGTGGCCTGGCTGGCAAGGGTGCGGGAGATGGGGAGTTGAAGGGACAGGGGTATGCAGACCCCTGCAGGCCAGCATGCAGCTCAGGACTTTGCCTCCAAGGTTGAACCCATCAGATTCCCACTCCCTCTGCCAGCCAGGCTGGGCCGGGGCCACAGGCCCTCCCACCCCGACCATCTTGTAGCTCTTGGGTGTTTACTTATTTTATTTTACCAATTTGGTGGGCAAAAATGATATTGTACGTTAATTTTGCATTTTCTTGATTACTGATGAGTTTCTACATTTTTTGTTAAATATACTGACTATTTGTATTTATTTAAACATTGCCCATGCCTGTTCTTCCCCTTTTTCTCAGTTGGCTATTTGGCATTTAAACCTTTGGTGAAAATTTCAATTTTCAATTGTGGTAAAATACACAGAATTTAAAATTTACCACCATAATCATTTGCAATGCTATTTTGAGCAGAAAGTGCACAGTTCATTAGTGTTAAATACATTCACATGGTGGTACAGCCCATCCTCCCCATTCATCTCCAGAACTTTTTCATCTTGCAAGCCTGAAACTCAGCATCCTTGAAATAGCTTCTGGTGCCCCTCCCAGCCCCTGGCAACCTCCGCATTTGAGTCTCTGTGAATATGACTACTCTGAGGACCTCGTATAAGTGGAATTAGACAGTACTTGCCGTGGCAGTACTGTGACTGACGGCTTTTACTGAGCAGGACGTCCTTAAGGGTCATATGCATTGCAGTGTGTGTCCAAAGGTCCTGCCTTTTTTAGGCTGATAATTGTTCCGTTGTATGGGTGGCTGGGGTCATTCTGCTCATTCGTTCATCCATCAGTGGCCGCGGGCTGCTTCCATTTTAACTGTTGTGCGTATGTTGCACCCCTCTCTTTTTTCATCCCTTTGGGTATATGTGCATTTTTAATTTATTGAGGAGCCACCCTACTGTGGCCAGCCCATTTCACATTCCCGCCAGTGACACACAAGAGTTCCAGTTTCTCCACATCCTTGCCCACACTTATTTTCTGTTTACTTTTTTGATGGGAATCAGCCTCATGGGTGTGAGGTGGTGTCTCATTGTGGTTTTGTGGTGTTGTTTTGGTTTTTTTGAGATGGAGTCTTGCCCTTGTTGCTCAGGCTGTAGTGCAGTGATGTGATCTTGGCTCACTGCAGCCTCCACCTCCCAGGTTCGAGCGATTCTCCTGCCTCAGCCTCTCGAGTAGCTGAGACTACAGGTGCCTGCCACCATGCCTGACTAATTTTTTTTTTTTTTTTTTTTTTGAGACGGAGTTTCGCTCTTGTTACCCAGGCTGGAGTGCAATGGCGCGATCTCGGCTCACCACAACCTCCGCCTCCTGGGTTCAAGCAATTCTCCTGCCTCAGCCTCCTGAGTAGCTGGGATTACAGGCTCGTGCCACCATGCCCAGCTAATGTTTTGTATTTTTAGTAGAGACGGGGTTTCACCATGTTGACCAGGATGGTCTCGATTTCCCGACCTTGTGATCCACCCGCCTCGGCCTCCCAAAGTGCTGGGATTACAGGCTTGAGCCACCGCGCCCGGCCAATGTTTGTATTTTTAGTAGAGACGGGGTTTCACCATATTGACCGGGCTGATCTCAAACTCCTGACCTTGTGATCTGCCCGCCTCCCAAAGTGCTGGGATTACAGGCATGAACCACTGCGCCTGGCCTCATAGTGGGTTTTTTTGTGTGTTGTTTTATTTTGTTTTTGAGACAGAGTCTCTCTCTCGTCACCTAGGCTAGAGTGCAATGGTGTGATCTTGGCTCATTACAACCTCTGTCTCCTGGGTTCAAGCAATCCTCCTGCCTCAGCTTCCCGCCTCCCTAGTAGCTGGGATTACAGGCATGCACTACCATACCCACCTAATTTTTCTATTTTTGGTAGCCCAGGATTTCACTATGTTGACCAGGCTGGTCTGGAACTCCTGACCTCAGGTGATCCACCCGCTTCAGTCTCCCAAAGTGCTCATTGTGGTTTTGATTTGCATTTCCTAATGAGTAGTGATGTTGTATGTCTTTCCACGTGCTTGCTGGCCATTTGTAAATCTTTGGAAAAACGTCTATGTGAGTCCTTTGCCTGTTTTGTTTTTTGTTGTTAGTTATAGGAGGTTTTTTTTTTTTCTTGAGACAGAGTCTCACTCTGTCACCCGGGCTGGAGTGCAGTGATACGATCTCAGCTCCCTGCAACCTCCTCCCTCTGCCCCTCAGGTTTGAACAATTCGTCTGCCTCAGCCTCCTGAGTGGCTATGATTACAGGCGCACACAATTTTTTTTGTATTTTTGTATTTTGTATTTTTGGTAGAAACAGAGTTTCACTATGTTGACCAGGCTGGTCTCAAACTCCTGACCTCAGGTGTTCCGCCTGCCTCGGCCTCCCAAAGTGCTAGGGTTACAGGCATGAGCCACCACACCCAGCCAGGTTTTATTTCTTAAGCAGAAATAGTTTTTCTGCTCCCCCATTTCCCATCCCTGCTAACTTCTGACCCTTGTTTTAATGTCCTAGGTGACAACATGTACAGCTGTGAGCGGTGTAAGAAGTAAGAGCCTTTCCAGCCTTTTCCCTGACTGCCCGTTTCTGTGCTCTGCATACTCCCCTTGGGTTCTTGCAGAGAGACCACCTCCCATCCTGCCCTCTTGGAAGGGAGCCGGGTGGAGGGCTGTTCCCCTTCGCCCTGCCCCTGACTGTGGCTCGTGCTTCCTTCCCAGGTTGCGGAACGGAGTGAAGTACTGCAAAGTCCTCCGGTTGCCTGAGGTGAGGGGCGGCCTTGGCAGCCTCCTCCTCAGCTATCTTGAGGTGCACACTAGCACATACCGCGTGGGGGCTGACCCTGCTCCACTGCTCAGGAGCTTCTGTGCTGCAGGGACCATGGAGATTCCATAGCTTTGGCTGAGAAACCTCTGGGAAGGGTGGGCATGGGACACATTTTTCTGACTTTGACTTGGTGCCCTCTCTCGGTGCCTCAGCACATATGTGGTCTAATGTGTTGTGTGAGGGCCCAATGGGAGGCAGGTGTGTGGGACACTGCGGCCCCTCCCCCAGTGAGACAGGTGTGGCCCCTGCCGGCTGCAGAGTGGCCAGAGGAGAGCTGGCCTGGCCGGGGCTATTGTCTTGGCCTTTCTGAGGAGTGACATCTGAGTGAGGCCTGGAGAGTATAGGCTGGTGTCAGCATCAAGACGGGAAGGCGCAGAAGGAGCAGACAAAACCCCACTGCAGGAGCAGGCCTGTCCGCACCAAGGAAGGCATGCGTGGCTGGAGCAGAGAGGAGGGCCTCGGGCGAGGGGGCGCAGGATGGGGCTGTGCTGCCTCGGGGAAGCTTTGTGGCTTCTCAAAGGCAGTGCTGACAGAACCAGTAAACTTGATGGCCCAGTCCAGCTGTCAGGGTCCAGTTCTCAGCAGTGGACCTGGGAGTGATCGGTGTGACTTAGAGCACGCCCGGTCTGGCCCCTATGTGGAACTCTTGGATTTGTTCCAATGGATTCAGCTTGCATGATCCCATCACGTGGCCTGGGCCCGCGGGCAAGGCTGCAAGGGTCCACGTCGTTTCTGCCTAGATGACTGCTGCTCTCTTTCCCCACAGATCCTGTGCATTCACCTGAAGCGCTTTCGGCACGAGGTGATGTACTCGTTCAAGATCAACAGCCACGTCTCCTTCCCTCTCGAGGGGCTCGACCTTCGGCCCTTCCTTGCCAAGGAGTGCACATCCCAGATCACCACCTACGACCTCCTCTCGGTCATCTGCCACCACGGCACGGCAGGCAGTGAGTCGCATCCCCTCCCCCACCATCCCCATCTGCTGGGTTCCCCGTGACCCTTCTGCTCTGCCACCACAGGTGGGCACTACATCGCCTACTGCCAGAACGTGATCAACGGGCAGTGGTATGAGTTCGACGACCAATATGTCACGGAGGTCCACGAGACTGTGGTGCAGAATGCCGAGGGCTACGTGCTCTTCTACAGGTGGGCACCAGGCCTGGCCTGGCGGGGAAGCCTCACCACCCCTGTCCCCTGGGACCTGTGGGCCTTCTGCCTGTGTGTAGGGGACAGCGCCTGGAAGGGTTTTGAGCCAGGGAAGTAAGGACTTGAATTGTTAAGAAAGAGCCCTCTGGCTGCTGTGGGGAACCCAAGAAGGCAGCTTGGGACCTTCTCTAGGGCCCTGGCTGGTGTCACGGGCTGGCTGCTCACATGTCGAGGACCCCTGAGGGACCCAGGAGGTGGTAGACAGGGCCAGTAGCTCCAGGTGCACTGGGATGAGGGGCTCTGCATGTATCTGGACATGGCAACCATCAGGCACAGCTCCTTGCCTTTTCCTCATCCCGCAGGAAGAGCAGCGAGGAGGCTGTGCGGGAGCGGCAGCAGGTGGTATCCCTGGCCGCCATGCGGGAGCCCAGCCTGCTGCGGTTCTACGTGTCCCGAGAGTGGCTCAACAAGTTCAACACGTTCGCGGAGCCGGGGCCCATCACCAACCAGACCTTCCTCTGCTCCCATGGAGGTGAGGCGCCTCCCTGTGGTGGGAGAGCAGGGTGGGTGGGCGGCCGAGCCCCAGCTTCCCTCCCTGTACCTGCTTCCCAGGCATCCCACCCAACAAATACCACTACATCGACGACCTGGTGGTCATCCTGCCGCAGAACGTCTGGGAGCACCTGTACAACAGGTGAGAGCCTGGGAGGCTGTCCCACCTTCGTCCTGTCTGGGGCCCTGCTGGCAGGAAAGGAGAGGAGGGCAGGGAAGGAATGCTGCCAGGACCCCATGCTGGGCACCCACGCCTGGCTGGCCTCCGCTCAGGCAGCACAGAGCTGCCTTCACTTATCTCATGGAGAATGACACACGTTGTCTGTGGGAACCCATTTGGATTCTTCCAGTCACAAGGGACAGGAAACTGGCTGAAGCACAGCCAAGTGCATTGGCCCATCAGCCCCTCAGCCTTGGAGCAGGGCCTCCTGGGGGCTGTGGGCGCTGCTCCCTTGTGGGCTCCGTGGTGCTCACAGGGTGGTGAAGAAGACAGAGGTGCACGCAGGCCTGTGGCAGGCGTGAGGGGGAAGTGGAAGGCAGTGATTGCTCTCCCCTCACCGGTCCCGCCTCAGACCGTGTCTCTCTCTCCCCCCACCCTGGGCAGATTTGGGGGTGGCCCCGCCGTGAACCACCTGTACGTGTGCTCCATCTGCCAGGTGGAGATCGAGGCACTGGCCAAGCGCAGGAGGATTGAGATCGACACCTTCATCAAGGTGTGTGCGGCGGGGCAGCTCTGCCAGCCTCTGCCTAGGGCGGCTGGGGGCTTGGGGACAAAAGAGCCCTGTGTAGTCCCTGAGGAAGTTTGCAAGGAGTCTTCTGAGGCTAGGCGTGGTAGCTCACACCTGTAATCCCAACACTTTGGGAGGCTGAGTTGGGCAGACTTGAGGTCAGGAGTTCGAGACCAGCCTGGCCAACATGGTGAAACCCCATCTGTACTAAAAATACAAAAATTAGCCAGGCATGGTGGTGCATGCCTGTAGTCCCAGCTACTCAGTAGGCTGAGGCAGGAGAATTGCTTGAACCTGGGAGGCAGAGGTTGCAGTGAGCTGAAATTGTGCCACTGCACTTAGCCTGGGCAACAGAGTGAGACTCCATCTCAAAAAAAAAAAAAAAAAAAAAAAAAAAAGGAAAGAAAGGCGTCTTCTGCAGGGAACTAGATGGCCAGGTGTCTAAGAGACTTTTCCTGGTGGGAGGGTTGGCTTGAGTAAGTGAAGGCTCAGCTTTGGCTGTGTTACTTTGGGCCGAACCATTCTGTATTGTGGGACTGTCCTATGCATGGTAGGATGTTTGGCAGCATCCTTGGCCTCTACCAACTAGTGCCAGTGACAACAAAAATGACCTCCAGACATTGCCAAGGGTCCCCTGGGGTGCAGTGTACCCTCCGTGCTCCGGGTGAGAACCACTGGGCTCTCCAACTGCCTGAGATAAGCAGGAAGTGAAAAGCAAGGTGCAAAACAGGACTCGCGTGTGAGTGTGTTTAGAAGAGGGGCTTCTGCAAGGGAGCTGAGTGCACGTGAGGCTCCTGGCACACTCCTTCCCTGCCACGCTGCTTCTAACGGGCAGGACATGCTGTATTCACAGGGAGGGCCGGATGAGAGACACTGAGGAACGCCCGTGCTTTGTGGCCTCCAGGAAGGGATTCTGTTGGCCGGGCGCTGTGGCTCATGCCTGTGATCCCAGCAATTTGGGAGGCTGAGGCAGGAGGATCACTTGAGCCCAGAAGTTCAAGACCAACCTGGCCAACATGGTGAAACCCCATCTTTACAAAAAATACAAAAACTAGCCGGGTGTGTTGGTGCACGCCTGTAGTCCCTGCTACCTGCAGGGCTGAGTGAGGTGGAAGGATCACCTAAGCCTGGGAGGTCGAGGCTGCAGTGAGTGGTGATCGTACCACTGTACCGCAGCCTGGGCAATATAGTGAGCCTCTGTCTCAAAACAAAAAAAAAATGCTGTCAGGGCTGGGCATAGTGGTGTGCACCTGTGGTCCAGCCTCCTCAGGAGGCTGTGGTGGGAGGATGGATCACTTGAGCCCAGGCGGTCAAGGCTGCAGTGAGCCATGATTTGTGCTGCTGTGCTCCCACCTGGGTACAGAGAGAGACCACCATTGAAAAAAAGAAAGAAAGAAAATGCTTCTGTCAGAAGGAGAGCTGCTCTGAGCAGATAGGAACATTTTATTCCACAGGGAGAAGCAGCATCTCCCTTGTGGTCTCAATTGGGTCAGTTATTGAAGAGAGTCCCCAGAATGTTACCGCAGTCCTCTCTCAGTGATGGGTGTGTTTATTTTGTTTGAGCATGTCTGGGGGTTCTGATTTTTCACCTTGAGTATCTGATGTTTTTGTAAGAGTCTTGGGCGAGGGACTGGGGCGGGGGCCTTTGGGAAATCCCTGCTGAAGGTGAATAGAGGCTGACCTGCCCCGTATCCTCTCCTGACCCTGCTGGCCGGCCCAGCTGAACAAGGCCTTCCAGGCTGAGGAGTCGCCGGGCGTCATCTACTGCATCAGCATGCAGTGGTTCCGGGAGTGGGAGGCCTTCGTCAAGGGGAAGGACAACGGTGAGCTGAGGGGGGCCTGGCTCTTTCCCACTGTGGGGGCCTCCTGGGAGATGGGATGCTGGCAGGGGAAGGCCAGCACACAGGGGCTTCTGCAGGCCCTGGGCCTGCCCTCTGGGTGCCACCCATCCAGCGTGAGGAGAGAGCGTTGGGCTCTACCAGTCCCCAGCGGGGATCACTGTCCCTCCCCAGAGGCTCGCCTCCCTGGCATGCCCAGCAAGCTGCTCCACCCACCTGCAAGGCTCTTTCCTCAGAATATGTTGTCCGAAATGACGGATTTGTTGGCTGACCCCTTGAATTTATAGAGGTAGAGACAGGCGCCATCACGAGGAAGCTCCCAGGGCCTCCATGTCCCTAGTGCAGAACAACCCAAGCCATGGATTGCCCATGGCTCAGGGCTCCAGCAGGGTGGGCAGAGCCCGTTGTTCTGCTTGTGGGACCCTTTGTGTGGAGCCCGAGCACCCACGTGTGCTTGGGAAAGGGAAAGTCTCACTGCCATACTGCTTGTCGGGGAAGGTGCCAGGACCACTCTGAGGCCTCTCTGGTGTTCGCTGAGGCCTTCAGGGCGGCTGTGGTTGAAAATGTAACTACAGAGTCCCTACCCTGGCCTGGACGCTTGCCTTCTACCAGCTGTGACCTGAATGGTTACTTCACCTGCTCAGGCCTCGGCTCTGTCTCCATAAACCTCTGTCTTGTTCTGTGGTTGCCGAGGCTAAATGAGACAGCTGGGCGCAGGGGAAGGGGCACAGTGAGTAGCAGCTGCCAACAGAGATAAGGGTGTGGCCCCCCACCCCAGCTCCTCCCGCTAGCACAAACTATCTCGTGTGTCCTAGAAATTCCCTCTGCTGGGTCCTCAGACTGCTGCAGAGGAGCACTGGGTGGCCCAGGCGCCTGGCTCCCTTAGAGACTCCATGCTGACCCCAGGACTGGGTGGCCTCAATTGGGATGGCTCTGCTGCTGTGGCGGGTGGAGGGCGTGGAGGGGCTGAACTCCAGTCCACTTCGTCTTCCAGAGCCCCCGGGGCCCATTGACAACAGCAGGATCGCACAGATCAAAGGAAGTGGCCATGTCCAGCTGAAGCAGGGTGAGTCCCCTGGGGCCAGCCAGACTCCCCTCTGCCCCTCCTGGTTGCCAGGCTGCTGCCCAGTCCTGCCCTTCAGGAGCCTCCTTGCCACCTGTCTTAGAGCCAGGCTGAGACGTCCACTTGAGTCCAGGCCCAGGCGGCTGAGAGGTGGCCCACGGGGCTCGGTCTCTGCTTGTGTCCTCCAGGCCCCACCTCTCCGCCTGCCTGCCTTGCTGTTCCTGTCAGCCCCATCCCCAGGAACAGAGGACACAGCCGGAGACGGGTTCTCAGGGATGGGCGTTCCTCTGGGAGATCCTTGTTTCCATCTGACAGCTTTGCATAGAAGTCCTGGTTGCCCTCTCCCCGATTCAGGTCCTGGGCCTCAGGAGCCCTCACTGCCCAGGCTGGTGGCCTCCTCGAGGCAGCGAGGGTGAGCCCAGGGGTGCCTCTCGTGCCCTGCAGGAGCTGACTATGGGCAGATTTCGGAGGAGACCTGGACCTACCTGAACAGCCTGTACGGGGGCGGCCCCGAGATCGCCATCCGCCAGAGCGTGGTGCAGCAGCCGCCGGCCCCAGAGAGCCTGCACGGGGAGCAGAAGATTGAAGCCGAGACTCGGGCCGTGTGACTTGCTGGGCCGGTCTGTAAGTTGCCCGGCTGCTCCCTCCACAGCACTCTGGGTCCTCTCCTCCCTCTCCAGGGATCTCGTGTGTCCCCTTGAGCATCTGAAGACCAGGTCCCTGACGGCACCTTCTGGAGGCTGTGGGAGGCCCTGCATGCAGCCCGGCCCCCCCTGCTGAGTGCCCTTGTCCCCACAGCCCTGTGTGCCCCACCCGCAGAGGGCGTGTTTATGCCCAGAAGAGTGGCCGGGCCGCTGCAGAGCCCCGCTGTGTAAAGAGGCAGTAAAGTTGGTTTGGTTCGCAGTGAGGAATGCTGCGACCAGAAAATACAAGCACTTCAGGCTTGTTCAAACGACCAGGACTCTGTGATGTTACTTTGGGTGTTTGTCCTGGCAGTGCCCCTGCCAGTCACTGTCATCATTGTGTCCCCTACAACTGCCCTGTCGCTAGCTCAGCCCAGCTTTATCCCTGGAGCCCAGTGCCACCCGCCTCAGTCAGAGGCTTTGACCTAGGACAGAGTCGGGGAGAAGCTGCCAGGGAGAAGCAGCTGCTTCCACTCGGCCCAGACTGACGACTTGAAGGGAGCTGCTCAGAGCTGGTGAGCGCAGCCAGAAGCCCCTGCCAGTGAGGAGCTCACAGGGCCTCCCTGATGGTCCCCGCACCCTTGCCTCTCCTGGTCGTCACCAGAAAGACCCTGAAGTCTCAGGCTGCTCTTAGCACTTTTCCTGCAGACTGAAGACTGGACTCATTGGTGATTGGAGTACCACCAGGAGGAGAGGTTGGATTTCCACCAGTGGGGAATGTTTCTGGAGGCAGCTGGTCCCCTGCACTGCGTCCTGCTGAGCCTGCCACCTGGATGGACTGTAATTTGCCTCGAAGTTCAGCGGTTCATCTTCACGGGAAATTTGCCGAGCCCCCACCAGGGACCTGGATGATGAAACAGGGATACCTCACAGCGCCGCCACTTGCTGCGGAGGCAGCTTCCCAGGCCGACACCAGGGAAGGCAGACTTTCCCTGCCTCCCAGCTCCAGCAGTGCAGAGCCGGTGTGCAAGGGGCAGCGCTCAGGCGAATCCTGGGAAGTGGCCTCTGGATGCTGAGTGGAGAAACCCACTGAGCACAGCAAGGCACCAAAGCCCCTGGAGGAACCACGAGGGTGAGAGGTGCCGCCGTCGTTAGGGTCAAAGCAGGCAGGGCGTGGGTGGGGAAGGGGCTCTGGGACCAGGCCCCCCTCACAACTGTGGTCATCAGTCTCTAGAAGCAGATGCTGGTGGAAATTCTAGCAGGTGGTTCCGGCAGAGGCCCCGAGGCCTCACTTTTCAGATTTTCTCTCCCAGATCCTGCTCCCTCCCTGCTGAGCCTGGGGTTCCCTGGCATCGGCCCCAAAGCCACTGCTGCAGCCAGAGGCCACAGGCCATGCTATGGTGACACAGTGAGGCTGCTGTGCAGGCTGTGATCTGACCCCACGTCTGCGCTGTCTAGTGTGTGTTCAGAATGTCAGAATAAACAGAACAAACATTCCCACGGCCGCACTGTCGTCTCTCCTTCTCTGAGGTTAATTCTGTTACTGGAGGGAAGGTGAGCCTCTGTGCCATGGGGACAGCCTGCCGAGCCCTGGGGCTCATATTGCAGGTCACCAGGCCCGGGAAGGGGCTTTCCATGTGGCTTTCTGAAACCAGAGACCACCTGGAGGCTGCAGAGGCGAGCGGAAGAGGAGACCCAGTTGCTTTGAAGGCCCATCGTGTCTCCTTTACTGGAATCAGCCCCAGTCTCAGAGAAGTAGGACCAGATATGGCCAGTGGTTGAGGCCAGCACATCCCACAGGCACTCCCCCTCTGGCCACTCAGGCAGGCTCGGGCAGGTGGCTACAGAGTGACCATGAGCAGGGGTTCCCTCCCCTTTGCACACCGGTCCTGGGTGCTCAGTGATGCTGGCGCTCAGCAGCCTCAGTTTTTTGCTGGGGCTTCTTTTGGGGGAGATAAGAACTTGAGATTTTTTTTTTTTTAGAACTTGAGATTTTTATATCAGCATTTATTTGTGAAATCCCATTGCTGCAGGAAAAAGGGGTTCTGATCCAGACCCCAAGAGAGGGTTCTTGGATCACGCACAGGAAGAAACTCAAGGTGAGTCTCAGAGTTTACTGAGGAGTTGACCGAAAGCTGCTCAGGTACAGAGGAGAGCATCCTCAGAAAGCAAGTGGAGGGCTGCCCATCCGTTTTCACCTCCTCTCACGTAGGGTCTTGGCTGTTGAAAAGCTACGCCGTGTCTGTCAGGTGGGCTGAGAGCCTGACACAGTGGATTGCTCTGTTGATTTGAAGAAAGCCGTCCTTGGCATCTTAGTGCGTAAGCGCATCAGAGCCTGACTGTGCCCATCTTCAAGCACGCACTGTGGTGTGGTGTCCGAACCCTCTCTGTCCTAGGAATGTGTCTTTGTGGGCGTTACGTAGCTGCTTCCTCAGACGTAAACATTCGAGGTTGTGACAGGTCCGGACTGTGCCTCGCTAGTTTTCAGGTGGAGCTGAACTCCTAGGCTCCTGCCTCCCTACCATGATCGAATATGAGCGCACAGAAGCATTTTAGCATATGCAAGGCTAACATGGTGACAAGGACCCAAGATGGGACATTGCCAGTTCCGTGGAAAGCCCCCGGGCCCTCCCAGGTCGGCCGCCGTGCCCCGCCCCAGAGGTAGCTCATTGGATGCAGCTCCCTCATCCCTCCTTTTTTTTTTTTTTTTTTAATAGCTGAAAAAAGCTTCATTTTTAAATTGAGGTTTCTGACTATGCCTGTGCCTTTAACACCTGCCCAGCAACTTTCTGCTCCTTGATGAGGAAAGCACACTTGATCCTGTCCAAACACATTCACACGGAGGCACCAGAGGCCTTGCTGACGGGTTTTTTTGTTTGTACACAGGGTCTCGCCTTGTTGCCCAGGCTGGCCTCGAACTCCTGGGCTCAAGTGATCCTTCTGCTTCAGCCTCCCAAAGTCCTGGGATGACGGGTGTGAGCCACCACACCCGGCCGCTTGCTGACATGCTTTTGGTCTTGGACAGTCTCACAGGCACGTTAGGTCTCACGGCACAAACCCCTCGAAGTCAGCCCAGCCCACGCCACGTGTAGACTTTGGCCCTCTCCCAATCTTGGTATAAAGGTAAACGTTTCTTTTCCCAGGGGTTCAGGATGGCCTAGCGTTGCTAGAGGCTGCATTCTAGGGAAGGCTGTGATGGTTTGTGAAATTCTGGGAAAGCCTGTGACAGTTTGTGAAACTGGACCATGCTGAGTGCCTGAGAACAGCGTCCCCAGAAAAGGAAAAGGCAACCCTGGTCTTCATGGTTACATGTATGTGGGAATCTCTAAGCAGTATTTTTGGCTTTGCTCACATTTGAACGTTAGCTACATGTCAATGTGATTGATGTTTAACATGGAAAATGAGAATGAAAGAGCTTTGTCTGGAAGATAGGAGGTTTGGAGACAGTTCTTGCATTACAGGAAGGTGAGCTAGAAGTAGGTACCAATTTGCCCCAAAACGTTTCCTTATATCTTCCTTTAAAATACCTGGCTTTCAAGGAGTTCAGTCAAACTTAGATGCTGGAATCTGTAGTCTGTGGTTGATTACTTAGCAGGGACAGGGAGTGCTCACTGGCTGAGGAGGCTGGGCTCAGGCCTCGCCCTGAGTGTGCTGCCCACGGTGGCTCCTCCTCTGCACTGAGCCAGGCTGTGGCTCCAGCAGCGCCTCTTAGAGGAGTCGGAAAGCTGCCCCTGCACAGTGTGGGGTGTTGGGAGGGCACCTGCCGCCTGCCTGTGGTTCTGTCAGCCATGGCACTGCCCACAAACCTGCATCTGAATATATTTGCAAGGTGCAGCCCCCAAAAAGTAGTTTCCTACCTTCATTCGGTTTTAAATTCAGTGCAAACCTAAATTATCCCGAGGGTCTTAATGCTACCTAATGCTGAGCCCCAGAGAGCCTTGGGGGAAGTGAGCGTGGGTTTCGGAATCACAGCCATCTCTGGCTCTTCCCTCCTCTAACTCCAGTTACACAGAGAGACACCTGCTAACTGGAGGGAGCAAGGGTAAGATGGGTGCAGAAGAAACGCATGCCTTTGGGAAAGCCGGGAGCAGTAGATAGCCTGGGCAGTGTACGCTGTGGAAAGGGCCCGGTTTCTTAGAGTGCAACCTCCTTTCCTTCCTTTGATTCGACCCCAGTGACCAGCCTAGATGAGGGGCGTGTGGAGAGCTGGAACTGGGAGAGAGGTTTTGAAGGGCCGAGCTTGGCCCAGCGCGGCAGCCAGAGGCTGTGTGGACGGAATGCGGCCCCGTCCTGGGCTCCAGCAGGTGGCGCAGGGCAGAGGGGAGCCTTTTCTCCATCCCCATGGGGAGAGTGGGTTGTGTTCCCTCCGCAGCTTCTGTCCCCTTAGCTCTGAGGACAAAGATATGGTTGTTCCTCGGCTTCTCTTGTGGTCCGGAGATGTGCCCGGGCGTTGTCACTATACCATCTGGAGGCCTAACAGGAGGCAGGAGAGCTCAAGTCAAGGCCAAACCCTGGAAAAGCAGCTGACACACCAAGGGGCTGGCACGTGCCTGCTGGTAACCTTTGCGTGCTCATGCCAGGTCTCAGAGGGTGCTGGCAACACAGATCCCTGCCTTCCCTCTCGGGAGAGGGCTACAGGGACCAGGGAGGAGGAGGCCGGTACCACGCGGGTGTACAGAGCCGGGGACTGGTCTGGAAGGTGGCTCTTTCCCACCATGTGTCTCCGGCAGCAGCAGTTCAGAGTTAGGCTTCCAAGCTGTCCCGTGAATTCCACGATTTCTGAGTCTTTCGCTTCAATAAAACAAAAAAAGAGCAGGGGGCATGCTGACCCCCACCTCTGCCCACCTCCCTCTCATTCCTCACCTCCTTGCTCCCCTCCACTGCTGCACTGTCGCCTGCTCCCGCCAGGGGTCCCCACCACCTCTGCACAGACAGACGAGCTGCCTCCGAGGCCCAGGCATGCCCAGGGCAGGTGGAGGGTGTGGGGCCGGGGGAGGGCCAGTATTTCCTGACCCGCCTCAGGAGCAGGCCCCACAGGCTTGTGGCCTCGCTGGAGCCTGTGAGTCAGGAACTTCCTACTTCAAGAGGCTTCCCCAGTGCAGCAGAGAACAAACTAGTCACCCCCACTGCTCCTGACCTCTGTGACATCCAGACCCGTGGAAATGGGGGTTCCAAACCAGCAGCCTCAGCTCTAGGCGCCTCAGCGCTGGTGCAGCTCTGGGAGAAGGAAGGCTGGGGGGGGGGGGTGCGCACAGGTGGAGGCTGTCTCCATCCCAGATTGCTGGGTGCAGTCCCAAAACATTCTTTCCAAATGGACTTTTTACTGACAACCTAGAGGAGAGGGTTTGGGGTAGGTTAACAATAGACCCACCTTGTTCCCTTTTGCCACGCTGTGTCACACTGGGAACCAGGAATTCTCAATGGTGCCTTGAAGCCCTCCGCCTGTGTTAGTGGGTAGAGGTTCCCAACGGCCCCTCACTGATGCCGTCGCCTCCTGTTCTCTCTGAGGACACTTGGCATCAGCAGAGCTGCGAGGCCTGCACTTGGTGTAGCTGCGAATACACCGTTTCCTGGACAACTGTTTTCTTAAAACAGTGCTAAAAAACCCCTTTGGACATAGAGAAGTGTGGGCACAAACCAATCACATCTTCCCCCAAAAGGCCGGGGTGCAATTTTCAAAGCTGGCTGTGGAAACAGGGCCTCCGTCTGCACGTGTCCAGTGGGTGCCGGGCACAAGGCTGCTGCCTCTCTGAGTTGTCCACATGAAACAGCTCTGTACTGCCCGCAGCGTCACCGAAACCAGTGATTCCAGTCACATGACCAGGCGTACTGGCTTCAGCAATGGTGATACCAGATCAGTGAAATTCAGCCATGCCTTCATTTCACCACCTCCCCCTGCCCCGGCCCCGAGCAGTGGGGTCCCCAAAGAGCTAGAGTAGCAAGTTAAATACTCCTAGCCATGAGGAGCCTCTTGGAATCCCTGCACTAAATCAGCTTGAATTTCCTGTCACCACTGTCTGAGAGCCTCCCACTCCACCGTGGGTGGGGATGGAATTTAGAACTATCTAGGCCTCCAGCTCCTCCCACAGGCCAGCCCCCCAGCCCAAGGGGCTTCCAACGACACCAGAATGCTTTCTCGACTAGGCTTCTCTCTTCGTGCAACAGAACAGTCCCGTGACACAATGCCAGAAGTTATACTTTATTTTAACACTTAGAGGATTAACATATAGTTACAAGGTCAATAGAAGCCTTCCAATGGAAGCACTTTATTTGGTTTAATTCCATCTCCAGAGACAAACCGGCAACTCTAGGGCCTTTACGGTGGTGACGGGCGGCACAACAGCAAAATGCCTCCAAAGTTTAGAATTAGTGCAACACACACACGGACGTTTTAAAGGTGCTAAACATCAGGTTAAAATAGAATTCTGGACCTTTTTTCAAAGAAGTTTTTTGGATGATGTAAGTACAGAAGGCAGAGCCAATAAGAAACATGAAACCAGTATTTCTGGAAAAACACTTAGCATGAACGTAACTTTTTGACGTCGTGTAAACTTTCTTCTGTAATGACAGATGTTACCAAAAGGCATGGAGAGCTTTGTGCTGGTGCCGATCAGACAAGCCGCGGCTCATCTCCACGGTGAGCGGGATAAAAACCTCCGAGGACCGCCTCGTGACAGCCCTCCGTGCCCTTTCCTACTTTCCCATCCTGCAAAGGAAAAACTGGGTAAAGGACAAGCTCCTCTCTTCCATTCGTTTCTAAGTCACTTTCAGGGCAGGTTCTTTTAAAATTAGTCATCTTACAACACAACAGTATCCTAGCACAGCGGCGAAGTGACAGGCGGCAGCGACGGGGGAGGAGGGAGACGCTCATGGGACGTTCTACTCTATGCAAACTGTCCGTAAAAATGCAGGCATGATTTCACAGTAGGATTCCCAGAGTAAATGACACACCTCAGCTTTCACAGGACTACTGACCCCCTCTAAGAAGCCCGGCTGGGCAGCATCGCGCTTTCCACGGGGCCACGCAGGCTGGCCAGGAAGCAGCACCCAGGTTCAGCATTTAAGAGCACTCTTTTTGGAGACAGGTGGTGGAGGGGTTTTTAGAAAAAAGGCAGAGTTGTTACAGAAGGATACAAGCATATCCTCTACCGGGGGTGACAGTCATTAAAAGAACAAATTATTGCAGCTTAGACCTTTGTCACTATGTTGCGAGAAATGAATCTACCCTGAAAGATGCAATGCACATGCATTCCTGAAGCTCTAAAACCAGATTTTAAAGAACCGTTGCACATCCTCGTGGAGTGGAGAGTGGTCAACTTGGCGTGGTGAGGTCAGAAATTCCTGGCAATCCCTGTCGGGCCTGTGGACAGAGGCGGCCTTCGCGGGGCTGTGGGGGCCGCCGCACTCACCATGCATCTGTTGGTCTGCAGGGACAGAGGTGCGGCCCTGACTCTGCCCACCTGTATCATCCTGGCTTCTCTTTTGACTGTCAAGCCAGTCCTCCGGCAGGACTGATGCGTTGTGCACCATGCTCAGGTCGCCAGTTGCAGGGACCGGAAGCCCGCGGCTTTGCCGCGGCCCTGAGCCTTCAGCGGGTGGTGTGCAGTCCCCCGGGGAAGTCAGGCTCACACTCGCCCACCTTAAAAACCTGAAGCCACTTCCTCTTCATCTGCTGAGCCTCGGCGTCTCCTCGATTGTGGTTTCTCTTCCCCGAGCGCTGACTGAGCTGCTCCGGAAGGGTGGTGTGTGGTCAACCCTGGTTGGCTGAGAGGAGCAATTTCCTGGTTTCCACGAGTAAAGACGGGCCCATCCCTTGGGACCAGTCCTTTCTGTCCCTGTCCCTTTGGCTCCTATAGGACTTCCTTGTCTTAGATTCATAAATGTCGAGAGGAACTGAGGATGCTTGAGGGGACTACCTAGTTACCAAAGCCAGGCGAAGAATAAAGCTGGCCAACGCCATCCCCAGGCTTCTGTGGCGCTCTTGGTCCCAGGAGCCCTCAGCCAGTGGTTCCTCTTGACTGTTTCTGCACCAAATGAGGAGGGGCTGCTTTGCTCTAAGGTGCAGGGGGCCATAGGTTAGGAGACCCCAGGTTTTCCTAAAAAACCCACTCAGGGAAAGAAACAGCTGAAAAAGCAAACTCAACTCATTCCACATGCCCTGAAGAGCTCGTCATAAAATACAGGGGTGGTGGCCATGGGATCCCTCAAATGACCAAGAGAGGCACGGGGTCTTTGGTGATGAAAGTGCTAACCTCGGCTGGGTGCAGTGGCTCCCGCCTGTAGTCTCAGCACTTCGGGAGATGAGTGGGCAGATCACCTGAGGTCAGGAGTTTGAGACCAGCCTGGCCAACACGGTGAAACCCTGTCTCTACTAAATATATGAAAATCAGCCAAGCGCGGTGGTGCATGCCTGCAATCCCAGCTATTTGGGATTGGGAGGCTGAGGCAGGAGAATCGCTGGAACCCAGGAGACGGAGGTTGCAGTAAGCCAAGATCCCGCCACTGCACTCCAGTCTGGACAACAGAGCGAGACTGTCTTAAAAAAAACAAAAACAAAAAACACCAAGAAAGTGCTAACCTCCCCAGATGCTCATCCTGGGCCTCGTGGAGAGAAGACGATGGTCGCTTTGCAATGAGCCGGTGCAGAGGGGAGGGCCTCGCTCACAAGCGCATGATCTGCTGTTCTCAGGGACAGGGACGTGACGGGGAGAGCAAGGCTGGCCCGCGAGCTGGAATTCAACTTCCAGAGTGGACCTTCCTAGGTCACTGAAGGCAGGGCGCCAAACCAAAAGGGGTGTGTGTGTGCGCGCACGGGTGTGTACCGGTGAGGGTGCATGTGTGCCTGTGGGTGTGTGTGCCCCTGCCCCCTGCCCACCAGATGCTCTCAGGTCGAGGGGACGATAAGTCAACGTTTAGTATGAGGTGTAAGCCTAGAATCAGAAAACGGCCACTGAGGACTTCACAGACCCGGGAGAAGAGGAAGTGTTTCCTGCAGCAGACCATCAGGGACACACGGGTGACATCGGAGTGCTCAGTCTGCCTGGTGTGTGTCGGACCTGCCTTGTGTCCTCGGGACCCGTGATGACATTTTCACAAAAGGCACTGTGTGAAGCGCGGAAGGGCCGCCAGGACGAGCCCGGGTGGACCAAGGGCCCAGGAAGGAGCTGGCAGGGGATGTGTGTCCCACTGTCTCAGTGGCCTGTGGGGTGGGCAGGGGGAGCAATGAGGACTGACCAGAGCCGTCGGGGGGGGGGCGTCGCTGGCAAGACTTGTCCCCTCAAGAGCCGGCTTGGGCCGGGCAGGAGGGCAGGGAGCATGCCGTAGAGAGAGAGAGGGGCTGCCCCTCAGGGATGGGGCTGCAGAGGGGTGGGCCATCCACAGGGCAGGGCGCTGGAGGCCTGTGGGGACAAGCAGACGGAGGCTCCTCCAGGAAGGCTCACCCAAGGCTTGAGGCTCGCTGGCACTCCCCTCTAGGAATCTACAATACAAAGAGAAACAGAGAAACTCTCTGTTAGACAGGAAGGCGAAGGTTCTAGGCGGGCATTTTGCTCTTGGCTACAAACTGCACCGCCTTGTGGGGGGGGGCAGTGGGAGGGGAGGGAAGGGGTGGGAGGCAGCATCTTAGAGCAGTGGGTTACCACAGGGCGAGTCTGAGATGAGGACCTTTCACGGTTTTCTCTCTGGCCTTCAGCCGGTCTTTCCTTCAGGGAAGGAGAAGCCCAGACAGGACACTGATGAGACCATCCGCCCCAGCTCATCTTTCTCGTAAGTTTAGCTTTGAGAGAAAGTAAGAAACGGAGGCTGGGGACCAGGTGCGGTGGCTCAAGCCTGTAATCCCAGCACTTTGGGAGGCCAAGGCGGGTGGATCACGAGATCAAGAGATCAAGACCATCCTGGCCAACATGGTGAAACCCCATCTCTACTAAAAATACAAAAATTAGCTGGGCATGGTGGCGCGTGCCTGTAGTCCCAGCTACTCGGGAAGCTGAGGCAGGAGAATTGCCTGAACCCAGGAGGCGGAGGTTGCGGTGAGCCGAGATCGCGCCATTGCACTCCAGCCTGGCAACAGAGCGAGACTCCATCTCAAAACAAACAAAAAAACAAAAACAAAGAAACAGAGGTTGGGACCAGACTCATGGCTCACACCTGCAATCCCAGCACTTTGAAAGGCTGAAGCGGGAGGCTCTCATGAGCTCAGGAGTTCAAGACCAGCCTGGGCAATATAGCCAGACTTCATCTCTATGAAAAATTTAAAAAAATTAACCACAATGTTGGCATGTGCCTGCAGTCCTGGCTATTCGGGAGGGTGAGGTGGGAGGATTGCTTGAGCCCAGGGAGGTCGAGGCTGCAGTGAGCCAAAATTGCGCCACTGCACTTCAGCTTGGGTGACCTTAACTTTGCAGTGAGACCACAACTCCAAAAAAAAAAAAGAGAAAAAAAATGCATCGGTTTCCTAGAATGGTGCAAGGGGCATGAAGGCCCGATTCTCTCAAAAGGAAACTCTCCGCTCTTCAGCAGTACAATGTAAAATCTTTGGTGAAAGGAAAACCTGTCATTCTGTATTCATTCAGTGATAAACAGTAAAAAGTTCTTCATCTCAAGGAGAGAGAAAAGAAACAAAAGAAACATAGACTTCCCAGGCCCTGAGTGCACGCAGGATCAGAAACAGGGGAGGTGCCATCATTTAAAGGAAGAGGCGGGGGTAGGAGGCAGAATTTTTAAAAAAGCATTTGGCTAGACAATCCCCTATTACCGGAGATGAAAGAGTTAAATATTCACATTACACAGAATAATTTTCTTGGAAAGATGAAAAATCACTTAAAATACACAATACTGAGAAAAAATATAACATTTATTAGAGAGGCAGATACGAGGGTACAACTAAAAGATGCCAGACAGAGTCTTTTCTTTTAGGATAAGAATAGAAAGAGACAATCATGTTGCTGTATTCAAACGAAACTTACTCAGAACCCCAGAGTTTATAATAAACTCAAGTGCGGAGCCGCAGCGGGGGTCTAGCTCCCCATGCGAGAGGCTTCGCGGCTTTCCGGCAATTATAAAAACAGAAAGGTCATTAGGCAGCAGGACACCCATAAAACAAACAGATAAAAGTACAACATTAAAACAACTCATTCAAGTACTCCTTTTAGTTTTTAAGTTGCAGTATATACACATGTCTTCTGTGGGGGGAATTATGGAAATATTTAACAGACAGCAATTAAAAAAAAAAAAAACACAAAAGGAAGTCACAATCCAGTTGACCCATCAGAAGTCACTCTAGTCTAAATATTTTGGCAATTATTAAATAAGCACATTGTAGACACACACACACACACACACACACACAACCACAAAAGGTGCACCGGCATTATTAAAACAGCTGTACTGAGTTATGGGCCTCCGAACACGTGGCTTTGCCCACATCAGATGGGTTTAAGGGGGGCAGTGTTTGTGGGGAGGTTGGATAGACTTATAAACAGAGTAGGGAGAAAAAGCTTCTCTGTACATATTAATCTCTAAGTGTAACTTTCAAATAAAAGGAGAAAATTGTGTAAGTAGCTGAGATTTTGCTTCTTTTAACAGTCTTTTATTTAACTGCTAGAAAAAGATAAAGTATACTTTGGGTGGAAATGGAGATTCCCAATTCTATGGGTATTGATTTCTACTATTTCACGCATTGATGAGATGGACCTGAAATTTACAAAATATCTTCAACTGTTTAGTCAATATTACAGAGATTCACCTGTTAAGAGTACTGAGGCATACAACCTAATGATCATAAATTTAAAAATTATCATCATAAATTTATGTGCCCAAACCCCTCCCACCCCATTCCCCCTGAAACCAACTAAGCTAGTTTCTGAGTTAAATTTGAATAACTAAATTTGAATAATTAAGAAAATACACAGCTAGACAGAATGCCTTTTTGCAAATCAGGCTTTTACAAAGTTAACGTTGTCTTGCCCTATTTTTGTTTTTTCAGTGTTTTAGTTTGCTTTGTCCGGGAGTTAACAGATTGGAAATGAGTTTGTCACTGGATAGAAAGGTCAGATTTTAATAACTTAGAAGTTTCCCATTTACTTGATTACTCGGGTGAAGCTGGAAACTTCCTACTGCTCATTTAAACAGATCCCTGTGGTTGAAGGGTCAGCTTATTTTCTTGCTGCAATCCTTACGAAGGAGAACTGAAACAGTTTTCCTAATGAGGCCTGGCACCAGGATGGGTGGCTTTATTGATACTATGTCAGCAAAAATATCCAAAAGAAATGTGGGCCTGGCATGGTGGCTCCGCCTATAGTACCAGCACTTTGGGAGGTTGTGGCGCGAGGATCACTTGAGCCCAGGAGTTTGAGACCAGCCTGGCCAACATGGTGAAAACTTGTCTCTACTTAAAAAAAAAAAAAAAAAAAAAAAAAAAAAAAATTAGCCGAGTGTGGTGGTGGGTACCTGTAATTCCAGCTACTTGGGAGGCTGAGGCAAGAATTACTTGAACCTGGGAGGTGGAGGTTGTAGTGAGCCAGGATCACGTCACTGCCCTCTAGCCTAGGCAACAGAGTGAGACTGTGTCTCAAAAAAAAAAAAAAAAAAAGAAACTTGAACTACAAAGTTAATATATATTTTACTACTCAGGCTGACAGTATGCTGTAATTGTGTAAGAAGAAGCCATTGGGGATGGTGGGTGAAGGGTGCCGGGGCCTCTCTGTCCTATCTTGGCAACTTCCCGAGAATCTCGTTAGTATTTCAAAATAAAAAGTCTGACTAAAAAAAAATCAGGCTGTCACTAAGTAAAGGTTAACTGGCTGTGAGAATCTTGAAACACAGTCACAAGCAAATGTGTGGCTACTGCTTGGAAAATCAGCTTTAAATGGACTTGAGCTGATCAAATGAACCCATGGTGTAGAGGCAGGGGCTAATTTCCTACTTGAAAGTGGGAGGGACACAAGGAAATAATTTTCAGAAGAGAATCTGAACCTGACATCTTCATTCTGACCCATCTGAAGTGGGTTCTCTATGATCTCGGGGTAGACTCTCAAAATCGGCACAAGGAGATGCCTGGCAACCATCTAGGCGTGTGACCGGTTTCACTATCTACCCTCCCACAGCAGTGCCAACTTAAAAATGCAAATTCTTATGTGGCCTAGATTCCTTTTGATGTGGTGAGACATTTTATTTCTTTCTGGCTACAGTTAATTGTATAAAATGAGCCAGACATTCTAAAATAATTTTCAGTAAATCCAAACTTTGCCAATGACTGAAAACAAAAAAGGCCAAAAGCAAACCCCAAACTCTTTGAACAGCAACGTGCTGAGACCTGTGTCTGTGGGTAGAGCATTTGCTGCCACACCACATTCTATTTATAGCCCCACCTGGGCAAGCGTAAGCGCAACAGGAACAGAACCAAGGGTGAGAGAAAATCACAGTCAACAGAAGTTGATGCATGGATACACCCTGCTTTTAATAACTGCATCTAAACAGTGATAGCACATCTGATCAACCAGTTTGGGCCAGGCACACTGGCTTGCGCCTGTAATCCCAGCATTTTGGGAGTCAGAAGCAGGCGGATCACCTGAGGTCAGGAGTTTGAGACCAGCCTGGCCAACACAGTGAAACCCCGTCTCTACTAAAAATACAACAATCTGCAGGATGTGGTGGCGGACGCCTGTAATCCCAGCTGCTCGGGAGGCTGAGGCAGGAGAACCGCTTGAACCTGGGAGGCAGAGGCTGCAGTGAGCCGAGATCATGCCACTGCACTCCAGCCTGGGCAACAGAGCCAGAGCCTGTCTCAAAACAACAACAAAAACACAAACACACACCAAAAAACCAGCCAATTTGATGACATTTGGAAAATCTGTAATCCCATGTAAAAATCAACTGGTCAATTCACCAAACTTTTCCAGCTTTCAGTTGGTTGTTTGGGATCATACAGACCTCACAGGCTACTCGTGATATCCTACCAAGGGTGCTGGCCATGTTTAAGTAAAAATACACACTTAGGATGCCAACCTAAGAATCTTATTTACTGCTTTAGTCAAGAAGGAGGAGATGGTCTTTACTTGTGGCTTCCTCCCAAGTGAATGAGTATACCATTTAACGAACCAGCACAGTTCAATTTGTTCAGTTATAGTGTGCAACCTCCTAACGTAGCTCAACGTCTGGTGGACACTAGATATAAACAAGAGAAGGGAAGTCTTTTGCACTTCCAGGATATGTGCCGGCTTTTAAATTCAGTAAGATTAATTAGAAGCTACAGTGCAACTGATATTTATCTACAGATGCGGCCAAAAGAAGAAATGTTTATCAGATTTCGAATGACCCGGTTGTAAATTGGCAGGTGGCAGCTTTCCACATAATTTTCATCAGCAAGTGAAACTTGATCATAGCCCAAACGAGACAAGGCAATTCAGGTGCCCGGGCCCTGAAGTCCACCGTGAGACTACAGGCACACGGCACTGTGGTGCTTGCCAGCCAGTCTCTTGAAGAACTGCCTGTAACAGTCACAGTTGTGGGGAGAAACAACTCCATTTTTTTAAAGATTTTTTTTTTTTAATGGTATTAAATATAAGTCTTAGCACCTTTGGCATTTTTGTCCAAATAGACTTCAACATAGGAAGTGGGGACATAGCCCTCTTCGTCTTCATTCCTCCGGATGCGGGTCCAGCCGTCGCCTTTGTCTTCCTCGATGACGTACAGTGTTTCTCCTTCAACTACGGAAATCGTTCCTTCATTCTGACCTGAAAAAGCAGTATCGGGACATTTTAGATTTGGCAAATGCAGGTAGAAAGCAAACTGCGGCCATCATGCCTGTAATCCCGGCACACTGGGAGGCCGAGGTGGGTGGATCACGAGGTCAGGAGATCGAGACCATCCTGGCCAACACGGTGAAATCCCGTCTCTACTAAAAATACAAAAACTAGCCAGGTGTGGTGGCGTATGCCTGTAGTTCCAGCTACTCGGGAGGCTGAGGCAGAAGAATTGCTCGAACCCCAGAGGCAGGGGTTGCAGTGAGGTGAGATTGCGCCACTGTGCTCCAGCCTGGTGACAGAGCAAGTCTCTGTTTCAAAAAAAAAAAAGCAAACCGTGGCCTTTGCAATGAAACAAGTGTCATCAAGGATGAAGTCCAGGCCAGGCGCAGTGGTTCACACCTGTAATCCCAGCACTTTGGGAGGCCGAGGTGGGTGGATCACGAGGTCAGGAGATCGAGACCATCCTGGCCAACATGGTGAAACCCCGTCTCTACTAAAATTAAAAAAAAATTAGCTGGGTGTGTTGTCACACGCCTGTAGTCCCAGCTACTCAGGAGGTTGAAGCAGGGGAATTGCTTGAACCTGGGAGGCAGAGGTTGCAGTGAGCCGAGACTGTGCCACTGTAGCCTGGCGACAGCGGGACTCCGTCAGATGCACTGACGCTTCATCCACTGCTGCAAAACTTTCTCCTTCCACACAGAAACGTCCAGGTTCTTACCTCTGTCTCTCTAAGAACCCTCTCTACATCCTCCAGGGCTTCTTTCTCCTACCTTCGGGAATGGCAAGTATCTCCCCCAGGAGAAATCTTTGGTCCTCTTCTCTAGTCTTCCATTTACCTTGGATCTCTCTTGGGCGAAAGGTACTTCCATGGCTCCAACTGCTTCTCTCTCTCTCTTTTTTTTTTTTTGAGACAGAGTCTTGCTCTTGTTACCCAGCCTGGAATGCTATGGCGTGATCTTGGCTAACTGAAACCTTCACCTCCCCGGTTCAAGCAATTCTCCTGCTTCAGCCTTCCAAACAGGTGAGACTACGGGCACCTGCCACCACACCCAGCTAACCTTTGTATTTTTAGTAGAGTCAAGGTTTCACCATATTGGCCAGGTTGGTCTCAAACTCCTGACCTTAGGTAATCCACCCGTCTTGGTCTCCCTTTTATTTTTTTGGAGACGGAGTCCTGCTGTACTGCCCAGGCTGGTGTGCAATGGCATGATCTTGGCTCACTGCAACCTCCGCCTCCTGGGTTCAAGCGATTCTCCTGCCTCAGCCTCCTGAGTAGCTGGAATTACAGCCACATGCCACCATGCCCAGCTAATTTTTTATTTTTAGTGGAGACAGGGTTTTACCATGTTGGTCAGGCTGGTCTCAAACTCCTGATCTCAGGTGATCCGCCTGCCTCAGCCTCCCAAAGTGCTGGGGTTGCAAGTGTGAGCCACCACTTGCAACCCCAGCATGGTCACTAGGCTTATCTTTCTAACCATCCTCTTGAGTTCTAATTGATCCTACACTGCTGCAAACGACTTTCCTGAGATACAGCTCTCACCGCATCAATATCCTGCTCAAGGACCTTCAACAGCTCCTCAGTGTTTGCCACATACAATCCAGATGTTTCTCCAACCTCGCCCCGATTGGGACTTCCCACTTTTTAGTGTCACATTTCACTGTGAGGACTTAAGACATCTAAGCTCCAGCAACACGACACCTATGCTTGGCCACACAACCCCATGCATGACAAGTTCTTTTTTTTTTTTTTGAGACGGAGTTTCACTCTTGTTACCCAGGCTGGAGTGCAATGGCGTGATCTCGGCCTAAAGTGTTACGATCACAGGCCTGAGCCACTGTGCCCAGCTGACTTTTGTATTTTAGGTAGAGACGGTGTTTCACCACGTTGGCCAGGATGGTGTTGATCTCCTGACTTCGTGATCCACCCGCCTCAGCCTCCCAAAGTGTTAGGATTACAGGCGTGCACCACCGCGCCTGGCCGCTGCCCGCTCCTTGAGTGTGTCTGGCTGATTTCCCTCTGGACAGGTGCCATATCGTACTGCATCCCACTCCTTCATGGGCCTTCACAAGACCAGGAGCTCTATAGATACTAGATGTTAAATGAATGGATGAAATCATCATCTTCCATATCATCCACTGCAGTGAAGTTCTCTGGAAGCTGTTAAGTTATATGAACCACAAGTCAAAATACACAACCAAATAATAATCATACCATGAGTAGGATAAAAGCATAGTAGAGAAAGATCTAGAAGGCGGCTGCTGCTGTTTTTTGTTTTGTTTTGTTTTGAGACAGAGTCTTGCTGTGTCACCTGGACTGGAGTAGAGTGGTGCTCTTAGAGCACTGCAACCTCCTCCTCCCGGTTCAAGCGATTCTCGTGCCTGCGCCTCCCAAGTAGCCGGGATTACAGGTGCGTGCCACCATGCCCAGCTAATTTTTGTATTTTTAGTAGAGATGGGATTTCACCATGTTGGCGAGGCTCGTCTTGAACTCCTGGCCTCAAGTGATGTGTCCCCCTCAGCCTCCCAAAGTTCTAGGATTACTGGTATGAGCCTGTAACCACACCCAGCCAGATCTAGGAGACTTCTAAGAAAGTTCTGGTCACAGAGAACAGTGTGGCTAGGCACAGTGGCTACACCTGTAATCACCACATTTTGGGAGGCTAAGGTGGGAGGACTGCTTGAATCCAGGAGTTCAACAGCGGCCTGGGTAACATAGTGAGATCCTATCTCTACTGAAATATACAAAAATTAGCCGGGCATGGTGGTGCTCGCCTGTAGTCCTAGCTAATCAGGAGGGTGAGGCTGGAAGATAGCTAGAGCCCGGGAGGTCAAGACTGCAGTCAGCCATGACCGCGCCACTGCACTCCAGCCTGGGCAAGAGAGTGAGACCCTGTCCGGGGGGGAAAAAAAAGGAAGAAAAGTGAAAGAAGAGTGACTCAGATATTATGGTTTATAAAAGGCAGGGGAATCCAGCAGACATGAAACGTCACCTTCAAACGTGTAGAGAGCTTTGCATGTCCCTATGGCAGGGAGGGGCTCCTCGTCATCAAATTCGTCGTCAAAATCTGTGGCCAGCACCTTCACCTCACTCTCCTGACTCTGCTCCTCTGTGTAACTGCCATCTGGGCTGCTCAAGAAAGGAAAACACAAAGCAACTAAAGCGACTGACCCGGGGAGGACTCAGAGGGAGTCCCTGCGACTGCAAAGCGCCTACAACCCCCACCCCTCACTGAGTGCTGTCACTGAGACCACGGTAAATCGTCCGCACACTCTGATCGCCCAGCCTGTGTGGAATTATAAATCTGTGTCATCCATCGTCACAGGCATTTTGGCATGGAACAAGTGCCTTATGCTTATTTCCCGATTCCAAAATTTAAAGATATAAATACAAAGGCAGCAGGCTCCCTTGCCAGAGGCAGGTGCTGTGCAGATACTGTACCTCTCGCGGTCCTGGGCGCAGTTGTTGACGGCAGGTGGGTTCTGGCTGTCGTACAGTCCGCTCTGCCGGTGCATCTGCTCACTGCGTGCTGGGAGCCGGCCTTCAACCTCAGCCAGCCAGGCCTGGAGACAAAAGCAATGAGAGACTCCAACCTAAGGCCATCGGAGGGCCAGGCCGGAGCGTCCTAAGGTCCCAAAGGCCATTGGAGGGCCAGCCCAGGGCGTCCTAAGGTCCCAAAGGCCATCGGAGGGCCAGCCCAGAGCATCCTAATGTCCCAGAGGCCATCGGAAGGCCAGCCCAGAGCGTCCTAATGTCCCAAAGGCCATCGAAGGGCCAGCCCAGAGCATCCTAATGTCCCAGAGGCCATCGGAGGGCCAGCCCAGGGCGTCCTAAGGTCCCAAAGGCCATCGGAGGGCCAGCCCAGAGCATCCTAATGTCCCAAAGGCCATCGGAGGGCCAGCCCAGAGCATCCTAATGTCCCAGAGGCCATCGGAGGGCCAGCCCAGAGCATCCTAATGTCCCAGAGGCCATCGGAGGGCCAGCCCAGAGCGTCCTAATGTCCCAAAGGCCATCGGAGGGCCAGCCCAGAGCATCCTAATGTCCCAAAGGCCATTGGAGGGCCAGCCCAGAGCATCCTAATGTCCCAGAGGCCATCGGAGGGCCAGCCCAGAGCGTCCTAATGTCCCAGAGGCCATCGGAGGGCCAGCCCAGGGCGTCCTAAGGTCCCAAAGGCCATCGGAGGGCCAGCCCAGAGCATCCTAATGTCCCAGAGGCCATCGGAGGGCCAGCCCAGAGCATCCTAATGTCCCAAAGGCCATTGGAGGGCCAGCCCAGAGCATCCTAATGTCCCAGAGGCCATCAGAGGGCCAGCCCAGGGCGTCCTAAGGTCCCAAAGGCCATCGGAGGGCCAGCCCGGAACGTCCTAACGTCCCAAAGGCCATTGAAGGGCCAGCCCAGAGCATCCTAATGTCCCAGAGGCCATCAGAGGGCCAGCCCAGAGCGTCCCAAGGTCCCAAAGGCCATCGGAGGGCCAGCCCGGAGCGTCCTAACATCCCAAAGGCCATCGGAAGCCCAGCCCAGGGCGTCCTAAGGTCCCAAAGGCCATCGGAGGGCCAGCCCAGAGTGTCCTAACATCTCAAAGGCCATTGAAGGCCCAGCCCAGAGCGTCCTAAGGTCCCAAAGGCCATCAGAGGCCCAGCCCAGAGTGTCCTAAGGTCTCAAAGGCCATCGGAGGCCCAGGCCAGAGCATCCTAAGGTCCCAAAGGCCATCGGAGGCCCAGGCCAGAGCGTCCTAAGGTCCCAAAGGCCATCGGAGGCCCAGCGCAGAGCACCCTAAGGTCCCAAGGCCATCGGAGGGCCAGCCCAGATTGTCCTAAGGTCCTAAAGGCCATCGGAGGGCCAGCCTGGAGCGTCCTAAGGTCCCAAAGGCCATCGGAGGACCAGCTCAGAGTGTCCTAAGGTCCCAAAGGCCATCGGAGGGCCAGCCCAGAGCGTCCTAAGGTCCCAAACTCAAGAGCTGTTCTTGGTCATCTAACCCAATGTGAGAAGGTCCACACGGGGGCAGAATGGCCACATTTTCTGCATTTGACTGTTTAAATGTACTCAAGGGCGGGTGCTTCCATTTCACCCAAAGGTGGAGATGTAGAAGCAAAGTCATATTTATGTGGTTGCCCATGACGGGGCAGAAAGCATACCGGACTGTGTTATTCCCTTGGGCTTTTAAGCAGTGGTGCAATCTTGGATAAGCCACTTCTAGTTCTTTTTTTTTTTTTTTTTTTTTTTTTTTTTTTTGAGAAGGAGGCTTGCACTGTTGCACAGGCTTGAGTGCAAAGGTGTGATCTCTGCTCATTGCAACCTCTGCCTCCCAGGTTCATGCGATTCTCCTGTCTCAGCCTCTGAAGTAGCTGGGACTACAGGGACCCACAACCACGTCTGGCTAATTTTTTGTATTTTTTTTTTTTTAGTAGAAACGGGGTTTCACTATGTTGGCCAGACTGGTCTCGAACTCCTGACCTCATGTTCCGCCCACCTCAGCCTCCCAAAGTGCTAGGATTACAGGTGTGAGCCACCATGCCCGGCCCTAGTTCCTTCTTGACCATGAGGTCACCCTGTGACACCTGAGGGTACAGCCATGCTTAAGCAGTGACTTGGTTTGAAAGCCACACTTCCCATTTTTTAACTTTTTTTGATAGAAATGAAATTTGCACTTAAAAATTAAAGTAGATAAAATAATCTTCAGCAACATTTGAAACAGTATAAAGAAGTCGAATAAAAATGACCAGAAGCCTGGGCACAGTAACTCAGGCCTGTAACCCCAGCACTTTGGGAGGCTGAGGTGGGCAGATCACGAGGTCAGGGTTCGAGACCAGTCTGGTCAACATGGTGAAATCCTGTCTCTAATAAAAATACAAAAATTAGCTGGGTATGGTGGCCCAGCCTGTAGTCCCAGCTACTCAGGTGGCTGAGGCACAAGAATCACTGGAACTCAGGAGATGAATGTTGCAGTGAGCTGAGATGGCACCACTGCATTCCAGCCTGGGTGACAGAGTAAGACTCTGTCTCAAAAAACAAACAAACAAAAACAGAAAAGGACACTTATAAATTCTAAAAGCTCAAATGAACATTATTGATGGATTCTGAAAAGAATGAAAAAAGTTGGCTGGGTGTGGTGGTTCAGGCCTGTGATCTCAGCACTTTGGGAAGCCAATATGGGTGGATCACCTGAGGTCAGGAATTTGAGACCAGCCTGGCCAACATGGTAGAAGCCCTGTCTCTACTAAAAATACAAAAATTAGCCAGGTGTGGTAGAATGTCCTGTAGTCCCAGCTACTTGGGAGGCTGAGGCAGGAGAATTGCTTGAACCCAGGAAGTGGAAGTTGCAGTGAGCCAAGCTCACGCCACTGCACTCCAGCCTGGGCAACAAAGCAAGACTCCATCTCAAAAAAAAAAAAAAAGAATGAAAAAAGCCATAGCTGACCTTTCATTGCTGGAAACAATCCATTCTGATTGGTAGAACTGGTTGCTGATGTATTTTTCCATGCTCTGTTGTCTTTCAATGTGGTGTAGAGAGTGGGTTAAGGAGCTTTTGTTGACAGCTTTTGAGTACTCCTCTCCCTTCCTCAAACCTTTATGATTTATGTTTCCTGCTTGTTTCTCACAAACACATTTGTGTTTCCTGCTGGTTCTCACAAACACACCCTTTCCATAATGGGCATAAAGAACAATTGCATACTTCAGTGAATTTTTTCATTGCTTTTTTGATTCACTGGGATAATGGATTGCTCTATCCTCCCAATTATATTACCACGAGACGTAGCAGAATAACTAAAATTACAAAAAATACTGGCCAGGTGTGGCGGCTCACATCTGTAATTCCAGCACTTTGGGAGGCCAAGGTGGGAACACGGCTTAAGGCTGGGAGTTCAAGACCAGTCTGTGCAACAGAGCAAGACCCTGACTCTAAAACAAATAAAACTTAGCCGGGTATGGTGGCATGTGCCTGCAAGCCCAGCTCCTCAGAGGCTGAGCCAAGGAGATCAAGGCTGCAGTGAGCTATAACCATGCCACTGCTCTCCAGCCTGGGCAAGACAGCAAGACCCTGTTTCCAAAATTAAAAAAAAACAAACAACCCCCACAACCCCCTACTGTATACAAATAAAACATTAAACACTGTCAGTTTTTGTGTGTGTGGTTTTTTTTAGATGGAGTCCCACTCAGCCACCCAGGCTGGAGTGCAATGGTGCATTCTCGGCTCACTGCAACCTCTACCTCTCAGGTTTAAAAGATTCTCCAGCCTCAGCCTCCCGAGTAGCTGGGACTACAGGCACGTGCCACTGTGTCTGACTAATTTTTTTGTATTTTTAGTAGAGATGAGGTTTCACCACATTGGCCAGGCTCATCTTAAACTCCTAACCTCAGGTGATCCACCCACCTTGGCCTCCCAAAGTGCTGGGATTACAGGTGTGAGCCACTGCACCCGGCCAACACTGCCGGTTTTTACAGACACAATTAACATAGGCTATGATGCGAAGCAGAAGGTTCAGTAGTAAACAGTGTATTTTTCCTTTGATTGTAACTCATGACACAAACTGCCAATCCCACTGTCTCCCCCAGTGAGAGGACTGCCAGGGCCCCACATCATTCTACACTGAGGAACACCTTTTCTTCTTTATTCCAACAAAGCTTTTTGACAATGGAAGTTTCATACCTCAAATTTCTGGGTCTCTAGTCGCAGTTTCTCTATATTTTGGCTGACTTCTGCTAATTTGTGATCCAAACTGGCTGGGTCTCCCATCTGAGGATTCTTTAGGTAGACATCTTTCATTTTTGTTATGGCATCTCTGAAAGGAAGAACAAGTAGAACGCTGTAAAGGTTGCTTTTTTTTTTTTTTTTTTTTTTTTTATTAGATGGAGTTTTTCACGTGTCACCCAGGCTGGAGTACAGTGGTGCGATCTCGGCTCACTGCAACCTCCACCTCCTGGGTTCAAGCAGTTCTCCTGCCTCAGCCTCCTGAGTAGCAGGGATTACAGGTGTGTGACACCATGCCCAGCTAATTTTTGTATTCTTAGTAGAGGCAGGGTTTTGCCATGTTGGCCAGGATGGCCTCAAACTCCTGACCTCAGGTGATATGCCCATGTTGGCTTCCTAAAGTGTTGGGATTACAGGTATGAGCCACTGCGCTAGGCCAGTGTTACTTTTGTCAGCCAATACTCTACCACTTTGAAAAGCAAATGAGGGCCGGGTGCACTGGCTCATGCCTGTAATCTCAGCACTTTGGGAGGCTGAGGTGGGCAGATCACGAGGTCAAGAGATCAAGACCATTCTCACCAACATGGTGAAACCCCATCTCTACTAAAAATACAAAAAATTAGCCAGGCATGGTGGCATGTACCTGTAATCCCAGCTACTCAGGAGGCTGAGGCAGAATCACTTGAACTCGGGAGGTGGAGGTTGCAGTGAGCCAAGGTTGTGCCACTGCATTCCAGCCTGGGTGACAGAGCAAGACTCCAACTCAAAAAAAAAAAAAAAAAGGTGGGGGTGTGTGTGGTATGAATGGAAATGTAGGAAGATATTAGAGTTTGGATTATAAGGGACTACCAGGCCAGCTTCCATTCTGGCAATTCTCTATAAGAATTCTGCTCCCAAGGGCCATAAATACAGAAGCTGTGTTTTAAATTTTAGTTCCTGTCTCTGGATGGTATCTCCTCATTGTCCCCAACAAAAGAAGAACATAAATTAATCCTGCCCTTCCCTTTGCCCCAAACAACAAGAAAAACAAACAAAACCCAAGAATTAAAAAAAAAATTGGGGGGCCGGGCACGGGGGCTCAAGCCTGTAATCCCAGTTAATTGCTCTGACAATGTTAACACACATCCATTTCAAAGGTTAAGAAACTGAATCCACGACAGGTAAGCGACAGAGCCTTAAAGCTACACACGGTGGATCTCACGTCCTCACTGAAACCCTGTTTGGAAGCAGCCCACGGCAGTGTGGGCAGGCATCCCTAGAGAAGTTCGGGCGTGTTGGGGTTTAAGACCAATGGGCTCTATTCCTTTGGCCCTCATGGCAGGGCACCTCTGGTGGCCTTCGAGTCATGAGAAGTCTACAGCAAATGACTCCCAGGGTTAAGGAGCCAACTTTGATGAGTGTCAGCAAAAGAAAATGCAAACCAGGTCATACGATACAATCTGAAGCCAACAGACGAACCAGAAGATACATTCTGAGGCATGAGAAATAGTTTAACAGAAAGTAAGTACACAGATAACAAGAAGAGAGCTTTCGCAAGTCCTCACCACCCTCCACCTAAGAGCCTGAGACCCACTTGGGCTCCCAGCTGCTTTATCTTGTTTCTTTCCTCTCTTCCTTCCTGTCTTCCTCATTTCCTGCCTGCCTCCTTTAGCACAGCACGCATCATTCATTATTATTAGGCTTATTGTTCACTGTGTCTCCTGCTGTTAGAATGGAAGCTCTTGGAGGAAGCTCCGTGAGCTCAAGTTCCGTTGTTAACCTAATGCATCCCAAGTGTCAGGGCCATCCCCGGCACATAATAGATGCATAATAAGTATTTGTCAAATAAGTTTATATTTAAATAAACATTTAAAAATAATGTTTATAAATAATTTTTAAATAAACAGTTGTAAATGTTAAATGTCTTTAAAAATGTTTACATAGATTGATGAGACAGAAAATTAACAACGATACCCAGGACTTGAACTCAGATTTGGAACAAGTAAACATAATTAACATTTATAGAACTCTCCACTTTACACAAAATATACACTCTTATCAGTACCACATCATATCAACTTAGAAGTTTAAACGAAATGTTGGTTGGCTCCTTGTTTGTTACTCTCTTCCCTCATTTTCTTTCATGTCTCCATTATTAAGGACAATTATAGGCATACCCATATTTAGACTGCATTCTAGCTCGGGCAGCAAAGCAATACCCCCATTCTCTCTCCCTCTTCCTCTTTCTCTTTCTTTCTCTTCTTTATTCTTTAAAAAAAAAAAAAAAAAAAAACTAGCTTTCTTCTCAACAATATTTAATTGGTAAAAGCCAAGAGGGCCACTGAATTAATTATTGCTAATATATTAAGTATTTCTACAGTAAACTTTTACTAATATATAAGCTATTTCCATAGCTTAAGTTTAGTTGATGTAAAATATCGTATTTTTATATGATAAAAAGAATTATGGAGAAAAAGTGAATGGGAGAGTACTCAGTCTCTTTATAATAAAAAAAAATGTTTACATAAACATTTATTTAACAAATAATAAACATTACAAACCAAGTGAAATGGTGTCTACCCTTATGATGTCCTTTATTTTTTTTGAGATGGAGTTTCACTCTTGCTGCCCAGGCTGGAGTGCAGTGGTATGATCTTGGCTCACTGCAGCCTCTGCTTCCTGAGTTGTTAGATGTTTATGTATCAGGTCAATGTTACTAACTGTATTATTTAAGTCTTCTATAATAACTTTGAGTACATTATTTATTTATTTATTGAGACAGAGTTTCGCTCTTGTTACCCAGGCTGGAGTGCAATGGCGCGATCTCAGCTCACCGCAACCTCCGCCTCCTGGGTTCAGGCAATTATTCTGCCGCAGCCTCCTGAGTGGCTGGGATTACAGGCATGCGCCACCATGCCCAGCTAATTTTTTGTATTTTTAGTAGAGACGGGGTTTCACCATGTTGACCAGGATGGTCTCAATCTCTTGACCTTGTGATCCACCGCGCCCGGCCTATTTATTTATTTTTTAAAGATGGGGTTTCACCATGTTGGTCAGGCTGGTCTTGAACTCCTGACCTCAGGTGATCCGCTCACCTTGGCCTCCAAAGTGCTTGGATTATAGGTGTAAGCCACCACACCTGGCCCAAGCACGTATTTTTTTTTTCTTCTTTTTCTTCAGCCCAAAATCCAGCCTTATCACACCAGTTTCATTCATTTTGATTGGCACTTGCATGATATAGCTTCTCTTCCATTTTTTTACTTTCATATTTCTAGATCTTATGAGTTAGATGTGTCTTTGTAGATACCATACATTGCTTTAGGTGTTGGGTTTTTTTTTTTTTTTTGGTCCAGTCTGAGAATCTCTATCTTTTAATTGCAACACGTAATTTGTTTACCTTTAACATACTGATTCATTTTTTTTGGGGGGGGGGTCTTTTTGTTTTATTCCTTTTTGTGGAGAATGGGGTTTTGCTATATTGCCCAGGCAGGTCTCAAACTCCTGGGCTCAAGCTATTCTCCTGCCTCTGCCTCCCTAAGAACTGGGATTACAGGTGTGAGCCACAGTGCCTGGCCATATTGATTCATTTTGTTTCCCAGACACTTACGCGCGGCAGGCACTGTTTCAAGCATGTCATGCACATTGCCATATCAGCAGTAGTTAAGTGCAGAGCCAGATCTGACCCCAGGGTATCTGGAGTGCCTGCTATTTCCTATCTTTCATCCTACTTGTGCTTTTATCTTGGAGACAAGGTCTTGCTCCATTGCCCAGGCTGGAATGCAGTGGCATTCTTCTTGAGATAGAACCTTAGCTCTTGATCCTAGTAGTGAGGGTGTGTGTGTGTGTGTGTGTGTGTGTGTGTGTGTGTGTGTGTTGTTTGATTTGCTTTTCCTACAGCTGTTTTAATGAATGCACCTTCCCTTCACAGAAGCCCTCCTCCTCTGTGGCAAATGTCTGCTTTATGGCAAATGGGTTTTGATTCTTTTCTTTTTTCTCATGAGTCATAGGGAATGAGGGTTTTGATTCTTAAGCAAATAGCCCACTGCAGACTCCGCCTCCCAGGCTAAAGCAATCCTCCCCACCTCAGCTCCCAAGTAGCTGGGACTACAGGTACACCCCATCATGCCCAGCTACTTTTGTTTATTTTTGTAGAGATGGGGTCTCACTATGTTGCCCAGGCTGGTCTCTCTCTCTGTCTCTCTTTCTCTCTCTCTCTCTCTCTTTTTTGAGACAGGGTCTCATTCTGCTGCCCAGGCTGGAATGCAGTGACATAATCATGGCTCACGGCAGCCAGGACCTCCTGGGCTCAGGTGATCCTCCCACTTCAGCCTCCCAAATAGCTGGGACTACAGGTGCACACCATCATGCCTGGCTAGTCTTTTTCTCTTTTTTAGGGGTTTTGCTATGTTGCCTGGGCTGGTCTTGAACTCCTAGGCTCAAGCGATCCTCCCGCCTCAGCCTCCCAAAGTGCTGGGATTACAGGCGTGAGCCACCAAGCTCGGCTTGAACTTGAATTTTATTTTTAAATTAAAAAAAATTTTTTTTTTTGAGACGGAGTTTCACTCTTGTTACCCAGGCTGGAGTGCAATGGCACGATCTCGGCTCACTGCAACCTCCGCTTCCTGGGCTCAGGCAATTCTCCTGCCTCAGCCTCCTGAGTAGCTGGAATTACAGGCACATGACACCATGCCCAGCTAATTTTTTGTATTTTTAGTAGAGATGGGGTTTCACTATGTTGACCAGGATGGTCTCGATCTCTTGACCTCGTGATCCACCCGCCTCGGCCTCTCAAAGTGCTGGGATTACAGGCGTAAGCCACCGCGCCTGGCATAAATTTAAAATTTAATTATTTTTTATTTTTATTTTTTTGAGACAGAGTCTTGCCTGTTGCGCAGGCTGGAATACAGTGGTGTGATCTTGGCTCACTGCAGCCTCTGCATCCCAGGTTCAAGTGGTTCTCCTGCCTCAGCCTCCCGAGTAACTGGGATTAAAGGCATGTGCCAAAACATGGCTAGTTTTTATATTTTAAGTAGAGATGAGGTTTCGTCATGTTGACTAGGCTGGTCTCGAACTCCTGACCTAAGGTGATCCACCCATCTCAGCCTATCAAATTACAGGTTTGTGCCACTGTGCCCGGCCTTGAATTTCTTAGTAAGTCATAATGATGCACTGTACCTTTGATCCATCTCCTTTTGAATTTCTTTATTTAACTCATCGACTTTCTGCTGCAGCTTTTTCCTTCTTTGTTCAGGTGGGAGGTTGCTGAAATCCTCTGGTGTCGCGCCCTGCAGACACAAATATAAATAAGAAGCCAGAAAGCCCCAGGTACTCCTTGAAAGAAGGCCATAAGCAAAGCCTGCAGCCATGGGTGGTGCCCGTGTCTGCATGTGGCTTCATAAAATACATTAAGCTCTTTCCCACTACACCCAGCTGAGAGGCAAAAGTCAACGCATGCAAACTGCAAAAGTCCCCAAAACCACTCCCAGTGGATGCTGGCCAGAACGCCCCAAAAAAGCAGTGAGCCACGCTACAGGAAAGAGAGAGAAGAGATAATACTTCTGACTCCAGGGAGAATCCATGAAAAACACATTTTGAGACAGAGTCTTCTTCCTTTTCCTACCAAGTACTACCATCAATGTCAGTGGCAACACTTAAGTGTTAATGAAAATTCTATTTCCTTAATACAAACCCCGTCCAGCACTGCACATCTAGCTGCCGCCTTTCACACAGGCTGAGGACAAAAGTCTCCATCTCTGTAAAGCAACAGATGGGACATCACATTCCTCAGAGAATGTGGGTGAAAAGGAACATAAAAAAAAAATCTTAGGCCGGGCTCGGTGGCTCAGGCCTGTACTCCCAGCACTTTGGGAGGCCGAGGCAGGTGGATCACGAGGTCAGGAGATCAAGGCCTTCCTGGCCAACATGGTGAAACCCCATCTCTATTAAAATACAAAAAATTAGCCAAGCATGGTGGCACATGCCTGTAGTCCCAGCTACTCAGGAGGCTGAGGCAAGGGAATCGCTTGAACCCAGAAGGCGGAGGTCGCAGTGAGCAGAGATCGTGCCACTGCACTCCTCCAGCCTGGGCAACAAGAGCAAAATTGTGTCTCAAAACAACAACAACAACAACAACAACAACTCTCTCTCTTCCCTGAATCCCATGTACACTTTACTCTGCTGCCTCTAAAAGTTTAGTTACTTTACTTTTTTTTTTTTTCCTTTGAGATGGAGTCTCACTCTGCTGCCCAGGCTGCAGTGCAGTGGCGTGATCTCAGCTCATTGCAACCTCCTCCGCTTCCCAGGTTCAAGCGATTCTCCTGCCTCAGCCTCCTGAGTAGCTGGGACTACAGGTGTGCGCCACCACACCCGGCTAATTTTCCATGGTCTCAAACTCTTGGAGGTGATCCACTCAACTCAACATCCCAAAGTGCCGGGATTACAGGCATGAGCCCCTGCGCCCAGCCTAGTGACTTCTTTTAGGTACCTTTCGGAAGCATCTGAGAATTCAGAGAGAATGCCCTCCCTGGACTCAAAATCAATTCTCCACAGTGTAAAAAACTGATCTCTGCAGTTTTTAATGTGTCAGAAGAACTGTATTTTGGTATCTTGATTCCCTTTTCAAAACCAACTGCTCTCTTGACTCTGTGCCTGTGCTTGCAGGAGAAAGTGTCAACACTCTCAGGCTTTTCCACATGCTCACTCATTAGAAAGCGATGGCTATATTGTGGCGTCAAGTGCTTTTACTTAAGTGAGGCTATGTTCATAAAGAGAGAAATTTCCGGCCGGGCGCGGTGGCTCACGCCTGTAATCCCAGCAGGGAGGCCAAGGAGGGTGGATCATGAGGTCAAGAGATCGAGACCATCCTGGTCAACATGGTGAAACCCCGTCTCTACTAAAAATACAAAAAATTAGCTGGGCATGGTGGCGTGTGCCTGTAATCCCAGCTACTCAGGAGGCTGAGGCAGGAGAATTGCTTGAACCCAGGAGGCAGAGGTTGCAGTGAGCCGAGATCGCGCCATTGCCCTCCAGCCTGGGTAACAAGAGTGAAACTCTGTCTCAAAAAAAATACAAAAAATTAGCTGGGCGTGGTGGCGGGTGCCTGTAATCCCAGCTAGGCAGGAGAATTGCTTGAATCGGGAGGCGGAGGTTGCAGTGAGCCAAGATGGGACCACCACACTCCAGTGCAGGAGACAGTGCAAGACTCTGTCTCAAAAAGAACAGAGAGAGAGAGAGAGAGAGAGAGAGAGAGACAGACAGAGAGAGAGAGAGAGAGAGAGAGAGAGGGAATTTCTTCAAATAACCAAGGATAAGCCAGGGCATTTAGAAAAGAGATTTTACCTTAAACCCTCAGTTCTTTTAAAACAAGGGCAAGACTGACTTGGGGCAGGGCAGAATGAAGGGACCCAGTTAGTGTAATTCCAGAAGCAAGCTGCATTTGCCAAGCCGCTTACATGGCAGCTTGTGACTGAGCTCCTAGGCTAATTATAATAAATTGCCAGGGGATGTGCTGGGAAGTGTGTGATTCAGCAAATAGTTGACCACAAAGGCCATGCAAAGAACTTTCAGCTACTGTTCTCAAACACACCCGTCAGACACACTAACTGACTCTAATGTGTGCCTCTGTGTGTGTGTGTGTGTGTGTGTGTGTGTATCTGTGTTGGAGATAAGAGTTGAGTGAAACCAGAATGGAAGTTACTATTCCTAATACCAAATCAAAGAAGTTGAATTTGACTCTAAATCTAAGATGAAGCAAAACTAACCTTTAATATAAAAATGAAGACTTCTTGTCTTTTCCATATACTATGGCACTACAATATTTATTTGAAAATTGAAAACTAGATTATTATTGGCTTTTCGATTTGTTTAACTCAATCACTGAGCTCAAAAGACTTTGTATTCATGCTGAACTTACTTAAGGCAGATCAGCATTGTGACATCATCACACACACACTCACATGCACACACACATGCACACACACACATGCACACATACACACGCGCGCACACACACACACACACACACACACACACACACAGTTTTCACTCACGGTTCCTGGCTCATAACTCCCATACGCTGTGGTTTTGTTTGTTTTCTGAGACAGAGTTTCACTCTTGTTGCCCAGACTGGAGTGCAGTGGTGTGATCTCAGCTCATTGCAACCTCCGCTTCCTGGGTTCAAGAGATTCTCCTGCCTCAGCCTCCCAAGTAGCTGGGATTACAGGTGCCTGCCACCATACCTGGCTAATTTTTGTATTTTTAGTAGAGATGGGGTTTCACAATGTTGGCCAGGCTGGTCTTGAACTCCTGATCTCAGGTGATCCTCCTGCCTCAGCCTCCCAAAGTGCTGGAATTACAGGTGTGAGCCACTGCACCTGGCCTCTTGCTACAGTCTTTTGTTAAAGCATCAGAGCACTTTCGACCTCAGAAAATGGAATCTCTCTCTCATCTCCCCATACCCTTCTCTTACCTGCTAAAGGTAGCATTCTGATTATGGCTATATGACTCTCATTCAAGAGGATCCTGCCCCATACCCTGGAGGAAGAAATGCTGCTCAGGGAGGCCAAGAAGAATCTGGACAGACAGGCCCTGCTGGGTGGCCCCACCCGGTCAACTAGGATTCCATCAGGCCCCTTCTGTCCAATCTCATTCCAGCATGGCTGTCCATGCATCAATCGTGCTTATCTGATGATGTCTCATAAAAGGCCCAAGAGGACAGGGTTTTGGAGAGTTTCTGGATAGCTGAACACATGGAGGTTCCTAGAGAGGGGCTGCCCAGGAAGGGGATGGAAACTCTGTGCCCCCTCCCCCATATCTCACCCTAAGCATCTCTTCATCTGTATCTTTTGTAATATCCTTTGTAATAAACCAGCAATTGTGTTTCCCTGAGTTTTGTGAGCTACTCCTGCAAATTAATTGAACCCAAAGAGGGGATCACAGGAACCCCAATTTGAAGCCCGTCCATCCGGAGGTCTGGAGGCCAGCTGGGCACAGTGGCTCACACCTGTCATCCCAGCACTTTGGGAGGCCGAGGCGGGTGGATCACCTGAAGTCAGGAGTTCAAGACCATCCTGACCAGCATGGTGAAACCCCGTTTCTGCTAAATAAACAAAATTAGCTGGGCGTGGTGGCACATGCCTGTAATCTCAGCTACTCAGGAGGCTGAGGCAGGAGAATCACTTCAACCCAGGAGGCAGAGGTTGCAGTGAGCCAAGATCGCATCATTGCACTCCAGCCTGGGGGACAGAGAGAGACTCTGTCTCCCAAAAGAAAAAAAAACAAAAAACCCTTGCTTGTCAATAGCTTCCCCCCAACCCCCAAACAGCCTAAGCCCCATGTAATATTACTTCTTTTGATTTTTTGTTTTGTGTTGTTTTATAGTATTTTTTGAGACAGGGTTTCATTCTATCACCCACAGCCTTGACCTCCTGGGCTCAATCCATCCTTCTGCCTCAGCCTCCTGCGTAGCTGGGACCACAAGCACATATTACTGTGCCCAGATAATTTTAGCATTTTTTTGTAGAGTCAGGTTTCACCATGTTGCCCAGGCTAGTGTAGAACTCCTGAGCTCATACGATCTGCCTGCCCCAGCCTCCCAAAGTGCAGAGATTACAGGTGTGAGCCACGCACCTGGTCCCACACCTTTTTTCATTTTTTTTGTTTGAGACATGGTCTCACTGTGTCACCCAGGCTGGAGTGCAGTGGTGCAATCATAGCTCACTGCAACCTTGAACTCTGGACTCAAGCCATCCTCCTGCCTCAGCTCATCCTGCTGCCTTAGCCTTCCAAAGCACTGGGATTACAGGCAGGAACCACCATGCCCAGCCAGCATGCACTTCTTTGCTGGCTTCAAAGTAATGGTAGAAAGCAACAGTTCAATACCAACTTGGTAAAATAATTTGTTTTTCAAACAGAAAGATTGCCTGAAAATACTACCTTTTGCTGCTAGCTCCCAGAAAAACAATGGATAAAGGGTAAGAAGGAAACCCTGGCAGCCGAGAAGGCCTCCTAGTGAATAGATCCAATTCCTCCCAAGTTCACACTGCTCAAGAACCTGTAATTCATTTAAGTATCTGGATCTCTTCCCTTCATGTAGAGACCTTAAAGACTCGTCTCAGGATTTTACTTCACAGTCTAAGAAATGTTTAACTTAATAAAATATTATTTTTCTTTAGGGTTGCGTCCATTACCAAATACTGAGTCATGTTGAAAAAATTATGTATATACATACATATGTATACATACACACATGTAAATATTTACATATTTTTAAATCACCATAAAATACTATCCTAAGTTATCAATAGCGTGCTTATACTGCTGATCTTATTCCCAGTTGAACTGTCACAGTTGATCACTGTCCCATTATTTTAGGATATTCTTAGCTGTGGAATTTGAGAAGACTATGAAACTATTACAGATATTTGAAGCACAGTTATAGGTTATGTTAGTTAAGTTACTTTTAATAAATGTAATGATTAGTTTCACTGTTTACTACGCATATACAATGAAGTACAAACGACATAAAACACTGAGTAAATAATTCTAAAAAGGCTTAGGAGGCTCTTTTCACTGTCCATGAAATCCTCCTGTGGCCTCTTGAATCAGCTATGCACAAGGCACCAACATATCTACGTCGCGCCAGAAAGATTCCAGAGTTTTCCATTCCCACGGGTGGCCTCAAACCTGGGTAGCAGCTGCCGGCTGGGATCATTCCTACACGGCTCTTTCAGGCTCCCAGATTTTTTCATCTACTTCTATGGTTCTCAAATAGGAACATTCTTCAACTATTAAATTTACTTTTATTCAAAATGATGCAACAGACACCCCCCAGATTTAATATTTACGTTCTTTTTTTTTTTTTTTTTGGCGATGGAGTCTCTCACTCTGTCACCTAGGCTGGAGTGCAGTGGCACGATCTCGGCTCACTGCAACCTCTGCCTCCCAGGTTCAAGCAATTCTCTTGCCTCAGCCTCCTGAGTAGCTGGGGTTACAGGCACATGCCACCACGCCTGGCTAATTATTTGTACTTTCATAGACACGAGGTTTCACCATGTTGCCCAGGTTGGTCTCGAACTCCTGAGCTCAGGCAATCCACCCACCTCGGCCTCCTAAAGTGCTAGGATTACAGGCATGAGCCACCACGCCTGGCCTTTACGTTCATATTCATATAGACACTTTATTCACCTTTGTCCTCCTCTTAAGGCCCCGATAATAAAGAACACCAAGTCATGAGTTAAGTGTTAATTTTCTTAGCAACTTGAAAAGATGAAGATCACCTCTATTAGATTCTGGACCTCTGTATCCAAGAAGTCTAATAAGGAAACACCAACAGAAGCACACATAAGAGAAACACAGACCAAGTTAACTTTGAAGATATGTTGTGCATGGCATAGCATTCACAAAACACACGCCGAAAACCTGATTAGACTCAGGACATGCATGGAATAATTGTGCTTACCAGCTTGAGAGAAAGCTTCATGTAAAAATTGGAGAGGTATGGGAAAGAGAGAGAGAGAGAAAGAGAGAGAGAAGGAGAAAAAAAACAACACCACATCAGAAGAAGACGAACTTGGTCAGCTCCACCATATTAAAATACCACGCACGTCCACCCGCTGATTCATAAAAACGACTTGTAGCAGATCTGCGCAAAAGTTCACAGGAACGGCTGCTCCCTAATGAACTTTTTTGAGGCTCCGCATTGGCAGAGCAAAGATCAGATAGAAAAGGAGGGTTTCTGTTACAGGTCCGTGTTGGTCCCTCAGCCTAGATGGAAACTCAAGTAAGCTTGTAGTCGGGGACACAGAATGACTATCAAAGAAAAAATATAATCATACAACCTTCTGTTCTCCAAATTTTCCATGGAAAGTTTTACACAGACTAAAAAAAGTCTGAACACTAATTACTTCCGTGATAGGCAAGTCGTATTTTTATGTTAAGGAACTGTAATAAATATAAACATTGGCCAGGCATGGTGGCTCACCCCTGCAATCCCAGCACTTTGAGAGGCCAAGGGCGGGCAGATTACTTGAAGACAGGAGTTTGAGACCAGCCTGGCCAATGTGGTGAAGCCCAGTCCGTCTTGACTAAAAATACAAAACAAACAAACAAACAAACAAAAAAAAACATTAGCCGGGCTTGGTGGCCGGCACCTGTAATCCCAGCTACTTGGGAGGCTGAGGCAAGAGAATCACTTAAATCCAGGAGGCAGAGGCTGCAGTGACTCAAGATCATGCCACTGCAATCTAGCCTGGGCAACAAGGGCAAAACTCTGTCTCAAAAATAAATAAATAAACTGACATGAAGGCAAAGTCTGAAATTGGTGAATTGGTAGCAAATGACTGACTAGCAGGTGCTCTAAGAAACTACCTGCAGGACCCGAAATGCCTCTCACGGCCAGGCTAGAGGACAACGTTCCCTCCCACCTGAGCACTGTGTGCTGCCCGTGCTCAGTGGACAGTGTCTGCTGAGGCTTTCTATGAAACTCTGAGCCCCATCCATAGGGGTTGGGTATTCAGAGAATTATCCACTGTGACTGCTCTTTTTAAAGTATTTACTTACTTATCAATTTACTGATTTTTGGTTTTGTTTTTGGAGACAGGGCAGATTGTACAGTGGCACAACGTCAGCTCACTGAAGCCTCAATCTCCAGGGCTCAAGTGATCTTTACACCTCAGCCTCCTGAGTATAGCTGGGACTACAGGTGCGTGCCACCACACTTGGTTAAGTTTTGTATTTTTTGGTAGAGATGGGGCTTTCACCATGTTGCCCAGGCTGATATCAAACTCGTGAGCTCAAATGACCCACCCACCCCAGCCTCCCAAAGCACTGGGATTACAGGTGTGAACCATCACGCATGGCCTAAAAAACTAATTCTTAATTTAAGATTGATTCAAAGTTGACACTTCTTTGTAAATACAAAATAACTTTTAAAGAAATTGTCCCTATATAGGAACATGAGATTTTAAAGGAAAGAAACAGAAAGGCAAGGCTTTGTCGGGGGAAAATGGTGCATTATACAGTCACATTCCTGACTGTCTGACGTGAGCCGTCTACAAGTACTTCAGCCCGCCTGTGAACTTGAGCACAGATCTACTTATCACAACTGGAATTCATCATACGCACAGACAAGACTTACGGTGCACAGCAGAAAACTCCAAATATCTTTCCTACAAGGCACACTATCATATACAGATATTTTCTTACACATTATTATCTAAACATTGCTAATTCAAAGAACTAACATTTCAACTAGGTACACTATTTGCTCTCTACTTAGCTACTTTCATTACGCAAAGTCATATTTCTTTCTTAAGCATTCCACAGAGTTCTCACCTCAAAACATTGTATAGGAAGATTATAACACTTCATAGTAAAAACAAGTCATCAGGATTGAACATAAATCCCCATCAAATAGGAAATACCAAATTCTCAGACAAATTTGATTTTATTTGTGACGGATAATCTATTAACATAAGAAGTGCCATCACAGTACACGGAATTTCTTTTTAATCATTATATATTGGTTTTCAGTCTTAAGCTGTAAGCCAGCCAATTAGAATTTCTCTTAAAATTAGAAAGCAACATCATTGGCTAAAATAATAATTTTGAAGATTCCATTAAGTGCATTGCTAGACACCTGAAGAATTAAAAAGCTGTCAGTTTCAGGCGACAGTTAAAGAGCCGTGGGAGCCACAAGCGTCAATAACACATGGGGAACACAGAGCTGGCAAGTCCATGTGTTATTGGACAGTCACAGTACTAACCTCATGTACAAAGAAAGGGGACAGTGAAAATAAATGTATAGATACATAGAGAGAAGAAAACTCATTTTACTGTGCTAGGAAATCGCTCACGCGTCATTGATTTGTTTGTTTGTTCTCCAAGCTTTAGGGCATGACTCCCTTAGGGATCTGTTGGTTACAAACATGGATGTGGGACTGAGCTACACTGCCGTCTGTAAGAGCATCACTCTCCTGTGACCACACATTGCAGCTGTGTTTTATGCGTAAAAATCTGCAGTGAAGTCATACCAGTGACATAGCAGACGGCAGCCACAGTCCCAGAACTAGAATGAAAAGAGAAAAACAGGCCGGGTGCGGTGGCGCATGCCTGTAACCCCAGCACTTTGGGAGGCCGAGGCAGGCAGTTCACCTGAGTTCAGGAGTTCGAGACCAGCCTGAGCAACGTGGAGAAACCCCCATCTCTAATAAAAATGTAAAAAATTAGGTCGGGCGCGGTGGCTCACGCCTATAATCCCAGTACTTTGGGAGGCCGAGGTGGGTGGATCACGAGGTCAAGAGATGGAGACCATCCTGGTCAACACGGTGAAACCCCGTCTCTACTAAAAATACAAAAAAATTAGCTGGGCGTGGTGGCGCATGCCTACAGTCCCAGCTACTCGGGAGGCTGAGGCAGGAGAACCGCTTGAACCTGGGAGGTGGAGGTTGTGGTGAGCCGAGATCACGCCATTGTACTCCAGCCTGGGCAACAAGAGCGAAACTCCATCTCAAAAAAAAAAAAAAAGAAAAAAGAAAGAAAAGAAAAAAGAGAAACAAACAAACAAAAAACCAAGCTCAGCTCACCACTGTTATTAGAAAGTTTGCTTCCTTTATTCATGCAAGTTTTTCAGATAAAGTTGCCTATGGATGAATTTATACAATTAGCCTTTTTTTTTCCCCTCTCAATTAAGAATTTCATTTCGTAGTGTGGAAGCATAACAGAGTGCCTCTGGGTCCCCAGTCTTGGTGCTGTGAATGGGGTTAGTGGCTGTGCCGTGACTGTATGACCTGGCCGTCACAGGTGAACTTACAACATAGTCCCTAGCCTCAAAGGCATACGTGGGTTTCCCTATCGTCCTCTTCATGAGTTCTTTGTGAAAACAGAAAGACTGAGTCTGCCAATAACCAGCAAGAGAACAAGATAAAATAAATAAAATTAAAGTAACCATAAGACTTTAGCATATGACAAACAATTGGTAAGGATTTTCAAAATCTTTTGGTCAACATTGATGGTATTTTTCCATACAATTAACTCTAAAATATGAAAAATGTATGTCCATATTTTAGATATAGAAGTCTCTTGCACAGGCCAGAAAATGAAATCTTAGTTTAAGCAATAAAATTACTCTTCGTAGATGGCAAACTGAGAACATACTATCTAGTTTCATTTTTCTTCAACTTACTTAAAAATGAAATAATGGTTAATGCTCTGGTGGCATCTTTAAAGATATTCGGTGAAACAAAATTTCCTTATAAATATCAACAGCTTACAACAAATCACATTTTATCCTGTTTAATTATTTAGAAACAAAATCAGTTATGCTGAGATATGTCTGCTGGGATTTATATACTCCGATGACAGAAACAAATTATTGACATCTGAATCTGAAAGCTGTAAAACATGAGAAATTAAAAGACATAATAAACTCACAGATTTCTTAATCTCTCAGGAACTTTTTCTAATTAAATTATTATTGGCATAATAGTGTTAACTTATAAAGTAGAATGAATGTGAAGGTAGGAGGGCTGTATTGTTTTGGTCACAGAACCTGTCAACCATGCTAGGCACGTTCCATGTTGACACTGCTTAAAAATGAAATCTATTTCTCCAAACTTCAGACTTTTTTTTGAGCTTGAGCTTCTTTTTTTTGCACTGCAGCTTCCTAGAGAAATGAACATTAATTCTGACCCTACGAACAGGCTGACCAAAAGTGAAAGCAGCAAAAATATTTCTCTACTTCTTTACTATGGCTTCTAGTAGAAATATGTATGTGGTTTAACCCCAGGAAAATAAACTCACCATTTGGGGGGAAAAAAAATTTTTTTTTGAGACAGAGTTTTGCTCTTGTCGCCCAGGCTGGAGTACAATGGCACAATCTTGGCTCACTGCAACCTCCGCCTTCCAGGTTCAAGCAATTCTCCTGCCTCAGCCTCCCCAGTAGCTGGGGTTATAGGTATGCACCACCACGCCTGGCTAATTTTATATTTTTAGTAGAGACAGGGTTTCTACATGTTGGTCAGGCTGGTCTTGAACTCCCGACCTCAGGTGATCTGCCCGCCTCGGCCTCCCAATGTGCTGGGATTACAGGCATGACCATCATGCCCAGTGGGAAGTATTTTTTAACAAAGATTTGCTGAGCACAGATTTGAGGAATAAATACAATTCACATTGCTGATATGGTAAAACAGAGATTTTCCTTTAAATCATCAAAAGAACCGGTTTCTCATTTCATTAAGTGTTACATTTTTTTTCTAACCATTCTTTTCTTATATTTATCGATGACTGAACTCTTCGTTTTTTTTCTAAACATTTAGCAAATGCCATGAACCACAGATTCACAAACCATTTTCAGCCAATTGCACATTTCAGACTGTGTAATGTTAAGTGAAAGCTAGAATTGACACATAAACAAATGGTAAACAATCCATGAATATTCATCATGACAGTTCGAAAAATACAGAGATAATATATAAATGTAACACATGAATGCTTGGTAAAACGGCAGAGATGGGTTAACTGACAGTTCATACAAAACTTTCAGTCTAGCAAAAACACCTCATCATGGAAATTCTTGGGTTAACAATGAGTGGAGTTCTAAACGTCAGCATCATTGAGCCAAGAAGCTGCAGATTCTTCAAGTCCTAGTCATACAGCTCAGCTTAATCCAGCATCTACTTTTTTTTTTTTTTTTTTTTTTTTTTTTTTTTTTTTGAGATGAAGTCTCACTCTGTCACCCAGGCTGGAGTGCAGTGGTGCGATCTCGGCTCATTGCAACCTCCGCCTTCTGGTTTCCAGCAATTCTCCTGCCTCAGCCTGTCAAATAGCTGGGATTACAGGTGCCTGCCACCATGACTGGCTTATTTTTGTATTTTTGGTAGAGACAAGATTTCACCACATTGGCCAGGCTGGTCTCAACCTCCTGACCTCATGATCCTCCTGCCTTGGCCTCCCAAAGTTCTGGGATTACAGGTGTGAGTCACTGCGCCCAGCCCCATCATCACTTTTGAAGCTGTACTCTGCCTTCCTTCAATGCCTTTTTTCATATCTTTCAGAAATTACATTTCTAATTCTTAACCTGATATGCTAGATAGCATTAAAGCAAGATAATTCTACCAACTATAAATCTGAGACTCTCATATTAAAGGAACTCTGCATATAAGGAAATATTTTTTCCTCTATTTAAAAAAACTAACAACCTTGTCATTGATTATGTATTTACTTTTTTTTTTTTTTTTTTTTTTTTTGGAGAAAGCGTCTCACTCTGTTGCCCAGGCTGGAGTGCAGTGGTGTGATCTTGGCTTACTGCAACCTCTTCCTCCTGGGTTCCAGCAATCCTCCCATCTCAGTCTCCCAAGTAGCTAGGACTACAGGCACACGCCACCACGCCTAGCTATTTTTTTTGTATTTTTAATGGGGAGATAGGGTCTAGCCACGTTGCCCAGGCTGGTCTCGAACTCCTGAGCTCAAGCAATCCATCCACCCTGGCCTCCCAAAGTGCTGGGACTACAGGCATGAGCCACTGCTCCAGGCCTCTTTTTTACACAGAGTAGTTTTTGTAGAAATATGATTGTCAGGTTAACAATGACTACTGTTATTCGTTTACTGGTAACCAGCTATTAATTCCAAGTCCAAGAAGGACATCTCTCCCCTCTAGTTAATTAGCTGTAGTTTAGAATCTTTTCCCATGCCAATGTGTCAGCTGACACTCAGGAAAGGCTGGCATCCAACTCTGGCTTTGGGGCACTACCAGGCACTATTTGGAAAGAAGTAACCCAACTGTCAGTTGACTGGAGAGCCCAGGAGAAGGGAAAAGTAAAACTTATGTTTGCACCAGAAAGCCTTCTGCTACAGCTGTATCGCAGCTCCCATGGGCTGGGATTTTTTTTTTTTTTTTTTTTTAAGGTAAAAAAGATATGTGAATGCTGCAGAGATTATAGGCGTGGGCCACTGTCCCTGGTCTAAATATCTGTTTACTCATTATATTCATCATAAAAGATATTTTGGGAAGGCTTAAACTAGACTGACCACTCAGAATGATGTGGGAATCCATATACTACTTTACGCCAATCTTTCCCTATAAACCAAACCGGTATCTACATTGGATGGCTACCTCAAGTCCATCAACTCTGTGACTTAAGCACATCAATCTTAATTAGGATGGCGAACTTGAATCTTAATAACATCCACTTATGAGTCAACATAGCAGTTGCTCCCTGAAGTTGGACGTCACGGAATCGCAGACTCTGTAACCAGACTGACTCCCTGGATCTAATCCCGGCTCTGCATCTTCCTCACTCCACCTTTGTGTGCCTCAGTTTCCTTAGCGGTAAAATAAGGAAACATGAGTACTAGGCTTCACATCTAGGCTTCACAGTGTGGCTGGAAAAAAGTAAATGAGCACACGGAACAGAGCTTTGCACACACTAAGCGCTCAGTAAGTGTCAGCTGCTTTTATTACTTCATCCTTTAAAGAGAAATCCTGCATTAGGCCTCTTCCAATCAACAGATATTTTATGGACTCCTTATAATCTCACTAAAATTGCAAATGAAACCACTGTGACTTACGACTCTTCTCCTTTGAACCCTGAGGCATAGCTCAGGGAAGTGTCTTCATTATACTCACATTGCTTCAGTAATTACCAAGGCAATATTTTTTGACTTACACAGTCATTTCCAATTCCTTATCTCACAGGTTGCTAGTTTTGTTTGTTTATTCATTTATCTATTTATTTAGAGATGGGATCTGACTATGTTGTCCCAGCTGGTCTCGAACTCCTGAGCTCAAGTGATTCTCCCACCTCAGCCTCCCAAAGGGCCAGGCTTACAGGCATGAGACACTGTGCTTGTCCTATTTATTTTCACATATATATTTTAAGAGATGGGGTCTCACTATGTTGTCCAAGCTGCTAGGATTACAGGTATAAGCCATCGTGCCCGGGCTCAGGTTGCTCGTTTTAGAAATGAAATCTTAAGTTTCCTTTTTTGGTTAAAATTAAGGTAAAAGATTAATGACTCGGATGCTTTAAAGAGGAAGAGGGGTAAAGTCCTCTTTAAACAGAAAGAGCTCTGGGATGCCTGGCTTTCTCCTTTCTTCTATGCGCCCTGCTTCCTTCTTTCTTCCCTCCTCTTTCTGGCTTTTTCTTTCCAGCTATCATGGTTTTTTAACTTTTTTATATGTTATGGGAAAACACAATGGCTTCATTCACAAACAAAATTAGTTATGCAGAACCGAACATGCAACAGAAGCACGCCAGAGAGACAGGATTCCGGAGCAGAACTTACCCCACGCTTTAGGCTCCTGAAGCAGTGGATTTTGGGTTTGGAGGTCATGAACTCGTTGAAGCGGTGGGAGAGGGGTTCCTTTTGCTGCTTGGGAGACTGGGGGCCGTTGGGAACAGCAGAGGGTGAGGCAGAGGCAGGAGGGGGAGGGGGAGGCTGATGGGGGGATGTTAAAAGGGACATAAGCTACATGTAAGAGATGGAGCCGTGACAGAGTAAAAATCAGAAACAAGAAGATAAGACACAAAACAAAAATACGCATCAAATCATATTTGAAATCCAACGCAAGTAAAACACAAACAATTAAATTTTAGGCCATGGTCCAAAAGAAAACATGTAGGAGGTGGTTAAATGAAGAATATGATGAGAGTTGGGAGGTTTAGTAAGTAACGCGACAGAAGAAGAGCAAGAAATATCTGACAAGAAGCTCGTGCAGACTTTCCCATGCAAACTACAGCTCTAGTTAGCTATTCTAAACCAGCTTAAGCCAGAAGGTAAATATTTCCATATCACCTAAGCTAACATAGCCTGATGGGAAAAAAATGGAAGACCTTCAATGCTAAGGTTGTGAAAACAGTAGACAGTCTGTTTAAATTAATAAATATTAAGTCATTCTAAAGTTAAAGCAGTCACGCTGCCTTGATCATATTCTACAACCCCAGGTTAATGCTGTCATGCACCTAACGTATCACACTACGCAAAGAAAATGAAAAATGTTCATGGATACGCATGTTAACATGAATTCAAAACCAAGTTATTAACATGGTAACAGTTTCAATTAGATGTGCGGATAAAGTGTTACGGGAATTTCGCACTACATCCCCTCCCAGCCAAGGTCACCAGCAGTCTAGGAGACGAAGGAGTGAAAGGTATGACGGGAAATGGTGGAGAGGTCAGTAATCTGTTAGTGTGGGTGTCACGGGAGGAGGATAATGCTTCTGAAATAAGACACAGGGCCATGGCAAAAATACCACCACCAAAAAGAAATACTGCCTCAAAATACAAGGAGCACGCTAGCTTTTTTCTTTTGCATTCTGAAACTACAGGTCTAAGATCTTAGTTTTCGTAAGACTCAAAGATCAAGTCAAAATCTCCACACCTTATACAACTCATTTCACACCGCGTCCAACCATCAGTACCTTATTCTTTTTGATGAATGGCCACAACTTTCCTTTGGATTTGCCACCAAATTTGAGGTCTGGTTTGCCTTCTCCTCTGGAATTTGAAAGGCTGTTATCGGACACGGTACGCTTCATGGGCTGACTGTAATCCTCAAACTCAATGTCTCCAGGAGGCTCAAACCCTGATTTATAAGCTTCTATTACCAGCTGTGAATCCTGAAATTACACCCGCAAGCATATAAATACATTCAGAAGCATGCAAATACTTTTTAAACAATGAATTATGATGACCTCATACAGATGATACCTAAGGAAATAACACTGATTGATGATAACATTTTTCCTAGTCACTTTTTTTTCTTTTTTTGAGATGGAGTCTCGCTCTGTTGCCCAGGCTGGAGGGCAGTGGTGCCATCTTAGCTGACTGCAACCTACACCTCCGGGGTTCCAGTAATTCTCCTGCCTTAGCCTCCTGAGTAGCTGGGACTACAGACGCTCACCATCACGTCCAGCTAATTTTTATTTTTGTTTTTGTTTTGGTTTGGTTTGGTTTTTTGAGACGGAGTCTTGCTCTGTCGTCCAGGCTGGAGTGCAATGGCGTGATCTTGGCTCACTGCAACTCCTGCCTCCTGGGTACAAGAAATTCTCCTGCCTCAGCCTCCCAAGTAGCTAGGACCATAGGTGTGCACCACCATGCCCAGCTAATTTTTGTGTTTTTAGTAGAGACGGGGTTTTATCATGTTGGTCAGGCTGGTCTTAAACTCCTGACCTTGTGATCTGCCCACCTTGGCCTCCCAAAATGCTGGGATTACAGGTGGGAGCCACTATGCCCAGTCTAATTTTTGTGTTTTTAGTAGAGGTAGTGTTTCACCATGTTAGCCAGGCTGGTCTTGAACTTTCTATCTCAGGTGACCCACCCACCTAGGCTTCCCAAAGTGCTGGGATTACAGGTGTGAGCCACCGCACCTGGTCAGCTGTCTTCATTCATTTCAGAAGCCATCAGTAATGTTCATTTGAGCTTTAAGAAGACAAAACTGTCGTTTTCTGATTTTTTTTTTTTTTGAGACAGAATCTCGCTCTGTCACCCAGGCTGGAGTACAGTGGCATGACCTTAGCTTGCTGCAACCCCTGACTCCTGAGTTCCAGCAATTCTCGTGCCTCAGCTTCCCGAGTAGCTGGGACTAGAGGCATGTACCACCATGTCCAGCTAATTTTTGGTTTTTTTTTTTTTTTTTTTTTTTTTTTGAGACGGAGTTTTGCTCTTGTTACCCAGGCTGGAGTGCAATGGCGCGATCTCGGCTCACCGCAACCTCTGCCTCCTGGGTTCAGGCAATTCTCCTGCCTCAGCCTCCTGAGTAGCTGGGATTACAGGCACGAGCCACCATGCCCAGCTAATTTTTTGTGTTTTTAGTAGAGACGGGGTTTCACCATGTTGACCAGGATGGTCTCGATCTCTTGACCTCGTGATCCACCCGCTTCGGCCTCCCAAAGTGCTGGGATTACAGGCTTGAGCCACCGCGCCCGGCCAATTTTTGTATTTTTAATAGAGATGGGGTTTTGCCATGTTGGCCAGGCTGGTCTAGAACTTCTGGCATCAAGTGATCCACCCACCTTGGCCTCTCAAAGTGCTGAGATTATAAGTGTGAGCCACCACACTGGGCCAGCTGCATAACTTTTATGTTAAATATTTGGTTTTTCAAATTAATAGTAAAAGCCTACGCTGGTGTTCTGTTTATATTTTTTTGAGAGAAATAGAATCTCTAGGAATTCATTGGTCCTCAAGTAGTATTCTCAACCAAAGAAGGTTTTGCCCTCTCAGAGGACAAGCTGCAATATATGGAGACATTTTTGACTGTCAGAACTTGGAAAGTGCTACTGGCATCTCCTGGGTAGAGGCCAGGGATGCTGCTAAACGTCCTGTAATGCCCTCAACAAGAAAAATGATCTAGTCTAAGATAATGTCAAAAGTACCTGAAGAAACCCTGTTTCGGCTGGGCACAGTGGTTCAGGCCTGTAATCCCAACACTTTGGGAGGCTGAGGCAGGCAGGTCAACTGAGGTCAGGAGTTGGAGACCAGCCTGGCCAACGTGGTGAAACCCTGTCTCTGCTAAAAATACAAAAATTAGCCGGGCGTGGTGGCACATGCCTGTAGTCCCAGCTACTTGAGAGGGTGAAGCAGGAGAATCACTTGAACCTGGGAGGCAGAGGCTGCAGTAAGCTGAGATCGCGTCACTGCACTCCAGCCTGGGCAACGAGAACAAGACTCCGTCTCAAAAAAAAAAAAAAAAAAAAAAGAAGAAGAAGAATCTGATTTACAAGAAACAAAGTCTTTCCCTTTTTCCAGAAAACACTTTTGCAGAAAACACAAACTCAATTCTGTCATCTCTTGGACAATTTACCACTTAAATGTGTTTTCCAAAAAAGGAATTATAAAGTTAAATCCAAGACACAGAGCTTGTATGACCACTGAAAGCAACTACCCACTGTGAGATGATTCAATGAGGTCACACAGAAAGGGGACAGGGAGAAATAATGGAACTGCAAATAGTTATCAATGAGGCTGAAACGGCAATACTTACATTTTTCTGATCAATGGACTCAGCTGCTTTCACTATGCCATCCAAGCACTTCCCAATGATGGGTATCACCTGCCGATCAACCTCTGCGTACGTCTTCATGGAGTCTCCGATCCTCACAATCCTTCTTTCCTCCATCTCTTGTATTTTCTGCGACATGAGATTTTGTATAAAGTCAGTCTGGTCCATGATTATTAAATGAAATTGTTTTTTGGTAGCATTGTTACCTCTAACGAGTTCTCTATGAGGAAAAACGGGTTAGAGTAAGCGTGGCCATAAGTATTCAGTGCCTCCATATTAGCCAGCTGTACACTGATTTTATAAACTGTTAGGCATGTTAGGCTGCCTAAAGGTACGCTTTGCACAATTCCATTCTAATGTTAGTAAGAATGCCAAACTCAATAGTTTTTGTTTGTTTGTTTTTTTGAGATAGAGTTTTGCTCTTTTGCCCAGGTTGGGGTGCAATGGTGTGACCTCGGCTCACTGCCACCACCGCCTCCCAGGTATGAGCAATTCTCCTGCCTCAGCCTCCCAAGAAGCTGGGATTACAGGCACCTGCCACCACACCTGGCTAATTTTTTGCATTTTTAGTAGAGATGGGGTTTCACCATGTTGGCCAGGCTGGTCTCGAACTCCTTACCTCAGGTGATCCACCCACCTAGGCCTCCAAAGTGCTGGGATTACAGGCATGAGCCACCCATCCTGGCCAATAGTTTTATTATTAACACCATTTGTAGTCCACTTCAAACATTTTCTCCATCTTTAATCTACTAACTTTACCTTTTACCAAAAGCACAGTATTTAGTTAACTGTCTAAACCCAACACAGGTGGGTGTACCTTCCAGCTGTCATTTGGAAGTGCTTGTTTGCTGTGTATATAGACACTAAGAAGCAAATATTTATTATTCTTTTCTACAGTTGGACCCAAAGTTGCAAAAGATCTGTAAAATGGAATAACATATGCCTATCTTTTCTCATACCATTTTTGACAACCTAACATGGGCAAAAGAAAACAATCCAAAAGAAAGAACTGTCTTTTGTTCAAATCCAACAACTCTATGAATGCTGCTTTGACTTCTCTAGTTAAGCTGGCTTTTTTTTTTTTTTTTTTTATACATTGTCTTGTTCTATTGCCCAGGCTGGAGTACAGAGGCGCAATCTTGGCTCACTGCAACCTCTGCCTCCTGGGTTCAAATGATTCTCCTGCCTTAGCCTCCTGAGTAGCTGGGATTACAGGCATGTGCCACCATGCCCAGCTAATGTATGTATTTTTAGTTAAAGGCAGGGTTTCACCATGTTGGTGAGGCTGGGATGGAACTCCTGACCTCGTGACCCACCCACTTCAGCCTCCCAAAGAGCTGGGATTACAGGTGTGAGCCACCGTACCAATCTTAAATTGGCATTTTTTATAACCACAATCATCCCTTTAGCAAAGAGAGCACTAATCAGAGAATCATAGTTTAAGACTGACAAATAATTGGCCTCAGGTGCAAACCATGGAAGTTTGCAAAGTTATTGATTAATCTTGAGATTATTATATTTCATTCATATTGCTAGTCAATGCTTGATCTAGATGCTTTAAAAAATGATTTATCATGCCTGTAATCCTAGCACTTTGGGAGGCCAAGGCCAGAGAATTGCTTGAGTCCAAGAATTTGAGGCCAACCTGGGCAACATAGCAAGAACCTATCTCTACAAAAATTTTAAAAATTAGCAGGGCCTAGTGGTGCATGTCTGTAGTCCCAGCAACTTAGGAGGCTGAAGTCGGAGGATCCCCTGACCCCAGGAGTTCAAAGCTGCAGTGGGTCATGATTGTGCACTGCATTCCAGCCTGGGCGACAGAGTGAGACTGTCTCAAAAAAAAAAAAAAAAAAAAAAAAAAAAAGGGCCAGGTGCGGTGGCTCAGGTCTGTAATCCCAGCACTTTGGGAGGTCAAGCCAGGTGAATCATCTCAGGTCAGGACTTCAAGACCAGCTTGGCCAACATGGCAAAACTCATCTCTTCTAAAAATACAAAAATTAGCCAGGTATGGTGGTGTGCACCTGTAATCCCAGCTATTTGGGAGGTTGAGGCAGGGGAGTCACTTGAACCCAGGAGGCAGAGGTTTCAGTGAGCCAAGATCATGCCATTGCACTTCAGCTGTACTCCAGCCTGGGTGACAGAGCAAGAGCAAGACTCTGTCTCACAAAAAAGAGAAAAGAAAAAGACTTAGTGGAAATTTGGAATTATATAAAGACTCAGAATACAAACCCAGCAACCATGACTCAGAGCATCGTCTTTCTAAGGAAAGCAAAGCATAAAACACAAAATCTGAGAGGTGTTCAGGACTTACCTGGAAGATGTTGGGGATGTGAGTATGGTAATATTCATGCTGCTCATGGTTGAATTTCTGGAGAATGGATGAGTAATCTGCTTTGCTGTCCTCTGCCATTTGGTGACGTATTTGAGCTTGTTGTCGGGCCTTAGGGCAAAAACATGAATACATCATAAATAAAAGCCTGGCTGCAATCAATAAAAGCCTAGAACTGCACACTGGGATGCCCAGGGGCCAGATTTACCTCAAATGTATTTAGCAGGTGCTATTTTTTAATGTTCTGAAATTGAATTTCCTTTAGGTAAGCAACGTGCATCCTAGTTTGTACAGAACTCCACCATTCCCTATTGTCTTCACGTGCTGTGCACTTTCCAGTTTCACACGCCATTCTATATGGTCTCCACGTGGGCCAATTCATATATTTATGTTACCTGGAGGACCCTTGTGGGAACCTTTGCTCATATACACTTTTTTTCTTTCTTTCTTTTTTTTTTTTAAGGCCGGAGTGCAGTGGCGCAATCTCGGCTCACTGCAATCTCCGCCTCCTGGATTCAAGCAATTTTCCTGCCTCAGCCTCCCGAGTAGCTGGGACTACAGGTGCACGCCACCACGCCCAGCTAATTTTTGTGTTTTTTAGTAGAGATGGGGCTTCACCATGTTGGCCAGGATGGTCTTGATCTCTTGACCTCATGATCCACCCGCCTCGGCCTCCCAAAGTGCTGGGATTACAGGCATGAGCCACCACGCCCAGCTACATTTTTTTTTTTTTTTGAGGGAATGAGAAATCCATAATTTTTTTTTTTTTTTCCAAGACAGGGTCTCGCTCTGTCACCCAGGCTGGAGTGCAGTGGCACAATCCCGGCTCACTGCAGCCTCAACCTCTGGGTTCAAGCAATCCTTTTACCTCAGTCTCCTGAGTAGCTGGGACTACAGGCATGTGCCACCATGCTCGACTAATTTTTGTAGAGATGAGGTCTCACCACATTGCCCAGGCTGGTCTTGAACTCCTCGACTCAAGCAATCCACCCGCCTCAGCCTCCCAAAGTGCTGGGATTATCACTGTGAACCATGGGGCCCGGTTGGGAAATCCATAAATTTTTAAACCCAGTTCTCAATGGGATTCATGAAAAAGGCATATAAAACACTGACCAAAGCAGACCTTTCTGAAGCTCTGTACCATGCTTATTTTTAGTATACACGTTAAAGAGGCAGTAAGTATGGCATCTTCTTTATGCTTTTTTAGGTTTTTTAAGCGGTCCTATTTTATGTTGTACTGCATTGTTTTTCTCCTAAAAAAATAATAAAACTTACTACTTCGTTTTTCTCTTCTAATTCATATTGTAATTAATCTCATACCTAAAAAAGGGGCAACAATTGTTGACTTGTTGTAGAATTGACTTTAAAGCTCAAACAGGAATGTCTACAAACTCTAAAGTCATCCAGAAGTACCAGAGCTTACACTGTTAATACCACCTTAGATTTCATACAGCACTGTGGCACTATCTTGATAAATACAATCTTGTGAATCTCTTACACAATTTGAGGTCCACGCAAGGCAAAAAACAGATGAAGATACAGCTTTTGGTCTTTCAGTGACCTGGCAAACGCACTGCATTGAGCCAAAACCACAACAGGAAATGGGCTGTCTTCCAACATAACCAGGGCAACTATTTGATTGCTTTTTGTTTTGTTTTACTGAACCAACGTTATAGAAAATTAAGACCTGGCTGGGTGTGGCAGATCACGCCTGTAATCCCAGCTCCACGGGAGGCTTGGGTGGGCAGATCACTTGAGCCCAGGAAATCGAGACCAGCCTGGGCAACATGGTGAGACTCCTCTCTCTACAAAAAATACAAACATTAGCCGGGCATGGTGGTGTGCACCTGTAGTCCCAGCTACTTAGGAGGCTGAAGCAGGAGGACTGCTTGAGCCTGGGAGGCTGAGGCTACAGTGAGCTGAGACCACTACCACTGCACTCCAGCCTGGGCCACAGAGCAAGACTCTGTTTCAAAAAACAAAATGCAACAAAAGAAAACACCACACAAACAAAAAAATGAGAAAATTAAGATCTAATCATGAAAGAAAGAAAATCAAAAGATAAGCTGGGCACGGTGGCTCAAGCCTGTAATCCCAGCACTTTGGGAGGCTGAGGCGGGTGGATCACAAGGTCGAGAGATCAAGACCATCCTGGTCAACATGGTGAAACCCCGTCTCTACTAAAAATACAAAAAAATTGGCTGGGCATGGTGGTGCGTGCCTGTAATCCCAGCTACTCGGGAGGCCGAGGCAGGAGAATTGCCTGAGCCCAGGAGGCGGAGGTTGCGGTGAGCCGAGATCGCGCCATTGCACTCCAGCCTGGGTAACAAGAGCGAAACTCCGTCTCAAAAAAAAAAAAAAAAAGAAGAAAAAAAAAGAAAATCAAAAGGAAAGAAAAGGAAGGAAGGAAGGACAAAAAGAAAGGAAAGAAAGAGAGAGAAAGAAAGAAAGAAAAGAAAAAGAAAAAACACAGAGACACATTCAAATGTCAACCCGAAGGGGAATGCTCAAGTTGTTCCACTTTCTGCTTGACGGGAACATCCGGTATCGACTTCTTTTTCGTGACCATGTTCTTTACCGGTTTCCTGCCTATGTGACTTGAAGGCTTAACCTGACTTTCACTTCACACATTTGACTCATACGCATCTGGTGCAAGCCTAAGGCAATCCACAGTCGCTTCCTTCCTTTTCTTCCCTATTCACACATGAACACTTCCCAAATGAAGGTAACAATATCAGTGTTTCCAAACGCACTTCCTTACGACTGAGGTTTTTCGAGTGTCTTAAGGACTTTTGATCTCTCGGTGCCATTTTACCCTCTCGTCATCTACCCTCGGTGCATTTCCGCTGCCACATTCTTCCTCTTTGTTGGTGGCCTGTTAACTCCCTTCCTGACCATATGCCTCGGCATCCACTTCTTCCTGTGTCCACTAGTAAATATATTAGTCTAGCCTCAAAATGTTAAGTACTCGGCTACCCCCAAAAATCTGCCCCCTTCCAAAACACAGTAGCCCTCCTCTGTTTAAATAACAGCTTTCCCACCTACATGCATTCCATCTGTCCCCCGAACCATCCAGCACAAATACGCTATTAACTCTTCAGCTACTGACATTTCATCATGTATCATTTACTTATGAAGGTTAAAAAAAAATTTCCATGTAACCTCAAATTTCTAAAATAGTCTCTATTTTATTCACAAGCTTTCCTCAGAAAGTCTCACAAAAATCCAGTGAGGGAATTTCTTCATCTGTTCTGTAAAGAACAGTAAGAAGGCTGGGTTCAGTGGTTCATGCCTGTAATACCAGCACTTGGGGAGGCTGAGGCAGGCAAATCACGAGTTCAAGACCAGGCTGACCAACATGGAGAATCCCCATCTCTATTAAAAATACAACATTAGCTGGGCGTGGTGGCGCATGCCTTTAATCCCAGCTACTTGGGAAGCTGAGGCAGGAGAATCGCTTGAATTAAACCCCGGAGGCAGAGGTGGGCCAAGATTGTACCACTGCACTCCAGTCTGGGCAACAAGAGTGAAACTCCGTCTCAAAAAAAAAAAGAAAATGAAAAAGAACAGTAAGAGGTCAGGAGATAGTTTCCTCATTTATTTTGGAGATTCTATCTAAGTGAGTTTTAAAAATAACTGTTCTGAAACAGGCATCACATCAGAATGCCAGCATTATATAGAATACGTATGTATTTACACGCACACACATATACACACATCCCACGTGAGCAGATAAAAGCTTCCTGACAATAAATTCACTCACACCAATATTTTAGAATATTTTACCCAAGTAGAACGTTTTACCTATGAAAGCTGGTGCCACCGGTACCCTAGCACCATTTGGTCGGAAGTGACTGTGATCTTCCTGTAGCTCCACAGAATCCCTAATCATGTTTTAGCTTTAGCTGCATAATTCCTTCTGTAAGCTTGTTACCTCCTAATAGATTCATGATTCCCTTTACCTTGTTTCTAAGCAGTAATCCTGAAAACATAACAAGGGCCCTAGATGTGAATAGGGGAAGACGCTGAGTAAGGACTGACATGTCTACAGTCCAGCCTAGAAAGTGGGATGTGTAGAAGAAAATAAATCAAAGAGGCCGGGCGCAGTGGCTCAAGCCTGTAATCCCAGCACTTTGGGAGGCCGAAGCGGGTGGATCACGACGTCAAGAGATCAAGACCATCCTGGTCAACATGGTGAAACCTCGTCTCTACTAAAAATACAAAAAATTAGCTGGGCATGGTGGCGCTTGCCTGTAATCCGAGCTACTCAGGAGGCTGAGGCAGGAGAATTGCTTGAACCCAGGAGGCGGAGATTGCGGTGAGCTGAGATTGCGCCATTGCACTCCAGCCTGGGTAACAAGAGCAAAACTCCGTCTCAAAAAAAAAAAAAAAAAAAGAAAGAAAGAAAAGAGAAGAAATCAAAGAAGTATATTTGAGAGAGAACAGGTCTGCCTTTTACGTTAAAGGAGCATTGTCTCTCTGGGAGTTTTTCTTCCATGTAAAAGACTGGACATGTGACTGCAAAGAACTGTCTATTTCTACACCTCTCACTCACTCTTGCTCACTAAAACTATAGGGAAACCTTCAAAAAACAGCGAGATATTGTGATATATCAAATTCTGTAAAGCCGCAGCAGAAAGACAAGACTGTCTTTTTCTCCGTCCTTCAAGCCAGCTGCTTTGAATTAACAGCCACTTTTGAAACTCTGGCCTAGGAATGCACCATTGTTCTAACCAAGTTTCACTATGGAAAAGCTATTTCTGTTTAGTAAACTGTTTATTCGGCAATGGAACTTAAGCGTCTTTCTCTAACGCTAGTGTTGAATCAATTACTCATTATGACAAAAATACCTTTAAAATATCTTGTATTTTCAAGAACGTATTTGGAGTAACTGTTAACGATATTTTGCAGACTATCTCCTAATGTCTAGGACTAACTGGAACTAATAAGCCATCATGACTCCTCATCTCTTTTTATAAGTCAGTCTAAAAATAACAACCATTACCTCAAAGAGATAGTATTTCCATTCTAAACCAGGCCAGAAGCTATTCTTTCAATCACATTAAGTTTCCCGTTCTGAGAATAAAAGACACTTCGTCTTACAGCAACAA